AAATTATAACAAATAGTATTTGTAAACATAAACGTTTTATGAGTTCAATTAAAATAATTAATAGCATATTTCCATTTGCTTTTTGCTTTAAAAATTTGTTCCCATAACTTGTATCGTTCAAAGATTTCTGTTTTAGCGTTATTATAGATGAGGTTTATGTTACGTTATATGCCTGAAAATGACCAATTTAATGATCGAAAGTGTTTATGTTTATAAATAATATTTGTCAATGAATATCCACATGTTTGTAATGTACTCGAAACAGGACGATAATCGTAGACCTGTTGAACGATATCAGTACATAATATTATGCAACGAAGGGTTAAAAATTGATTCGTGTCAATTTGACTGGCTATGTTGTATAATTTAACATTTCCCAGAGTCTACTGGTTCCATCACACTCTGTTTACAAGGTTGAACCGATACAGGCTCCGGTTTCGCATTTCCAACGATCGGCTGACGCACGCGCGTCATCTTTTTACATTTTATAGATGGTATAAAACGATCACGTACAGATAGTTGAACGAACGAGCGAACAGAGCGTTCCCCAGGCGTTCTCCTGCGTGATATGTGGAAGTACATTGCCACTCTAGCGACGCACCAAAAAGAGAGACTATTTCCGAGACGAGAAGTTGATCGTGGTAGCGTATGATGTCCGTGCAAGCTTACTAGTGCCGCCGTGCTTTTCCGTTACGAATTCATTTCGCGTCGCTCGTACCTATCGAACGATTTGTATGAAAGTCATCGTGAGTCATCGATGGCTCGTCGTCCCGTCCGGCGTGGACGCGCCTTCGCGAAACTATATTATAGTTTGTAACGTATTTTGGTCTTTAAACGAAGCGACGATTGCTCCAGCGTCGAGCAGAAACTCCTACGAGATTCGTCTGAAACGTGAACTACGTCAGAACCTCGATAGTTGCACGCAAAACGATGCTGGAAACGCAAGTATCGAGGTGATCGAACATCAGGTATCCCGTTACTACTCCGTTGCTAAGCGACCATCCCCTCCAACTCGTCAACACGGTGCAATTAACGGGGTCTGCGCGCGACCAGGTTGCACTTATCGAGGTTCCGCAATATACGTGTACACGTGGACGAATTAAGAGCTTAACCCTCTATTGGCGTACTGTGCCCGATGAAAACCATGCCTACAAAGTTTATCGAGGAAATTTTACTTGAATTGCGCATGTTTTCTTATGGGTACGTCCAAATAGCTCTGCAGGTTCAGTTGGCACGTTGATCAGTTGGATTGTTAATTGATTCTCTGGCACGACGACCACGAGTACATTTCTTTTCCTGAAAGATAAAATAAAATTCGTACAACAGAGGGTTAAATAAACAGAGAGAGAGAGAAAGAGAGAAAGAGTGAGAGTGAGTGTGAGAGAGAGAGAGAACAGAGAAAATAACGTCGCGTCGCGCTCGACCGCCATACTGGGCGACGGGTCTAGTCATAACGAACAAAAGAGGAATGTATTTTATGATATTTTATGCATAAAACGATCGTAAATCGAATATCGAATATAGCGGTTAGTCCAAGGTTAAAACTTAAGTAGAGGTGTATAAACGAGGACTCGAGGTGCAATGGCGCGTTGCATAAGTCCACAGGGACTGAAGAGGCCGGAGTCGTTTGTTTCGTGCACGCGAACAGGGCAGAGGGACCGACGATGGCGGATAATAGTTAATTGAGCGACAGACGATCGTCGATTTCGCGCCATGATCGGGAAACGGAAGTAAAAGCGACCAATCTTTCGTTCCCTGTTCCGTACGAACAACGACTAGAAGCGCTACTGTAAAATATTGTATATTGTTTCGCGTTATTTATTTTTCAATGTTTCTACTAGGAGTCGCGTTTTTACGATACTCGAGAGAGAATTATCGCGTAATGTTATTAGCGACACGACGCTCGTTCTGGTCCGCGGTGCTGTGCCTATTCGTCGTGACGGAACAGAAAGAAAACAAAGATAAACTTAAGGAACCATTTCGACGACCATTGAGCCCGATAATAAACACGCCGCCGTTCGAAAATCCGCGATCACTCGTCGCGAACAATTTTATAACAGCTCAATCGTTCAATGTAGCTGATAATCATCACCTCCCCACCCACATCCAAATGGTGCACTTACACGCGTCGCGGGAACAGCTCACCGTGGACCAGACGGATTAGTAATGTTTATAAACTTCAACGTATTTCCAGCAGCTTTTGCAATGTGTAAAACTAACCAGAAAAAAAAGACCGACGCGAATCTAAATAGTCTAGGCGAGATTTAAGAGCGTACAGCTTGCGTACAGCGTTGAAGATTATTACGGACGTGCCGTCCGCCCTCAAATATGTCGGGTCGTCCCGATGACACCGTGGAAGCAAGCAAGCTTGCCTTGTTCTCGAAAGTTGAATAATGTTAGTGATGAATGAAATAAAAAAACGAGAGTGTGAGAGAGAGAGAAAAAGAGATATGAGGGCCGACCAAACGATTCGTTTTTATACGACGCGTGACGGCGAACGATTCACGTTCGACGATAGTTAATAGAACGAGGGTGTGCACTATGGATCGTAAAGGCTAAATTCTAGCAGCACGAAGTACGTTAACGGAACTTAAATAGTGAAAATTGTCGTAAGGGAAAACGAAGTGCTACAGTTAATTGTAACGAAAGCATAAGCCGCTGTTGATGTTTCCTAACTGTTAAGGTTTTGGTTAGGCAGTGAGGTTACATGTATTATAAATACACTTACCAATTATTAATGTAACATAATACAAAAGTAATTGAGATATATAAACGTATAAGCCATATAAACGCGACGCACATGAGGTTCTTTATTTTACGAAACGGCGGAAAACAAACGCGTCTACAGTGCTACCAATCGCTTATCACGAACACAGTAGAGTCGCATTAATACCAACATACATTGATATTCCTAAGGCGCCAATTTCAACATTCCCCCCACTACATCGATGCGTCTAAAAGTAAAGGCTAATTATTTGTATTTAATAATTCCACGCAACTTAAAGATTTAATTTTGTGGCAATGATTTCGTTCGTACTCACGTGGATTATTTACAGAGTCAGCGAACGTTTGCAAATTACTATTTTCTTGTGCCCATGTGATTCTGTAATCCATCGTTCTGTTTAATTCCTTGTACGGTTCCCCTAATATCATGCATTCTTTTTATCAAACATCACGTACGCTTCGTTAAAACAATTGCTCTCTTTTGTTCGTTTCCACAGGTTACTAGCCTTTCTTCGAATCAGTTCGAGAGTTCATTAAATCGCACACAGCTCTTCATGAAGACTTTCCTATGACCCATAATTCGCATTTGTTAATTTCTCAAGTACTCATGATATTTTTTTTGTATTTTATCAACACGTGGCGCGTGATTACACTTAACCTCATATTTTTTGTAACCTGTTTAGCTATTGAAGCCACTGGACTCTAACCCATTACGGTTTTGGTTAGGCAGTGAGGTTACGTGTATTATAAATACACTTACCAATTATTAATGTAATATAATACAAAAGTACGAGAAACATATAAACGTGTAAGTCGTAAATGCGACTCGCGCGAGGTTCTTTATTTTTCGAAACAACAGAAACACACGCGTCTACAGCGCTACCAATCGCTTAGCACGAACACAGTAGGGTCGTCAAATAACACCAAAATACATCGATATGAGGTGCAGATTTGAACACTAACAAATGATCTTCGATCATCGTTTTGATAAGGTCTGGTACAATAGGTACCGAAGACAAGAATTACGACCAGTACCAATTATTCGACGTCGTGAGAAGAAAAATAAACGAAGAAAAATTAGTTTACCTAAGGCGCGAAATTTGTACCAAGTTTTTCATTTCAGACCGCGTACCGAAAGAATGCCTCGAATCCGTCGCGAATTACTACTTATAATACATTAAAGAGATGACTATAGTCAACGTGTATGCGCTCCAGTGAATTCTTATTTCGATTTTGCGTTCCATATCGGATTCATGATTGTTACGGGATTCGCGTTATCGTGCAGTAACAGAAATTTGGAGCAATCGTACACCCGCATACGTTTATGTAATGCTAACGACGTTAGTTACGAATTTGATATACGACGTACGTCAAAAACGAAAAATATTTTATTCTAGTCATATCTTTCATGCTTTGCCAAGTAAAATAATATAATTCCTGTGTTGAGTGTAATAGTCAATTATGTTTTAATAAAATCTGCCAAGATTCTAATTGTTTCTTTACCTTCTCTGCCGACGAACTCCATTGGGACTTAAGGACGACGCCATCTTTACTGCGAAAAAATTGAAATATTTCTTTATATAAAATTATAGTTCGAACCCTTACAAATAACATAGAACAGGTCACGTTAAAAAGGCTAATTTTAAATGCTATATTTACTCTAAATGAAGATAGTAGAAATATAAATGCTCTGTATTTTTCGATAATAATTTTAGTCAAGTTACTGTTATTGGATTGCAGAATAAAGAAAATAGTCTTTCACTCGTAGTTCGTGTTTTACGATTGTGGAAATTGAAAAAAATGTAATATTCTTAAATTTTTGTACAGGTGATTGTATAATTAAAGTTTCTTCAAACCTTACTGTAGCGTCAATTGTGAAAACTCTGCTGTATTTGATACATTATCAATGACTTTACTATTTCACCCATTATCTGTAGTAAAGAAACACTGGTGTCTCAGTATGCATGTCCCATAATTGTAAACAGTATACTGTTGCATTTAAAAGAATGGACACATCGTATGTATTTCATTCGCCTAGTACACAATAAGCTGAAAAATCGAATTAATATCAAAAAATATATTCTTATAAAACCATTCTCGGACAATAGTAATGTTGATACATACATGCAAAGTCTGGAAAATAATACAATCATCGATACAGCATGACAATTTTCATACAAAGTAAAATTTAAATAATATCTTGTAACGTTAAATATTACTAAGAATGTTGTAATTAACATGGACCTCGTATATACACTTCAACGAACACAGGCGATAAAATAACATAATCCTAAAGGTTCTTATAGCTAACTATGGTATCCATCTTATGAAGAGAAGTTGAAAATGATCTTAACTGAACTTCTTGACTATTAGCAATGAAAACAGGCTGCGTTTCGTCCCATTCTTTTGGAATACCGCAATCGGGTACTGTATACGTCAAGATGTCAAAAGAACATAAACAATCCAATAATGGAAGGAAACTCACTGTGCCTGAAACATAATAAAGCGAGACAAAAGTTTTACAACCTCGATACTTCTTATTAGCTTGCGCGATGTCAAACGGAATACAAAACTTCGAACGCAAGAACTCACCCGTGATCTGACGTATCACTTCACGGATCTCCTTTTGTATAGTCTTTACATCTTTTGTTCCCACTTCCGGAAGATTCTTATTTATACTATCGTTTGTACCATTTGTAGTTTGACCTTCATAATCGACCTTAAAGTCCCACTTTTCTAAAACTTCTTTAGTATTAACATTTGTTATAACGAGCGTTATTTTTTGTACTTTTCGTTGCACGAGCCACTCTTGAATTTGACCGAGAACAGTATCCAAAAATCCTTTAATTTTCGAGTCCGTTGACATTAAAACGAACAAGCCAAAGTGTTCAACAGGCTCGAACGTTTCTGGCGGATAAATGCCTCTTTGGTATAAAATGCTGTTCACCCCGTAATCTGTAACAAAAAGAACGATCCGTTGGACGAAGGTTTCCTCCGAGACTCCAAGCGAACACATTCGAACAAATTACTAAATAATCGATGAACTTACGTAAATATTGTTTCACTAATTCTGCCGAACCTTTCAGTGTAATGGATCTCATTTTCTGCAGAGTCTCCGTCATTATTTACAAATGATTGCCGCGAAAAACAATTAAACAAAGCAAATTTTCGTTCAAAAATGTTATGCTCAACTGGTTACGACCGAAGGCAGTTTATCATTTTTAAAACGTCCAATACACTGCCTACTGACCGATATTTCACCAATCAGAAAATAGAAATATTTGATTGGTTTTCAGAAAGTGCACGAACTAATAGTAGTTTAGAAAGAAACGTTCATGGAAAGCGTAAATAAATGGTACTTAACCTTTCTTTTCTACGAACTCCGTTTGGAAATCTAATGGAACTTGATCCTTTCTGCGTTCATGTTTCTCAGAATAACTTCATTTAAACATGATATTAAAGCAAAATTGATTCACATACCAGCGTTCTGCAAACAAATACATTATTGTAGACGAGTGACGCATCTAAGGTTTATTCAGTTTATGTTTGATCGCAGCGCTGTTCACACGAGAGCGGACAGTGTGTAAATCGTGCATTCAATTGCGGCTAATTGACCAAGATATTCGCACACGCGTCCATTATGGCATCCACTGAAGATCTAAGCGTTTCTGCACTTATCTACGATTATTTACTGAAAAAAGACGCGTCTTTGGCGAAGGTTTTCCAGAAGAAAACAAAGGCGGTAAGATTATAGAAAGATTTTATATATATATACGTTTGTTCATCGATTTTCATAGTGCCGATGCCCATGCGGCGTATGAAGTGCCGCCATTCCGTCGTACCACGTGGGCGAAATATCTTCATTATTTTATATTTCGAATATTTCTTCAATTCGAACTTGACCACCGCGATATTTATTTCCTTTTACCACTGTCGATTAATATTATTCGATCCGTACATTACTCGCATCAGTAAATATCGGATTCTTCGTAAAAGTGGTTACAGCTTCGTTCATGTTTGTTTATTTTTTTTTCGCAGCCCGCACTTCCGAAGGGGGCACCAACGATATTAGAAGTATTTCAGTATTTTCAAAAAACGTCCCCTAAGAAGTTGAACGTTAAAGCTCAAACAAAAGACAGTAGTTCAGATTCAAGTTCAGAAAGCGAAGATGAAGCACCAAATAAGACGCCACAAGTAAATGGCAAGGTCGCGATTAATGCTGTAACGAATAATAAGAATCAAGAATCTTCTGACGATACCTCCAGCGAAGATGAAAAGCCAGCTCCAAAAGCTGCAGCTAAAGTTAAGCCTATAGTTAAAACACCGTCTAAGGCACCGCTTGTAAAGAAAAAAGAGAGTTCGGATGATAGTTCATCGGACGAAGAAGAGGTACAAACTGTACAACCAAAAACAGCATCTACCCCTAAAGGAGCTCAAGTGACTAAAATGGAGGAATCCTCGGACGATGATTCTGATTCAGACGATGATGATGCACCTAAAGCGAGTATAACTGCAAAACCAGTTGCAAAAGTGCAAGCAAAAGCTGTGCCTAGTAAAAAGAAATCATCAAGCGACGATAGTAGTGAAAGTAATGAAAATCCTGTTAAGCCAATACTTAAAAAACCAGTGCTTGCTGTATCTGGAGTCAAAACGCCGGTAATGAAAAACAAGGCAACCAAAAATTCCAATGACTCGTCGGAGGAATCTAGTGACGATTCCGATTCTTCGGAAACTGTATTTACTCCGAAACAAACGCCAAAAGCTGTCGAGGTTAAGGCAAAAGTAGAGAAGCCTGCTAAACAAACGAAAGAACCTGTGAAGCTCGTAAAGAAAAGTAAAAATGTAACGATAAAGCAAACTGTTACAAAGGGGAAATCTTCATCTAGCGAAGAAAGTAGCGACCAAGCGCCAAAGAAACCTATTGCTCCTCCAACGCCAGCAGTAAAAAAGAAACCCCTTATTAAGAAGGAAGAAGTTTCCTCGAGTGAGGATAGTAGCGAAGAAGATGCACCTCCGACTAAAAAATCTGCTCCTCCAACACCGGCAGCTACAAAAAGAGGTCCTGTCAAGAAAGAAAAGTCTTCGAGCGATGATAGCAGCGAAGATGATGAACCCCCAGCTAAGAGACCCGCTCTTGCTAAGTTGGTTACACCACCTGTTGCGGCTAAGAAAACAGAATCATCCAGTGATGATTCTGATGATTCAGAAGATGAAAAACCAGCTAAAAAACCTGTAACAAAACCGGTAGCAAAGAAAGCAGAGTCTTCCAGTTCCGATGACTCTGATGAGTCTATGGATGAAAAGCCTGCCAAAGCGCCTACACCTGCACTTGCAAAAACAGCAGCGAAAGCAAATATTAAGAAGAAAGCATCCAGCGAAGACTCGGAATCCGACTCGTCGGAGGATGAAAATCCAAAAGTAGCACCTAATGTGAAAACTCCAAAACCAGTAGCAGCTAAAAAAGATTCCGATTCCGAGGAAAGCGATTCAGACGAGGAGGCAGAGGAGAAAGTACCTCCGCAAAAAGCACTAGGTAAAGCTGAGAAGAAGAAACACAAAGAAGTAGACCAACAAAATGAAGAACAGTCTGCACCCGCTCATAAAAACAACTACAGCAATTTTGTAAAAGCAAGCAACAGCTTCAATGGCGATAAGGTACATTTTATTCCAATACATTCATATTAAAAAAAAAAGATTTTGAATATTATAATTGTTGAACATTCTGGTTCTTATATATTGATATAGTCAGTTATATTATAGATGTTCATAACGATAGCACCATAAATTATTTTAAACGTAACTTTTATTCGTGAAATTTTATGTTCAGCAGCAAAAAAAGACTCCGTTCCGTCGTGTAATGGACGAGCGGGTAGACTTGGATCCCAAATTGGCTAACAATTCTTTTGAGGCAAAGGTAAATGCTTGGAAACATTCGAGAAGCGCAGGTCACTCGCCGTTTCATGAAAAGCTTGAGACCATGTTTCCGTGCATTCACCGACCCCCTTTTGAAATGTTCCTTTAGGGGAAACGAACTGAAAAAATTATTCGTGTACGATACGTTTGTTGAAAGAACGGCGGTTGACCTGAGTTTCTCTTTTGTTCTAGGAGGACGATCAAGAGGAGGGTGGTTTTAAGAAGCATGGAGGAAGGGGTGGTTTCGGTGGCGGGGGTAGAGGTTTCGGTCGTGGTGGATTCAGGGGTGGTCGCGGTGGTTTCGGTGACAACAGAGATGGTCGCGGCGGTCGCGGTGGATTCAGGGGTGGTCGTGGTTTCGGGGACAGGGGTGGTCGTGGCGGTGGTGACAGAGGCGGTCGCGGTGGTGGCGATAGAGGCGGTCGTGGACGAGGCGGGTTCGATAACAGAAAATCGTGGGGTGGAAACGATAACGAAGGTGGTAAAGACGGATTTAGAAGATCATGGGGTAACAAGGATGGCGAAAGGGGAGGTAGTCGCGGTGGATTCAGGGGTGGTAGAGGTGGTTTCGATAGAAAAAAATCATTCGATAGCACGTCGCCACAAAATAAAAAAATAACGTTTGACGATTGATGATAAGAATTGTGTATAAAGGTGAGGGGTCAGTTAGTTTGAAGTAATCGAGTCGTCTACGTATGTATACATTAGTATGGGAAGAGAACATATATAATTTTTTTGACAGAGAGGCGCACGTGGCTCTTGGGGAGAGAAAGCTAATCAAGACCTGAAACATACAAGAGGAAAATCATTTCGTCATGAAAAGACGAAAAAAAAACGTGGTAGTTACCGCGGCGGTCAAATAGATACTAGCGTCAATTCCATTAAGTTTGACGACTGAGTAAGCATATGTAAAATGTATATGTAAATGTTTTAATATTATTAACCGATACGTTTAGTTAAGTGAAATATAAAAACGATCATTGACATACACACACACACAGACACACAAGCTTCTCTAAGTGGGGTAAGCGATCTACTTTTAAACACAAGACATGTTGGGTACAGTTCCCACTTGTTTAATGCAAAATTACGAACGACGAGATCGATCTTCGTTCTTATTGGTAACCGATTGCATTTAATTCCGCCAGTTTGTCGACTAAGTAACGGCTACGATTTTTTTAATACTTAGTATCTATAAGACTGCGATTTCCACATGTCCGTCAAAAGTTTCGTGAAAAAAAAAAAACACTATCTCTTATTTTAATATGAGAAGTACAGTTTGTGAAAGTTACTTCGATACCTAATGGTTACTGTATTAGAAACTAATGAGTGTTGTTTCTTGCAATATGCGATATACTTCATCAATCTGTCGTTCCTAGAGTAAATAGGAAGTTTGCCAGATATCATTTACACTTGTAATCATTAAAACATGCAAGAAATGTATCATTAAGGTAATCATTATTTTTAATCGTTCAATCTATCAAAGGAGGCTTTTTTACAAGTATTATTCTCGGTGTTTGGTCTCGATATGGAAAAGCGTTTTCGACATTGTTCTTGCTTCCTTGTAATTAGTATCGAAACATCGGAAATGCAGTGATTTTCGACTAATTACAAATTCGAAAGCCATTGCATTTCTCGAGACGTTATTTAAGTACGAATTACAAGCGGTCGCGCAAAAGAATGTATAACCATCCAGTGCGTAAATGAATTTGTCAGAGTTGGCAGTATCCTTCGACTCTGTGCAAAAAGAATATTCCGTAATAGTTCTAATGCAAGTAATTCCGAACACACGAAATAGAAAATTTGTTATATTCATTGTTAATTTAAAAATAATGCATACTTTGTACGATAATATCATTACTGAAAAATAAGTATAAAGGTAATGTAATCTGAACGATCGTATTATTTTTTTTCCAACCAGTGTATATCATTTTCTCCGCCACGGAGATAAATTTAAACAATAAATTAAATAAGTAATTGAAATAAAAGTAAAAATTCAATTTGGAAATATATGAATTGAAATAATTGAAGATTCCGGTCCTTTAAATGCAATATTGTCTAAAAAATTAATTGGTATATAATTTTTGTATCCATGAGTTACACAAATAATTATTAATAAAATTGAATATAATTCATATTTAAATATAATTATTAAACCTCCAATTATTGAAATGAAAATTATATATACATAAACATTTAAATTTAATTCTATATTAATTAACAATAAAAACTTAAAATTATAATATATGTTAAAGGATGTAAGTTTGATTTTAAAATTGGAAATAAAATTAAAATTATTAATACAATTATTAATTTGATAAAAGTTATTAGTTTAGGGAAAAATGATATACACAGCGCCTTTAACACGTTGACTGCCACAATGGTCACCGGTGATCGATACTTCTATAAAATAACAAATGAATAATCGAACTATTCAATATTCTTAATTTTCTTGTAACGATTCGAAAAGATGGTGTGGCAATTATCGTGTTAATAACATTAGTAATCCAGAACTAATTGGTGTACAAAATATTTTATTTTTGGGTATGTATCGACTACCTGGAGAAAAGCTATTGAATGGGTTTAGAGTTCACGAAGCAGGCGTTCTGACGAAACTCGGTGAAAAAGGAGGGGGACGTCCCCGGTTACCCTCTTTCGTTCAACTTTTTCTCCAACAGGAGAAAAAAGACGATTTCGTGGCGGAATAGGGGCCGATATTTCTCGTCCCATCCCCTCTTTCGATCCAGCAACGACGGAGCACAGAGAGCGGTTACTTACGATTCTACAGTCAACCTCTGGACATCCACCTGTGAGGACGGAGGAGGTGTTCGACCCCACGACATCCGGTGTAGTGACATGAACAGTGTTTAAGAGACCCGTGTGCCCTCGTTTCGATCCCGTCCCTCTCGACTCACCGAACGTTTCGATCGATTAATGCTACGCGTGGTCGATCACATCATCGTCGAACGGGCCGAGAAAAGGTTTCAAACGCACCAGTGTTAAAAAGAGTCCGATCTTCCTCGCGGTGAGCGACGGTGAGTTTTATAAAAACCTATCTCGATCACCATCGAAAATAATAACGCATTAAAGTACGAAATTAAACCTTTGACCCTTCGAGAAATTGCATTCTCTACCCTGGTTTCGATCAGAGTCGAATTTAAACGAAACACGCGCTAAAATCGAGAGACTTGTACGAAAATTAACCCCCCCAGGCGGGTAGAAAACAAATTAGACAACCGGAAATGCGCTAAATGGTTGTAAAATTTAGATTCGTTGATGAACGAACACCACGTGGTTCGACACGGCGGGTGCATGCATAAATCTTTAAAGATCTAGGAAATTGGGATCGCTGGTTAGAAAGATCCGGAGCAAAATCTCTGAGAAACTATAATTACTAATTCAGAGCAAGATTTAGATATTCCCCTGTTACGGAATTATATTTCAATCTTTTCTATTGTTTCTATTTCGTTTCACAAATGCAATCCGTAGTTCGACTGATAACGTGGTAACACTTGTTCTTAAGTTTCGTGGCTATTAAGCAATAGCTTTACAATCGTCTATCGTTCTGACGGACTATATGTACTTTTAATAGCTTCTACCAGACCTTTAAAGTTAAGTAAATATCATTTCTAACTAATGAAACTTCTGTTTCTGTTTTCTTCGTAAATTCATCCCTAAGTGCGTTCAACGAATACGCTTAATGAGCACTAATTGCACGAGACACCCGCTGAACATTGTTTCCTATTAATACGGTGATTCCCAAAATATATGAAACACTAAAGTTTCGATGTTCGTCCAAAGTTTGTTAACCCTTTGCACTCCGAATTATATTTCAATCTTGTTACCAGTTGCTCCCAATGCTTTTAAGTGTTTTATTTGAAATTTACGTTGTATTTTGTTATTTTCAAATGTATATCTCTTTGGTTTGGACTTGATAAAATGTCGAGTGGGACTCGACAAAGGAGTTCCTGAGATAAAAACTGATGTCGAGTCACATTCGACGCAGGAGTGCAGAGGGTTAATGAATAAAGAAATGGCCTGAGACGATGCAAAAGTTCAGATAATAGATTTTTATGAGATAAATGGTGTTCGCACCGAAAAAAAAAGTAGAAGAAGAAGAAGAAGATTTTTATGATCAACGGAGAGCTCGAGCTATGTAGTTCTGCGATTGGACAAATATAATTTGGGTTATAAAAGGTGACGGAGCCTCCGACTAGGACATTTCTGCGAGTTGGTAGCCGCGACCGAGCGAAAGGAATTTCGAGCTCCGTAACAAGTCGCTGACAGTTAGAATAATTTATTCATGAAACGAAGCACCGAAATGGTTGTACCGTTATCGGGGACAAGGATGAATAAACGTAAGGCTGATAAAGACCGACGCGAGAGGAAAGAACGTTTTGGACGATTCATCTTTACCGTTAGGATCGGCCGCGCGACTCGCTCATGGTCCACGGAGGAATCTGCTCTCGACTTCCGGAAACACAGTTTTTCCTACGAGCTTTTTTTTCACCTCGTACGATTCGTCGAGCATGCCCGGAGGCAGTAACAAATCACTCGAATCTTTACGTCATCGGACGCTTTTGAACAGGGATAGAGTCATCATATTATCTTGGCAATGGCCACAGTTTAAGGTTGGCGGAAGTGTAATGATTGACAAACTATGTTCATTAAATTGGTTCCCCCCTTACACGGTTAACACTGTTCTTTCTCGAGTATCTCCTCGCTAATGACTATTTTCAAATTCCTAAAGAAGCTATTACATATATATTTAATCTAAATCATATATAATTTAATATCGATAAGTGTATTCAGATAATCTCAATGTAGGTATATAGCCTAATCGTATTACGCATTTATATGCGTTGCTAATAATCCTGTAGAGGGTTACATAGCATTCAATTAAAAAAAAAAAAAAAAAACAGGGATAGAGTGTTCCCCTAATTTTATTTACTAATAAATATTTCTTGGACACGCGAACGACGAATAAAATATATAGATTAATTCAAAATCTAGTCAATAGAATGAGTGAAAAATTTTTGTTATTAGCGAGTAAGATTTGACCTCTGCTGGAGGCTCCACTTGGAAAAGCGTTGCCCCGATCGAAGATAACGAAGATGTCCTGTTAATTGTTCCCAGCATCGTTCGTTAGCGCGTTAACAGTACTCCGTCGTACTGCTGCTGGGAAAATAAGTTCCCAAGCAAGCTGAGAAATTACGGCAGTCGCGAACAATTGTTCATCTCGATCCTGCAATTACCCGCGAACGCGGCAAAACTGTGGAAGTTCACCTCGATCTCAAGTTCAAGCGATTCTCACATGCTGCCCGGCACTTGTCTCGTCTTCGTTCGCCTGGGACCCGCCGTTATGTAATCTCTGGGTAGACGGAGCCGCGCGAATACCCCGTTGATATTTATCCGCGCGTCTGTTATGCCGCGATCGATATCGGGATCGACAATTACACGCCACGGCGTGTCCGTTCTGCTTTAAACGCGTTCGCGCCAACGCGCCGTGACTCGCGTGCGAAAAAGTCGAAGGAAGACTGGGAAAAGGCTGAAAGCGAGACGGAGAGAACGCTCTTTAATATCTGTATGATCGAGTGATTATTAGTTCCTTCCAACTTTTACTATTCCTGTCGAATCTAGACAAAGTTTCGTTTGGTTGATCTCTGTCTTTCGGTCGAAAGTATAGGCTGTAATTGTTATTATGTTATAATGTAAAACTTACTATATTAAATCCGTGGTTAGCCCTTCGAACTGGAAAAAGATGTTTGTAGCAACGTAGATCCCATTCTTGACACTGTCATGTTGGAGTCATGTTGCCATAGATCATTGTATTCGCTAATGCAATTATGAGCCTGGAAAATGCAAATGACGATATAGTAATCAGTTATATTACTGGTTCAATGATACTGGAACGCCCGTAAAATTATTTAAGTATAGGCTATTTAATTCGGAGATACATTAGCTATAATTGTCATTATGTTATAATATAAAGCTTACAATATTAAATCCGTGGTTAGCCCTTCGAACGGGAAAAAGATCCAAATTTGTAGCTACGTAGATCCCATTCTTGACACTGTCATGTTGGAGTCATGTTGCCATAGATCATTGTATTCGCTGATGCAGTGATGAAAGAGTTTTGTTTAGTTGATCTCTATCTTTCGATCGAAAGTATAGGCTATTTAATTCCGAAATATATTAGCTATAATTAGTATTATGTTATAATATAAAGCTTACAGTATTAAATCCGTGGTTAGCCCTTCGAACAGGAAAAAGATCCAAGTTTGTAGCGACGTAGATCTCATTCTTGACACTGGGAGTCATATTGCCATAGATCATTGTATTCAGTGATGAACCTGGAAAATGCAAATGACGATATAGTAATCAATTATATTATCTGATCGGTGCATTCATTACTGGTTCAATGATAATTATAAAATTATTTATCAAAAATGGAAGCTTCGCGACTCTGAAAGAAATAGCTTGCGTGGATTCAAACTCGGGGTCTGTTGGACGAGGGTTAAACGCGCGATTATTCTCATTTACGTATGCAAAGGACATTCTCCGTCTGCGAGGAAACGGATAAAAATTCGCCGGGCATTCAATTTCAGACGTCACCTGTGCGAACGAATCGGTGGCGAGAATTAACGCTGAGAACGACGGAGACTTCCTGAAGAAACAGATACGCGACACCGGTCACGGCCAATGACCAGCCTTGAGTGCTTACCCATTAACGATTTCCTTCCTTTCCTTTTCCCACGCGCGATTCATCGTCTCTGCCAGACGTTGCAATTTTCTGCCGCGATGGCCTCTCCTGGTCTCGAATCGTCTTCCGTTCCGTGTCTTGAAAATCACGATCGATTTCGACGACTTAAAGGTTTGAAAACGGTTGACGGTTGACGTAAAGTATAAAAAAGAAGGTAAAAATTACAAAGAGTAAATCGTTATACGTTTATTCGTCATTATGCTTGAATAAAATTCTACCCATCTGCTTACAAATGACGAGGCAACTATCAACACGAGGGCTCTTCCGTTTGCTCGTTTGAAAGAGCTTTTATTCTCTATACAGAGTCTCAAGAGCAAAAATGTTCGAGCAGCGGCCATAAATTTGCGTGACACTTGAAAAAACCACGATGAAAGAGGCCGTAGGAAAATTTTATTCGATATTAATATGAAAAGCGTTATAAAACGCAGACTTGTACGCTTCCCCTGATCTTTTTTTAATTTTTCGTTGGAATTTAAAGACGTGTTTCTGATCATACGGTCCAATTCGCCCTATAAATGGTTCCGTAGAATTTAGATTCACTGTTGCGGAGTGGAGTGCAACGCTTCCGGGCAAGTGTACAGCAAATATTCTTAAATTCTAGAGAGCATCGACGCGTTGCTTTCGCTCGTGTCCAAGCTCGTGACAAACGGAAGTTGCACGAGCCCGGCAACCCAGAAACCCCGAACGCTATACATGGGATATCGATTTCGCCGCGGCTAATTGTTATTACCGATCGAGTTCGTCACTCTCTCGTCCCGTCTCGACGATCTCCATCGTCCGGGAGGCTCGAAAGGGAAAAAAAAGATTCTTGCTCGTTCCCTTGCCGCGGAGATGCCAGCGTGTCAGCGTTCCGTGAAACAGAACCGTGGCGAAGTCACGGACCAAAAGAAACGATAACGGAGAATACTCGGAGTCGATCGTTCAACGTCCGCGAAATTACGCTCATTGTCGATGCTGGCAGTCCAGTGTTCGGAATACTCATTCTGAAAAATAAAGAAACGTAAGAGACTTCGATAACAATGTACAAGCAGCGATGTCCAATTATTCAAATGTTTGAAATTTATTCGTAGGACTTAACTGCCCATAAAATATTCGAATAGTACCCGTCTTACTTCCGTCGCGGCGACAACGTGTTTCCCCCTAACCGTGATCCCTGTGCACGGCCAGCTGTGATTGTTTTATTCATGAGCACCCGCTCGTGCTCCCGAGCGTAATTAGTTTCTCATTAATACGCATCCTCGAAGAGGCTCCCGATACGTGAAACGATCTGTCCTTTCCCGCGCATTCTTTCCACGATGTACAGGCTGCCCCAATTGCGGACTGTTTTCTATAAGGTTCTTCGTTTCTCAAAAACAGTTTTACCAAAGTTGATTAAACCACGACCTTTGAACTTATATTAATTGTTTATTCTATAATTCTGATCCTCAGGTGACGGCTACTTGAGCCTACTAAATCAGGATCTCCCTTTCTCAAAAGCAGGTTTACCAAAGTTGATTAAACCACGACCTTTGAGCTTATATTAAATGTTCATTCTATAATTCTGATCCTCAAGTGATGGCTACTTGAGCCTACTAATTCAGGATCTCCCTTTCTCAAAAGCAGGTTTACCAAAGTTGATTAAACCACGACCTTTGAGCTTATATTAAATGTTCATTCTATAATTCTGATTCTGATTCTATAATTTTGATCCTCAAGTGATGGCTACTTGAGCCTACTAATTGAGGATCTCCCTTTCTCAAAAGCAGGTTTACCAAAGTTGATTAAACCACAATCATTGATCTTATATTAATTGTTTATTCTATGATTCTAATTCTTATTCTATAATTCTGATTCTAATGTTATTCAGATGATGGCTACTTGAGACTACTAATTGAGGATCTCCCTTTCTCAAAAGCAGGTTTACCAAAGTTGATTAAACCACGACCTTTGAGTTTATATTAATTGTTTATTCTATAATTCTGATTCTCAGGTGACGGCTACTTGAGCCTACTAATTCAGACAGTATGTTTTTGTTATAATTGCAGATGTCCAGGTACCTCGGCCTGATCCTCGTTATCACGACGTGTGGCCACGTCTACGGAGCCAAAAAATGCGAGGGGAACGGGCTGGGCTTGAAGTACGTGTGGGGCGACGCGCTCACGGACCCAGCGGACTGCATAGGTCCCAATAACATGCAATATCCGTCGTAAGTGTTCCCTCGTGAGACCGTCAGCTGGAATTTGAGGGAGTCAGATCTCTCTGTTTTGCTCGTTGTACCGTTACGATAAACGAAACGACTGTCGTAGAGCCGCGATATCGAGAAGTTACAAGAATCTGTGGGCGAGCAGCAGAACGGCGAGGTCCCATCAGCCTAGAACGATCGATCCCGAATTGACGAGGCAGGCGCTTCTGCACAATTACAAGGCGGTACACGGGGGCTACTCCATCGCTGAGAACTCTCGAAACGGTAGGTTGTTCCAGGAAACATTTTTAATACACGGTCGGGTGGTCACTTCTTCGAAAAACAGTCTCGAGTCTTCTCCAAGAATCCATCAAACCGCTTCGCCAATTATCCAATGGCCATAGCCTTCATACAGTTTAACATAAAACGATATTTACAATTATAGCAATAATCTTTAAAATTATGAAATAGTAAGAATTCTTTGTGAATTAAACATTATTACCAAAATAATCAATCCCTTTTACAATATGTTCGAAACATCAAGTACAATGCTCTTTTCGACGAAGCTATTACTTTTGCCTCGCTCCAGCGATCAAAGACCGTATTTTCATGTGCACAAGAATTCTTTAGATCTGTTATCAATCATTCACGGAACAATGTAGACGTCTTCGCGGCACGGTGATTAAGAATCACTGCCTCTGTAACATGTTACTCGCGTTAATTGATAAGATGATTTATTACTTAGAAATGTTAAATAACTGCTTAGAAACATTTCAAACCGAGAAAACTGACGAAGGGAATTTCACGCCAGTGTCCAAAACTCTTCGTTCATTTAATGAAAACAATATCGCTTTTTTAAATTGGCTGCGCATTCTTCCGACTTAAATTCGATTAAAGATTTATGAGCAATGTTAATTCGACGCATTCTTGCTAACAATCGCGAGTTGGAAAACCTGGAGGAATGAAACGTTACGATGATCAAAGCTTGGAACAGCGTACAGAATATTTGGAAATTTTATAATTAGACTGCGGATGTTTATGCTTTTAGGGGAAATTTTAATCCTCAAAAAACTACAGAATGCATTTAATATGGAAAAATATAAGAAATACTTCAAGTAAGATACGAATTATTATATTTATGCATTTATGGGAAATTTTAATCCTCAAAGAACTACAGAATGCATTTAATATGCAGAAATATAAGAAATACTTCAAGTAAGGTACGAATTATTATATTTAGGGCTTGAGACAGAGTTCTATAAAGCTCTGATTTCATTAATTCTATTAATAAAAATGTGAATTTGCAGAAAGATCCGCAGCCTATTTATAATGAACTTTTGTTATAATATCGGGTAGGCGTTTTAGTAGGAGGCACGGTAGCTTCTCGATTCTCGTTACTTTTTGATCAGATCGCGTACATTTATGGCGCACTTTTAGTGATTTAACAGACTTGGATCGCGAATAATCACGGAACAGCGATAACCCACATCCCCGTCGAACCATCGTAAGCGCGTTAGTCGCTTCGCCCGAATAGAAAACCGTAGAAACGTCTTATCCTGAGCGTTGTATGCTCGCGAGCGAAACAACGACGATGTCGTGCCATTAATTTATAATTATCACGGTGGCTGCTGGGGAGTATTATCGAGGAGAAGCGCGTTCACGCGCGCTTTACGAGGTTATTGTACCGTGCCTGGTAATATGCAAACATTCTGCTCTCATGCTCCGCCGTTTCTCCCGCGAACGTTCCCGGGACTTCGTGGCTTTTGTAAAAAGTAGTTTCCCGCGGATTCGCTGCCGTGCGAATGTTTCACGGCGATACCGTTGCTTCGACATTAACGAGGGATCCACGCGAAGTGTTACGCGCCTCGATCTCAATGAATCCTCGCGGTTACGATAGCAAACCGAAAATTACAGCACCCACCGGGCCGAACGAAATGAAATATTTTTAATATTACAATAGTTTTTGCGCGCCAAATTTGGGACTAGAACATGTAGGAGTATTCGAACGCTTACATTTGCAACTTTCGTCTGGTAGAATATGCGATCGCGTGGCTCGACATCGAGCATACACTTTCTTCCGTTATGCCTCGCTTAACTTACGTTAAAAATGATATTTCGTAATACCTTCATACAGCACATACAATTGAATACATTTTTCTAACGATATTTGTCTTTTGTAAAGCATTTTAAGACCTCGTCAAGTCGCTGATTCGCGAACGGTCCATTCGATTGAGTTTCCGAGCGCGTTCACGCACGACGCGTTCGGAAATGTACAAAAATCGGAACAACCGGTTGCGCGATGTACCGGGACCTCGCAGCCTTGAATTACGCGGCTGTCCTTATGACACGAAAACCTGGTTCGAAGCGACCACAACACCCGCCGCGCGTGTTTCACGATCGGGTCGTGGCCTTTGAAATTCGCTGATCACGAGCTTCGTTATCCGCGAGGAAACTCATTAGCCTTTGCCATTCGGGTCATTCAGTGTCAAATCAGTCGCTTGACCTTCAACGGTATTTAGCCTTGGAACGCTGTAGCGGGATACTGCGTGCCCCGCTCATTTTTCTCGTCGATTTATCTGCAACAAAAAGGAAAGATCGATGACTGTTTTCTTTACAAAATGAACATTAGACCGCGGATCTTTATGCAAATTCACACTTTTATTAATAGAATTGATGAAACGGAAGCTTCGCAGAGGGCTGTCTCAACAGTCTCAACCCCTAAATATAATAATTCGTATCTTACTTTAAGTATTTCTTATATTTTTGCATATTAAATGCATTCTGTAGTTCTTTGAGGATTAAACATCCGCAGTCTAGTGATCATTTATAAGATTTACAAGAAGCATTGGAATTTCTTTTATACGTAGATCAATCAATTACCCTAGGAAGATCCAGAAGTCAGAAGGCAGAGTAGTTATCCCATCAACCCCCAATCATAAGTAGATTATGTTCTCCGCAGAAGTCACGTTGCTTCTCGAGGAGTTATGACTATCTTTTGATCAGCCAGGAGAGATTAATGAAGAAGAAGAAGAAGAAATAGATTCCATTGCCCCAGAAGGATGCACCGATGCAATTTAATTAGAAATAAAATGGCAGCTTTAGAATCGAGATACACGGTTGCTTCGGTCATCGTTTAACCTTTGATTCGTCGAATTAAAGAGTTCGTTCTACAAAACGTGCAGTGTCGCCTACTTTCCTGGCGCTTTCCCTAGCTATCTACGACCGAAACAAAAAGTGCCATCCACTGCAACTTTCATTTTTTTTTTTACTTATGGTATAAAAAAAAAGTTATTTAATAATAAGAAAAAGAAATATTTAGTATTTAATTCGTTAGTAAAAATTGATTATAGTGGTATTTTAAAATGAATCACGATGAAATTCTTATGAAGTAGCCTTATGGTATAAAAAAAAGTTATTTAATAATAGGAATAGTTAGTTTTTAATTCGTTAGTAAAAATTGATTATAGTGGTATTTTAAAATGAAATACAATGCAATCCTTATGAAATAGCATTATGGTATAAAAAAAAAGTTATTTAATAATAGGAATAGTTAGTTTTTAATTCGTTAGTAAAAATTGATTATAGTGGTATTTTAAAATGAATAAAAAAAAAAAGTTATTTTATAATAAGAAACTATGGAGTGATTATTAGATTTAGGATAAAATTTGACTTTGTTTCGTCGAAGACTGAATGCAACATAATTTTCTAATCGTTCCCCCCTCGAGATATTTAAAATGGAGGTGTACTCTTCATATTGAGGAACATTGAATTGTAGGTGTTATCTGATGGTCCTTTTGACTTATTTTGACAGAATGCAAACAGACAAGTTATTTTGTACGTGTAATGTGTTTGGTGTAACGTGTAAAGATGGCCACGTTTCGAAATTTTGTTCCAACGCGCGTCCATTGGGCAATGGCTTGGTCGATGCAGGAGGACGGTAATAAGGCACCGTGTTATCCGGCCAATACAGTTATCGCTCCGTTCTGCTCATAACGGGATCCGCTGGCGACCCACTGGTCGTTTCGAACACACACGAGCCGACGGAATTCCGAATAAAGGGCGCCGATCTCGCGAACGAGTCACCCGATTCTCCTCGTTCCATCGTCGGGATTCCGGGGCCGCAAATTGACTTTTCCGTCTAACGACTCCCCAAGAATTTTTCCATCCGCGTTCCACGTAACGTGCATGATCGCTTCCGACGAAGGAGTCATGCTCTCCCGGGTCCTCGATACTGTTAGAGTTTATTTATTCATGTATTCAGACGGGAAGACGGTCATTGGTGCGAGTGAGGTGTAATCGTAACGGAGAACGAAGGAAGAATTAGCGTATCGTCGTCCCGGATGAAACGGCAATTTGTCTAGAGAAGTTCACACGATGTCCCATTTACCGTGACGATCGTAAATATTTACCTCAGGAGAATATAAACAATACCTGCAAAGATTTATACGAGTATTTAAATACAGAAAATGTCGAAGGGTTAATTACTTAAAGGGAACGATTACTTCTGTCTGCAGGACGAGCATTTTCGCCGAGAGAAACGTGCGGTTCGCCAGCCAGATTATGCAAAACGAGGTACAACACCACGGCGCCCATGTACGGGGTCAGCTTAACCAGCGGCCAACCGGTGACGATCGTGCAAAAATTCCCCGATCTTTTGCAACAGGTCGTGTTCGAAGTCTGCGAGTAAGTACGCCTAATTCGATTGTACACAATTTTTTTGAAATTCACCGTTCCCCGTTTAACCCTTTGCACTCCGAATTGTATTTGAATTTTGTTACCAGCAGCTTCCAAACGCTTTTAAGTGTTTTATTTGAAAGGGTGTAGCCGAATAAGGGGGTGAAATGTGCCCTTGAACCAAATGTGACATACAATGGATCCATCGATAGAGCATCAAGAAAAAACGTTCTGTGCCAAATTTTAACCCTCTATCTTATTTGGAAGGGTAGTTATTGAGAAAATTCGGATCAACGAATTTCTGCCTATTTCCCCTATTTAATCGAGTACAAAAATTATGAGAAAAATCTGGTGCATTGTGGTTATCGAGATACGTGTTTGAGAATTTTTTCCGACTTTTCGATTCCAAATCCTAGGTGTGAAAAATTGAAAAAGGAAAAAAAAACACAGAAAAATACGGATTTCGTATCGAAGCTTTCGAGACACTAGATTTATATGATTACTGTAAATGCGTATTGTCATTGGTTATCTCCCTGAATTTTTTCAGATTTTTTGATTCCTAATCCTAGGCGTGAAAAATTAAAAACGCAGAAAAATACCGATTTCGTATTGAAGCTTACGAGACACTAGATTTCTATAATTACTGTAAATGCGTATTGTCATTGGTTATCTCCCTGAATTTTTTCAGAGTTTTTGGTGGGGTGCACCGTAGTAGCAAAAATCAAAAACCGATTTTTTCGACGTTTTTCGCGTGAGAAAGCATCTTATACTTTGAATCACCATTGCACCATTATTATTAACAATTAAAATTTATAAAAAATATTTTTCTTTACATCATAACGTTAATAAATGATACTTCAAATTTTAAATGAATCTGTGCATTGGATTTTTCAAAAAAAATTCTTGAAAGACAGGCCATTTACATGAGGTTCCCCCCCTTAAAAAGTTCAAAACCGAACAGAATCGAGTAAATTTCATTCGTGCCTGACGAACGCAAATTCCAGTTTCGATCGACCGATTTTTTGAACCGTCTTTCGTGCGACGAGCAAAGTTGAAATTTGCCCGCCTCGATAATTGCTCGAGCAAACGACGACCCGAAAAACGGTTCAAAAGTAGGCTCGTTCTTGGCCGTGGACGCGATATTGTACGTAGACCCGTTCGTCCTACTGTGCCACATTCGAATCGCCGCGACCACCCGCCGATAGACCTCGATGAATTTCGAATTTGAATCGCGTAGCTCGTATTCACGGACCGCGCGACGTGCTGAGAAAGTAACAGTGGGCGAGGATCGAAACCTGCGTATCTGGTATGCTCGTGAACAAGTTTCGAGGAAGAACCGTTCGACGTTCGAACGCTACGCTAAATTCGCGCGCAAGTTCCACCGGAGTCAGTTTTCTAGACGCTGCCCAGACGTGATCAACACTAGAAAGACTAAAACTTAGTATATACCTATATTGCCCAAAAGCAGTCAAAACGACTGTACTGTGAAAGAATAACTAATGTATAAAGAAATTTGTTTAAAATGAATTTTTAATATTATGAATTTAGGGCGCAAGAGAAGTAAAATAAACAATTTGTTGGAACAAGTATCGCTGCATAAAGTTTCGATTAACAAGTACTACTTTAGCTCATTGAGAAACTGTAACTTATCAAGTATACGGCCAAATTGACAATTTATCGTGTGTTGGTAATCGAAAAAAAAATGAAAACTGTTATTTCAATACAAGCCTACCAATTTAAGCAAAAAAAAAAAAAATGCTCAAAAATTTCATTTTACACGAGGTTCCCCCCTTAAATTGAGACGGGCAGTACCGTGTAAGCGTACAGAGACATTGCCATGTGGTTTCAGGTCGAAGGAGTGCGACGTGGTCCACGGCGAGTGCACGCAGACGTACGTGCCGTACCTGTTTCTAGTGATTCCGCTCGGTCCGGTGACCTTGACCGGTCAGGATTACGTTCTCGTGGAGAGCGGTTGCGTCTGCAAGCCGAGGAATTCGGCAAGCGCCCCGTCGGAGTCCCCGGCCGTACCGAGCTTTTAAACGTTCATCGAACTCGAGCGTAAACGGCGGGCAAGATCGCTCGAGAGCCGCGTCCCCGTCGCGTCGATCGCGACTGATCGCGCTGGAAGGTGAATCCCCCGGAGCTCGGTGAACCTCGCCGCGGGACCTAGTAACCTCTTTGACGGAGCCAGCCCGAGACCGTCGGAGAGACCAGTATTCGTCGCCGCTAGAAAATGATTTCACGGGGAGAAATCGTGAAAATGGACGATTTTTCTTACCGCGACGGAAGGTCAGCCGCTTTTACCTTGGACCGATCGACTTCCCCAATTTGTCCCCGTGGCGTCTCGTCGCGACGTTGCGAAACATTTTGGTCGCTTCGAGCCGCCCAGGATAGGGACCGCGGTGATACCCGGATAAGTGACAACGACACACGACTCGGCTATATGAAACGAAAGATATAAAAGTTGAAATTTTCATTGCGTACAGAGGAGGTCGATTCCTGGAACGAATATTCGACCTTCCCCGGTTAACTCGATCGCCGAGGACCCGATCTCGTTTCAGTTATCCGGGAATTATTGTATTTCGCGTCACGACGTTTAAAGATTCGCTGATCCGTGTGCCGTTGAATGATAAAAAAGAGTATACATCAAACGTCACGCGTCCATCCTATTTTCTCGTACGTTGGTGCCGAAAAGAAGAAGTTATTTCAGCGATGGGAGAGAAAAAAACGCACGTGTCGGAACAGCGGCGTTCGTTTCGCGGAATCCGGTCTCGGAATTCGATCGAGTTCGTTAGACCTGACTCGCGAGCCGGTTTCGAGCAGGTGGTACCGGGGCAGCGTCGTAACAGCGTTCCGCGGGATGCATCGGTGCGAGTTATTCTTTTCAGAAGCATCGTAAAGTTATATCATTCACCTCGAACCGGGCAGCAACCAACCGGAAACGTTAATGTGCTCTTCTATTCTTCGTCGGTGCACAGTCATTCCCAGCATCTTCGTATTTCATCGTTTAATGGCGTTCCTTATTGCCCCGTTCGTATTTCGAATCTCGTCCAACTTTATACCGCTCTATCTCCGGTTCTGTTTATCGTTAAGTATATTTGGTAAAATCTTATTTTTCTTTCGCTACAAACTAATTAACAAAATATTGTTCCACGTACTTTACGAAATCCTGCATAGTTTCGGAGATACAGCCTTTTCCGGCTTTTTTCTGTCCCTGCAAAATGGAATACATTGTCATTTTTTCGCCACGATACCATTACGTGTAATAACATTATAATCGCGCCGTAATTACCGACCCAATTACGTCGTAATCATAATCGTAAATCTTCGAGGCACGCAGTAACTGTTTAATTATAGTGCAGTTACAACGATTACGTTCGATCATATCGTAGGAAACATAATCAGATTGCACTTTGGCCAACCCCTGACGCGTGGACTGGCCTAGTGCAGGACGAGGGGAAACATCGTTCTCGTTCTGTTGCTCGTGTCGCGTCGCGGACACGCCGCTGGCCCGCTTATGGTTCTTGGAACCGGACTCTGGAAACGCGACGTCGGAATCGTACCGACAAACAGGATGGACGTGCAAGTCCGCGGTACGAATGGACCGTACCGTGAATTCCGATGAGTATAATGTACCGTTAGCCGCATTGCGGGACCCTTCACCTCGATTTACTTCACTTGGTTATTTCATAGACGAGATCCGTGCCGGCGCCCAAAAGAGGCGCTGACTCGCCGCTCGGTTTGTGCCGCGCCACTTACCAAGGACAACCGTGTACGCCGCCATTGATCATTCGACCGAAGATCTGCCATAGACACGGGTAATGCAGCGCGCTGTATACCGGCAAAATTTGCCCCGAAATATGGGTTTACGAAATATGTGATTTTGCCCTTGTATGAGCAGCTTTTGGGTCGGATGAGGTCTCGTTCGAAAGAGGAAGGTCCAATGCAGCGCGCGCTGGTCAGTATCGAACGAGATTGTGTTCACATTTATTAATATCAACATCGAAAGTCGAGAAAAAAATTGACAAAATACAGCCATAGAATCGAGGTCTTTTTAGGTTACTAAAAGAGTTGTGCGATTCCAATACTGACCTCAGATTCCTCTTTAAAAAATCAATTCAAAATCCCTTATTTCGTAAACCCGTATTTCGGAGCAAATTTCGTCGGTATACAGCGCCGCGCTGCATTACCCATGTCTATCCCCTTAACCTAAAGTTCTCGATCAGAATTCAACGTTCTCGAACATCGACGAGCATCATCTGCCCGCGTCTTGTACGTTGAATCGACGAGCAATTATTTATCGTTGAATCTCTACCCGGAAATCGTTATTAATATTATTAGAACAGCCGTTGATTCAGCGTACAACGACATTATCGACGGTTCGCGGATCAGCCTTAGGCTAAGGGACACGCAAATTCGCATGCGAACCGTTTCTGTGACAGTGCCGTACGGGAAAGTGATAAACAGATAAACGGAGCTGGAGTATCAAGCCACGTTTATGCAGCGGCGGATCTGAAAGAACTCAAAGATGGGGGGCAGGAAGGATTAAACGAAATAAAAAGAAAATTCGAAAATCTCACCTAGGGAAATAATAAGTAGAGATAGAAATGGAAATGTTTCACCAATTTGTCAACATTTGTCAGCGAACGAAGGCCTCGAGCTTCTGTAGCCCCCAACTTTGCATCCGCCATTGCGTTTTGCGCAGATTTGAAAACGATCGCGTTTTAGATGGCAGGAACGTGACTTTACGTTAAACTCGCTGCAACGAACGATACTTCCATACCGCATGTCATCCTTTGTATCTATAGTTGTAATATGCAAGCATGTATTTATAATTTATTATTAGATTATGATGTATTGTGTAAATGAATGCCTCTTTCCGCTGGACCAGCGTTTACTCGAACAGTGTTCTGCGAAACGCTGGTATCCCGTGAAAATCGTAATTAATCATTGAGAAAGTAGAGCGAACTAAATAAATTTTTGCATATTTATAGCGTACACCACATTTCTATTATAATTTTTCCCCCCGTGATTAATATACTGACAAGAATTAACCTTACGACTTACATTTATATTCAAAGTACATTACTAGGTCTAATATTTCACACGTATTATTAGAAATATACTATATTCCACCAACCAACAAAAGATAGTTAAAATCAAAGTGGTACATTTGAGTTTTTCTCTTGTGGGAACAATGCATTCACGACTAACGTTTGTAACGGATACTTTTCATATTAACCACTTGTACGTTCTACTTTTTTCGTGGGATAAAACATGGAACATTTTCACGGACTATTAGCGTAGGTATAATATAATATACTTCCTTGGATCAGCAGAACACTGAAATTTATTTCCTTCTCAAAGAGAGAAATGATTAACAAATTAGCTCCTCGTTCTTAATACTCTTTTGAATCCCTTTTTATGACAAAGAGCAACAACTGGCTACATACTTCCAGGAGTTAACTTCTCCAGAAGTTAGTTCGAGCGTCCAGGCGATAGATGGCTCTGAATATTTGCCGACCGATAGTCACAGCGCAACAAGGAAGTTGATAAAGTTGTAAAGAGTGCTTCTAAATAGAGTCCATGTCAACAGAACTGAACTCCTTTGTTCTTTCAACTATTGGGGTGAATTAACATCCCTTAAATTGTAGAAGGCGCGCTTCTAGCGTTCTAGCATCCTTTCTGGAGACACTAGTTTTCTTTGATTTCTAAATTTCCTCTAGTGAAATTGAACACGAAAGTTTTTACTGCAGCAGGTATGTAGTTGCCACAGTACAATGAAGTATCTTAAAATGTCAGAGTCTCTGATCCTGTCACAACTAATCTATCTGTAACACATCTAGTGAATTTCTATAAAATAATAATGCTAGTAACTTTCTTCTCTTGTAGCATAAATCATCTATGGATGTATCTCATCTATATGTACCACTGATTCTATGGCAATATGCATACGTGGCGCTGTGGTAGCAACATGCCGCTGTGAAGTGGCAGGAAAAGAAACAGCATATGTCGTTTTTAATTGGTTCACAGGTGTAATTTGATAAAATGAGGTGGCTTATTTTGTGTTTATTCCTAATTGTTTTGAGCACAAGTGCAAATTGTTATTTCATCACTGTAGATGCACACGCCGAGGAATGTTTCTTCGACAGAGTGGAATCGGGCACAAAAATGGGTTAGTTTGTTCTTACTGCATATTTCTTTCAACAACTTTTGATTATAAAATTTGAAATTTTTTTTTACTACAAAATTATTTTAATGTATTAGCGTAAATTTTGATTTTATCAATATCTCAGTATCCAAAAAATATAGTATTAAATTATATTGGTTATCTTTGTTATTACTTTCAAAATTGGTATTGATACGCTGTTAATATATTGTGGAAAAATATTATTAGATGTAGAATATATCAATCTACATAATAAAAATAGCAAATTTTTATGAGATAGCGGCAGATTTTATGTTCCGGTCAAGGACTAGTAAACTTTGCACAATTTTCTACTTAGGAGTTAACAAAATGGCCTTTTTTAATAACTGAAGAAAATTATAAAATCTAAAAAGAATTAAGAATATTTCTTGCTTCTTCAAAATAGATTTTAATCGCATTATTGGAAGTGCTTGGAACATGTTACAACATACATCAGTTGCTTAAAACAATTAGGTTGTTATGTTTAAAATATTTTTTAATTTTTAAAATATCTCGTATAGGTCTCACGTTTGAAATAGCAGAGGGTGGATTTTTAGACATAGATGTAAAAATAATTGGACCCGATAAAAAAATAATCTATCAGGGTGATCAAGAAAGCAGTGGTAAATATACATTCGCTGCGTATCGTTCTGGTGTTTATACATATTGCTTTGGTAATCAAAAAAGCAGTATGACACCAAAAGTTGTAATGTTCAATATGGACATTGGCGAAAATTCTAAACCATTGGAACAATCTTCTGACGGAAAGAATGCAGACGATACTAACCATACCAAAATAGATGATATGATTAAAGAATTAAGTACAAGTCTGTGGGGAGTGAAAAATGAACAAGAATATATGCAGGTAATTCATAATTTTGATGTTTGTATATTTGTCCATACCACCACTTATGAACAATGGGTATCTAATGCTATCTGTTGTATTTGTATGGACAAGTTTTTTAATGCAAAGTACACATACTGATACAGTGATTCAAAACTTTATTTTAATTGATTTTTTATTCTTAGGTCCGTGATCGAAACCATAGAGCAATCAATGAAAATACCAATTTTCTTATAGTTACTTGGGCTTTCTTTGAAGCTATGGTATTGGTTTGTATGACAGTAGGACAAATTTTCTACCTAAAACGTTTCTTCGAAGTCAGAAGAGTTATCTAATTTAAAACATGTTACAATAAAGTCATACACTCATTGTACATTTTTTATGTGGCTTAAGTTAAGAATTACAGATTTTCAACATTTTGAATTCATTTTGTTTTTTCATTCACCACATTTAAAGCTTCAAGTATGAACATGAAGTTTAAGATGTATAACATCATTAGCGGTAAGGTAAATATTGCTTACATCGTTAGGTTTTTTAAAAATAACATAATGTACATTTAAGCCTAAGACTTACTTAAACAGAGAAATTATTGAAATAAACGAGACGTCTTTTGTATCAGTAGGTGTTAAAAATCAATTAATATAAAATTATCCTTATATTGATTGTCTATGTGCAGGGTTATTATTCTTATTATAAAAAACGAATATTTATAGGAGATTCTATTAAAATTTCAAATCATTTTCGTATTTAAAATGGAATGGAGGAATTTATGTATTAATTGGGTAAGCAAATATCAAAATAATTTAATGGAACCAGCTATAGTGTTTGTAATAATATCATTTATATGATTGTACAGTGTAATATGATGTAATAAAAGCCGACATAAACTGAGCGTTTTGTCATTATTTTAAATTAATTTTCAAAGTAAATTTTGATTGCTCAATTAATTTAAATGATTAAGATCTAAAAGTAACAAACTGACAAGATATGGAACATTGTATTGGACAAGAAAAATAATTGTTAAAAAGAGTTCTGCAATGTCTCGAGTGCAAAATCGAACTTTCGTTCAGCGTACCTCGTACAGTCACCTAAAAAAGTATTCATACACCGTAATATGTATAGTTTAAACCGCTGGTTCTAACCTGTATTCCGCGGAATGCCATAATGCTGCTCGTGCTGTGATTATAACCAGTATGGCTAGAATTTAACATAATTGAGTGTATTGACGGTAACAATAACAGTACCCCTTCAGGTCCACAGACCAGAAGTTAAGAACCACTGGCTTAAACTATACGTATTGTAGCGTATAGATACTTTTTTGGGTGACTGTACATGTTTAACAGAAGTTATACAATTATTTTCTTTTTTTAAGTATGTGCAATACTTGCAATTCCGTAGTAAATTAATTAATATACAAAAATATTAAATAAAGATATATCGATCGACTTGCTATGTGTTAAATATACAATAAATTCGTGTCCAGAAATACAACGAACTCATCGATCGATCAGCCTTTGTTTTGAGTCGCGTGTTTTTATTTACAGTCTATCTTTTCTTGATGGCCAAAGTAAATGTTCTCTAGTCAAGAATTATCGCTCGCAACTGATTTCGATGGAACAAAGTGAAATTATTCGAAAGATAAGCTGAACACATTTATCGAATCGCGCCAATCACACTCATGAACGAAGTTTGCGGCCTATGACGTTGAAACACTCTAGATAAGTTGTGTAGATAATCATTTGCCGAACGTCCGCAGTTTTGTATACCTTGCTAAGAATAAATTCATGGTTGAAAGAGCCAATCGCGTTACGAGAAATTCAAATATAAACCGAAACCGAAGGTGTTTCTTTTTCAAACGGTGTTTTCGATACTGGACAGCCAAATGCGTCACGCGTGTAATTATTTGTTGATTCGAACGAAGCATCGTTAAGTAAAAATGTCAGATAGTATTAAGGTTGCAATTAGGGTCAGGCCTTTGATCAAACGCGAAAAGGATGACAATCTAACGATACAATGGGTGGTTCAAGAAAACACTATTGCTTCCACGGATCCGGAGATGAAAAAGCGCGGTGATGGAAAATTTTGCTTTGGTACGTATCCATCGTTTATAAATTTAATCCTCCTCATACTGATATATCGTGTTTCGGTATCATATTACAGATCACATTTTTGACATTGATGCATCTAATTCAGATGTTTTCAATACTGTTGTGAAGCCTATTGTGGACGCTGCAGTAAATGGTATCAATGGAACAGTATTTGCTTATGGTCAGACAAGCTCTGGTAAGACATACAGCATGCTTGGTACGTCGCAAGAACTTGGAATCATACCACTTGCGATCGACTATATGTTCAATGCAATTTCAAATGCTGCTGGAAGGGAATTTTTGTTAAGGTACAAGTATATACTTGTTACGTATTGTAACAAATAAAGTAAGTTTAAAATTGATTAACTTATCGTAAATAGGTAGTGATTACCTTTCATTTCTAGAGTATCATACTTGGAGCTTTACAACGAAAGAGTCAATGATTTATTAAACAAAAGCAATATAGACTTGAAGTTGAAAGATGATGGCAACGGGCAAGTAATCGTTCACTGTAAAGAAGAAATCACAAATTGTCCAGAAAATGTCCTATCTTTAATGAAGAAAGGAGATAAAAATAGAAGAATTGGAGAGACTAATATGAACGAGCGTAGTAGTAGAAGTCACACTATATTTAGAATCGTAAGTTTCCATCGAACGGCGAAAGTATTAAATACATTGATCGAACACTTGTACGTTTTCTACTTAGACGATCGAAAGCAGAAAAGTTGAAGGAGATTCGGATGGTGCTATACAAGTATCACAGTTAAATCTAGTGGATCTTGCTGGTTCTGAAAGAGCAGGTCAAACTGGAGCGACTGGAGAAAGATTTAAAGAAGGTCGCCACATTAATATGTCATTATCCACATTGGGATTGGTAATCATGCAACTAAGCGAATTCCAGGATGGCCAGAAGCATGTTAATTTTCGCGACAGTAAATTAACAAGGCTACTACAGAGTTCGCTAGGTGGTAATGCTATGACAGCTGTAATATGTGCTGTAACTCCCGCTGCATTGGAAGAAACTCAATGTACTTTGTCGTTTGCATGTCGCGCTAAGAGTGTGAAGAATAAACCACAAATTAATGAAGTAATGTCCGACGCAGCGCTCTTAAAACGATACGCGAAGCAATTATCAAAACTTCAAGCAGAATTAGAGAAAATAAAAACTAACGATCGAGCAGCAGAAGTTGAAGAAATGGAATCTAAGTTACAGGAAAAAGATCGTATTAACCAGTTGTTGGAAGAAAGAATACAGTTGTTAAAGACTCGAATCGTTTCTGGCGATAGTACAAATCGAATGTCATTTAAATTTAAATCTAAACGAAGGCAAACATGGGGTGGCCCAGAATTGTTCAGTCAACATTTACCTGTTTTCAAGGCTACATCTAGTTTATCGACTGTAGACGAAGTGTCTTACGAGATGCCACATGAAAAGAACTTTCAATCTGCTGATATAATGAATCAAACGTTTCAAACAGCTTTCACCGATTTTGAATTACAATTATTCGAGAGTGAAAGAGATCGTGAAAGTAGGGACAATGCTACTGACAGTGACGAAGAACCGTATGTCACAAAACGTAGACGTTGTGTTACATTTAGGGATGATGTGTTCGCTGCTGATTCTAAGGACAGCATTTCTCCAGAAAAAAGTATTCTTTATGTAACACCAAATAAATGTAACACAGCAACTCAAACAATGAGTTACCAGGAATCTCCTTCCACGCCAAAACACGTTTTACGAAAATGTATCAATGATTTAACAAAGGAGTATATAGAACTTCGTCAATTTACAGCTCTAGAAAAGCAATTAATATTGCAAGAAAATCATTGTTGTCCACATGAAAAAGAGCCATCAGAATTGGAAAAATTGAAGATCGATTCTAAAGTAGCAAATGCTCAAGAAATGACAGAAATAACGGAATTAGAGAAACAAAGTGAACATGTTACATCTGAGAAAAACACATATGAACAGATTATTGCTGAGTTACAAGCTACATTACATTGTATAACGACAGAATTAGAATCGAAAATTATTTCGGAGCAAGCCGAAAAACAAGAGATAGTTGAAAAAAATCTGAAGTTAGAAAAACGTGTTGAAGAAATTGTTTTAGAGAGAAACGAATTTGAACGTATTAATGTTGATTTACGGGCCATGTTAGATCAAAAGAATGCCGATTTAGAATCGAAAATTCTATCGGAACAAATTGCAAATGAAGAAATGTCGAAAAAGGTTTCCAAATTAGAGGAAACAATTAGTGACGTTACTAAGCAGAATCAAGAATTTCAACATCTTAACGCTGAATTGAATATGAAAGTTGCTGAAATGGAATCAACAGTTATATCGGAGCGAACTGCTCACCAAAAAGCAATTGAAAAGATTTCTGAATTACACAGGGAAATTGAAAATATGACCCATGATAAAAACGAATTCGATCGTACTAATGCAGAATTAAATCAGAAAATATCTGAATTAGAATCAAAAATAATATCGGAACAAAGTGCAAATCAAGAAGCAACAGGACTAATTTCTAAATTAGAAAAAGAAGTTAGGGATATCAATTCGGAGAAGAAAGAACTGGAGGATATTAATAACGAATTACGCTGCGAACTGAATAAAAAGACGACGGAGTTAGAACTAAAAAATGATATAAATGATGTACAGAATGTTATAAATATTGCAACCGAGGATCAAGATCTGAAACATCAAATGCAAAATCAATCAGTTTCATCGTGTTCAAACTTTCTTGAAAGTATGGAATTTGAAGAAAGCCAATTGGCAAAAAGTCTTCAGTTCAAGAATCTAGAGCTAGATGAAATTAAAAGCAGCATTCAGGACTTCAAACAGGACATAGAGAATTTACAAAGCACTATATGCTTACTAACAACTGAGAATATGGGCATGGCTACCAAATTAACCACAGAACAAGAGAATGCAAAACAGACGGAACTTGATCTTCAGAAAACAATTGATGAACTTTATGCTCGTATAAATGATGTTACAATTGAGAAAATTAATCTACAGGACAATTTGGCAACTTTAACCGATAAACTAGAGACCACGCATTTCAGAGTACCGGAAACATATAGCGAGGAACAACTCCTTGCGACATATCGAAATAAAATCGACAAATTAACAAACGAGAATATTGAATTAGCATCTTCTCTCGCTGAGAAGAATAATGAACTTGAAGGCATTATGGAAAGCAAGTCGCTTTTGTACAATCATGAATGCATTTACAAAGATGAAGTAACTGTTCTCGCGCAAGAGAATAAATGTTTACAATTGGAGAATGTTGAACTTTCTACTAATTTAATAGACAAAACAGAAGAAATAGATTCGTTAAGGGAACAATGTGATATACTTGAAAGCAAAATAGAACAGTTTCAGGCAATGAATGAAAACTCTATCGAGGAAGATGTAGATCGTTTAAGATCACAGAATAATATTTTAAAGGCAGAAATAACAGAACTGAAAATGAGGATGACAATACTATCGGAAGAAAATACAAAATTTTCCAACAACTTGTTACAGGCAATGGAGTGTCTTGATCACTGTCGCAATGAAAAGTCATACAATAGTATATTGTGTCCATCTACAATATTCAATGACAGTACAGAAAATGAAAGTCTTATCGAGCAAGATATTTTAAAGGAAGAGAATCGTGAAATCTTGACAAGTAAAGTTATAACGTTACAAGAAAAAATCAATTACCTGACGCGCTTAAATAAAAAGCTTAGCGACTTGAAATTAACTTCATGCAGTCAATGTACGCACTTGAGGAATTTGAGCGAGAGTCGCAGAGCTCTTAAGTTAGAAGTGAAAGTTTTAAATCACAAACTTGAAGATTTACAAAGTAAGTTCAATCATTCGTGCGTAGATACCTCCTTGATGCAGAAGAATGAAATTAGCCGAGAATTAAACTTAAGCGAATGTGATGTTACTGCAAATGTTAGTCATATGGACGAAGCGAATATAAGCTTTATCGAGAAGAATATTCAGAATTTGAACGATGAATTGCAAACATTGAATGTCGACTATGATAAATTAACAGTTTTGTATAAAGATAAGTGTAACAAGCTAGAAGAGATCCAGGTTGAAAAAGTAAAAATTGCAGACGCACCAAAGCAAAGTGAACACAGAATAGAGCAAATTCAGAATCATATTGACCGACTAAAAGACAGCATACACGAACTAAAGAAGAGTAGTGCGAATTTCACTATTACACTAAGTCGATTTGAAAATGAAAAAGCAAATCTTTTAAATGAAATAGACACATTAAGAGCTACTAATGAGGAGTTACAACAGAAAGTATCCGAGAATGAGAGTACCTCAGTAGAGAAGATACAAATTCTTGAGAAGGAATTATCTAAAGTAAGCAGCGAGACGCAACAATTTTTAACAAAGGAAAAAGAATTTGAAGGTCAAAAGTTATTTTTAGAAGTAGAATTAGAAGAATTGAAATCGAAGGAACAAAATAAAAATACTTTAATCGATCAATTAAATGAGCATATATCCTCTTTGAAAAATGAATTAGATTTAAGTAGGAATAATAAAAATGAGTCTGCTATAAATAAATGCAGAGAGGAAATAAACCAACAAACAATAAGGATCAAGGAATTGGAAGTATGTGTAGACAACCTTCAAACGAATTTAACAAAGCAAGAATGTTTGTGCAAAGAGTTTCAAGAAAAAGTTTTTTCTGTAGAGAAGTTGTTGGAAGGAAGTGAAGAAGCAAAATGTATTCTCACACAGAAATTACAAGCTGTTGAAACAGAGCTAATTGATTCTAAGAGTAACTTAGAAATCGAATACAAAAATAAATATGAATTACAGTCTCAACAGCATGAATGTCGTATTAAAGAATTTGAAAGCAATGTTCAAACTCTTAATGATACTCTGAATAAATATGTTGATGAAAATCTGAATTTAACGCAAGAACTTACTAAATTGCGAAATGTTCATGGAAACTGTGATACAATGATATCCGAAAAACTCGCGGAATCATTGAACGATATTAGAAAATGTATGATGAAAGAATTAAAATCGCTCAAATGTAATCAAACTAGCGAGGATCTTTCAAAGAAATCTGTAGAGGAGATCTTTATAATTTTATTGCAGACGCTTGTGTTGAAAGAGGAAGAGATGATTCAAACTATGCAAGAAACGTTTGAAAAAGATAAGCGGAAGCTGGTAGATGAAAAGAAACAAAGTGCAGATACAGAGAAACGTGTTACAATATGGGCTAAAGAATTAGAAGCGGAAATTGAGAAACTCCAAACAGAACTAACGGACCGAGAATGTGGTCATAAGGAATATCAAAATAAAATTCTTCAATTGGAGCATCTTCTAACGATGAGTACTCACGAAAATGAGGTTCTCAAAGAAAACTTGAAATCGCTCGAAACAGATTTTAACAACTTGCAAATTGAATTTGAGAAACAACATAAGGTTGATATTCAGCAAGAAGCAATTCTAATTGCTCGGAAAAATGAAAAAGATGCACAGGAAGCGATTAAAAACAAAGAAATAGAATTAGAATCGAAGATAGAATTTGAGAAAGTAATGTACGAAAAGAAAATAAACGATCTCTTTTATACCGTAGAATCCTATAAAACAAAGAATTCAGAGTTAAATAATATCATCAAAGGACTTGAAGAGAATGAAAAACAATTAAAGAATATTATAGAATCAAATTCCATGGAGATAAAGAAGAACGCTGAAAATATAGGGAACGTCAATGCAGAACTTGAACAACTTAGAAAAATTCACGATGAAGTAAATCAGCAATTGGAGCAAAAAACTTCGTATATCGAAGAAATCACAGTAATTTTAAAAACTAAGTGTGACGTGTTATCGGAATACAAAATACAGTTTGAATCTATCACGTCGAAATGCGAGATATTAACAGAACAAATCAAAGAGCAAAAATTTACTATAGAACAATATAAACAAGAAACAAAGGTATTACAGGAAAATGGAGAAACGCAAGTAAAACTGATCAAAGACAAATTGAACTCTGAAGTAATAAAAAATACTGGATTGATTAAACAGTTAAATAAATTGAATAGTAACAACACAGTTTTAACAGAAGAGTTGAACCAGTTGAAAGAGAAATACGAGGAACTTGTACAAGCAAATGTGAAACTGGAGAGGAAAGTCAGGAACAGCACTAGCAAAATTATGGAAGCAGAATTAGCAGAGTTGAAGAATACAAATAAACAACTGCAAAACGATTTGATAAAAGCAAGTAATGGTGCAGGAGAACTTCAGGATATTAAAAATCAGACGTTAAAAGAGTTGATGGATTTAAAGAATAAGTATGAACTCTTGTTGCAAGAGAATACTGAGATTAAGATGTTGCCTTTGCACGCGTCCAAGTGCAGTATTTCAAATTTATCAACGGATGAAGAAAAGCACAATGTGTTTCTGTTAGAAAGAAATAAAATTGCATTGGAATTAGAAAGTATGAAATTAATGTTAAACCAGAAAGATGATGAACTGAAACAGCATGTGAATCGGGTACAGGAACTAACAGAGGAGAACAAAGACCTGGACAAGGAGTTGGATGAATACGCAGCAATAATTCGAGACCGAGACGACGAAATTTCAAAACTAGAGGATAAAATATATTCCTATTTAGCGGAAAATACGCATGTGAATGAGTTAAACGAAAAAATAAAAGATCTCAACGAAGTAAACCAGAAACTTCGAGGTCAGATTGATGCGTTCGAAATGAGATTACAAATAAATGTGAAACAGACGAAAGACATCGAATTAAGAAAAAGTAAAAATATTATTTGTACATTAAAAAAAGAAAATTTGGAATTGGAGGCAAGATTAAATGATTACAAGAAACAGATAGAAAGTACAAAAAGACAATTCGAAACTGTTACCTCTAATAAAAGTCTTAGTGAATATGAGGAGAAGTGTCAACAACTGATGAAAAAAATTCACGAATTAGAATTACAACTGGTGTTAAAAAATGGGAAAATTGCAACGTTGAAAATTCAGATTCAAAGTGAAAGCTTTCCGTATCAAAGAAAGTGCAAGGAATTGGAAGAACACTTGCTTGCTCTTCGTACTAAAGTATGTATAAAACAGTAAAAAATTAATGAAATATTGAACGTACATAAATGATAAATATATAATTCTTTTATGCCTAGAATGTAGAGTTAAACTCTGAAATTCGGAAGCTTCAAAGGACTCTAAATGATGTTAATATGTGGGAATGCGATGTCTGTAGACGATGGCGTGTTAACAGAAAAGACCAAGCGTGCCAAACAATTACCAAGAATACGATACGTTTTTGCAGCATTAACAGCGGTATTGTTGAGGTAAATTAAAATATTAATTATAATTGAATTTATAATACGACTGATTTTAATCGTAATATTTATGCAGGATCACGTAAAAATAGAAAAATTGGAAAAGGAAAAAGCGTTGATGAAAACTTTATGCCGTTCTCGATCTCAACGTATAAAAGAACTGGAGGCTAGAATAAAGGAATTAGAATAAACGTAGTGTTCTATTGTTACAAAACCAGTTGAGAGTTAATAAGTAAGTATTAAATTCATTTTTCATGAACTTTAAATAGTTTAATTAAGTACATGTATTTCAGCGTTATAATAAATAAAATTTGAGATTCTCTGTCATGTGCCACCTTGATTGGTGACATCTAGCAAATCTCAGATGAAATGTAAAAATTTGTCTGATCATTAATATGAACATTTACGAAGTGATGAAGGATAGAGAAGATGAAATAGATCGAAGAATAAGGCGATTATATATTTATCTTTATGGTATATATCATAAGACTCAGAAAAAGTAATTTTAGATTATAAGATGACGTAGGTTTTCAACGTTATTTATCACATAAAATTTTAACAAATATTATATTCTTAATGACATATCATAAATTTTACTAATTGTAAACGATTGTAGGTGATGAAGATGCAGAAGCCCTTTTGAAACACAAAGGATATGTAATTCTTAATATGCAAGTTTAATGTGATCATAAAATGAAAATCACAGATATATGTATACTCGGGAGAAAAACTAGCCACACTACTTGAGAAGAGTTGGGTACAAAACTGTTATTTTCCATTTTTAGGGAAGAAGTGTATTAGAATCTTAGTATTTCTCTAAATCGGTATAAATACTTATTTTTAATCGTATTTTGAGGTGTCGATATTCGAACACCCGAAGTACAAGGATTAGGTGCAATTTAAAGGAAATACGTATACAATAAGAAATTTAAAATATATCTTTTTTAAATATACGTATTTTATTAAATTATTAAGGTATAAACATGTTTATTATTTTTTAAAGTATTTTAACAGTAGTGATTTTATATTTAAATAACGCGCGCCGGAAGTCGGATTCTAACAGTTGATTGTGAATATATGTATCTTGGGAAACAAAGTCTCATATTGTAAAATAGAAGACTTTAAGAAATGTACATGATTTTACTGATTTCTTCATTTTTAGATATCTTTAGTACTAAACTTTTAAAGTATAATATTATTGTGTACGTATGTACTATAAAAAATAAAATTTTGCTAAATATGATCTACTACTCTACACTATATTTAATATTAATTTAAAATAAAAAGAAGGGAAACATATACACATCATACAAAAGAAAAGACATTTATGTCCCTGCATAACATATTCATTTATTTTATATTGTTCTTGTATTTTTTATTTATAACTAGAGGACTTAAATTGTTCACCTATATGTATACGTATATTTTTACTTAAGAAAAATAATCATAATTATACAGTAATTTTATTTTATATTTCATTTTTATTAATTTTGTCCAAATTAATATTTTTGGATTTTTTTACGTGTTTGTTTAATACATGTAAAATTTGTATATCTATTCCGCTATAATTTACATTACTGCTTTATCATCGAAATCTATAATATTGTAGAAAGTAACAAATAAATATAATAAGTTCAATGCCAATTTTCCTTAAGTATTAATAAATTATATTTTTTATTTTGTTAACTATATTTATTAATTACTAAATGCTCTATTCATTGAACTTTTAGATTAATTACATAATCAATATCTGAAAGCAAAATATACACATATGTTGGTTCTATTCAACCCTCCTTTGAATGGAAGTCCCCTAAGCATTGAATACATTACATTCCTGTTTGTGTCCTTTGCATTTACTTACGTATCAGCTTTTGTCGGGAAAAATAAATATGCATCGGCAAAAGAGCCACTCGGAAAAGAAAATCTTACAACAATGCATGTCATTTTCATTCGGACGCTTATTTATAAACGAGGTGACATGACATGCGCCATGGAAAATAGGACATAGCAATGGCTTAAAGAAGAGGAAAAGAGCATCGCGCACACAACTACTCTTCGGTTATTCCGATGCTCAGTGCATTTTGCTATGATACCTTTCGTATACACAAAAGTCGATATCTGCTGTTCAAATATAACATCTACAATTATTTGGTATATGTACAAACTACAAGAATACAAATGTGTCTGAAATTGCAATTCAAATGTCACCAAAGCAACAGAGAACCCGTTCTCGATTCAAGGTAATGTTTTGTTTTGCGACATGAATATATACACAAGGTTATTTTTCTCGGAATTATGTGATAGTTTATTTTTAATAGAACTGTTGTGCCTACGAGTAATATTCATTGCATGCGGTGCAGTTATTACCAAACAGTGTATCATGATTTACTGATTAAATGCAATGAGGAATCATAAAAGTAACTTATATCTTTTTGTAATTATAATAATTTTTAATTTATTAGAAAAAATGTGCTTATTAGTATGTAATGCGTTGAATAAGTGTTATTATTTCTCTCATTTTTTTAAATAATTTATTGGTATTTGTGCATAAATAGTACAGTGTAAATGCAAAGTTATAATATGGTATTTTATATGTAACAAGAGATCATTACATTGAAATTAAATTACAAAAATTATATTAAAGACCAAATATTAATGTTGAAACATCAAATAATATATTTATTTTTAGGTGATAACTCCATTTCGATCACTGGTTCTCTGTGGTGAAAGCAGACGAGAAATGGAAGATTGGTTGAACGCGTTGAGAACAGTAGCAGAGAATCATCCTCAAACAGATTCTGGTATAGCAGAAATGCTTAGTGGTAATCACCAATGGTATGCAACAAGTCATGCAAGACCAACATACTGCAATGTTTGTAGAGATGCTCTTTATGGTACATATATATATATAAATATTTTGATATCTTTAAATTTTTAGTTTGTTAAAGTAATTCAATGAAAATTAACTTAACAACGTTTTATAAGAAAAATGGGTATTAAATTTTAAAGCATAAATTATATTATGTTAATATAGACTTTAGTACAATGGATTAATATATTAATAAATATAAAAAATAAATTACATAATATTTAACAGATATTCAAATAAAAATTCATAAATTATACAATAATAAATTGCTAAAATAAAGTAGAAAATAAGATGTTCTACGTAATTATGGTATTAATTGTGTTTCTTAATTCGATTATAATTTTAGCAACTTGTTACATTTTTATTTGAATGTCATTAATGTATGATTTACTTTATATAATATTATAATTTATATATCATAGGTGTTACTTCACATGGTTTGAGTTGTGAAATATGTAAATATAAGGTCCACAAACGATGTAGCATAAAAGCAATAAATAATTGCAAATGGACTACATTAGCATCTATTGGCAAAGAGATTATTGAGGACCAAGATGGGGTATGTGTAAAAATTCTATTAAAACTTTCTTTTAAAACAGTGATAAATTTTCTTTATTATGTCGTAACGAATACAATTCCTGAAATTAATTTGTTTATCTGAAACTAGAGTGGTAATCTTTAATTAATCAATTTATATGTTTTACGTAGAACATTACCATGCCACATCAGTGGATGGAAGGCAACTTACCGGTATCCTCAAAATGTTTAGTGTGCGACAAAACTTGCGGTTCTGTACTCAGGTATAAAAGCATATGATGTTGTTGGTATTCAATATTTTTATTCGTTCTCTTCACTTGTGTAGACTTCAAGACTGGAGATGTTTATGGTGTAGAGCTACAGTACACACAGCGTGTAGACCTGCCATAGGTGTTAAATGTCCATTAGGACCAGCTAAATTGAGCGTAGTTCCTCCTACAGCATTGCATAGTATAGGTAATATTTGTTATAAACTTATAACGTTAAATTAATTTGAAATAATATTTATTAATATGCAATAGGTAGCGACGAAGCATGGGAAGCTATTAGACCTACTGGGTGCAGTCCACTTTTAGTATTTGTAAATAGTAAATCTGGTGACAATCAAGGTGTTAAATTTCTTAGAAGATTTAAACAATTATTAAATCCAGCACAAGTATTTGATCTAATAAAAGGAGGACCAGGGCCAGGGTAAGATTTATTATACAAATTATTTCTTCAAGTTTTAATCGTCCGACTAAAACTTATTACTAATTTATTGTAAACAGGTTACGGTTGTTTCGTCACTTTGATCCATTTCGAATTTTGGTGTGCAGCGGCGATGGATCTGTTGGTTGGGTTCTTTCCGAAATTGATCGTTTAGGGATGCATGTAAGTAAAAGTAGAGAATTTGAATAATATTTTATTTTGTAAATATTAGCTAATTGCATGAATTTCAACATTTATACGTACATAAATTTATCTTAAATATGATTATGTTGTATAGAATCTGCAATGCCGATACAGATTTGTGCTGTATACAAATTTTATTTATATGCACATATACATATATGCACGAATATTAAATACAGTTATAAACACATCTGTAAACCACATAATTGTGTAGCTGAAAAAACATAGTCAGGATGAAAATAAAATTAAATCGGAATTATTTTTTTATTATTCGCATGCCCGTACTTTGTTATTATTAGTTAGAATGTTATAATATTTTGCCATAATACGTACCAGAAAACTTGTATGAAATTAATTTTTTTTAGCCCTTCTGTGAAAAATGAATTTACAATGAATGGAATAAATATTTTTAAGTTTACTTTAATAAACACAAAAGTATGTCTGGGAATTCATAAATTTCACAAAAGAGTTAAGAAAATGATCATGGAAAGCTTTAATATATTAAACAGCATGGCGTGTTTCTTATAATTTTATTTCAGATGATACTGGTGTTTGTGCATTAGGATTCTTTGTATGCGTGAAGCTTCATTAACTTTATTTGTAGATGGTAAGTGTAAATTACGCATGAATTCCTTAAAAATTCTTAAATATAATTAGTTATTAGTTAAATATTATACTACTTGTATTATTTGCACTTTTATATAGTAATGAATGTTTTCCATGTAATTTTAAAAATCATATTTATTATATTAACTGTTTATTTTATGTTTAATATAGTTGATAAATTAATTTATATTAAATAATTGCTAACATGAATATTCTAGAACATAGAATCTGAGAAAATTACAATCATTTACTTATTATAATGAATTGAATTCTATTCCATGATTAACCCTTTCGGTACGAGCGCTCTGTCTACCATTCTTTTATCAGAGAGTACTTAATATCATATTTAATGTGTTATTGAGCAAAAAGAATTGATATAAGATATTTTATAATTAGATATATATTTGTCTTTAGTGTTTTTATTGTGCAGAACAAATCTTTTTTCTTGGTATTTAAAAATTGCTTGGCTTATTTGCAACGTATGCTGCATAATAGTAAATATTTATACATTTCACAATATAACTTATACCTTAAAATTTATATAGCTTTGTACTATTTTTTAACGACATCTATGGTCCAACATAATTGAGTTTACAGACTTTATGTTTGTACACTTTCATAATTGCTAGTTGTTTCCTCGTGCATTTATTTTCAAACTTTCTAACAAGATTATTTATTGCTTCAAAATTTAAAATAGAAGCAGTGCCAAGTTGGAGTTCTACCTTTGGGAACAGGAAATGATCTGGCACGTGTATTGGGTTGGGGGTCTTCTTGCGACGATGATACTCATTTACCCCAGTTGTTAGAAAAATATGAAAAAGCAGGGACAAAAATGCTCGATCGATGGAGCATTATGACTTTTGAACGTAGCATATCTTTGCCGTGTCATAAAACTACTTTAAGTCGATCTGAAACAACTTTAAAGTCCAATATTGTCCATCAATATGAGAACAATGTTATTACTCACATAACAAACATTTTACAGTCAGATCAAGACAATGTAGTTTTATCTAGCATTAAGTAAGTATTTCATAGAAAATATAATAACAAAAATAACGGTAATTTTTTATTTACAAGATTATAATTGTAACCATAATGTTATGTTAAAATATTAGTTCGTATATTAAAGTAATATACATATAATAGATTTAGGCACGTAAATGGTATTAACAAGATTTGTTTGTTGGTAGAACTTTGTGTGACACAGTCAAAGATTTTGCAACTCATATAGTGGAAAATATTAATTCCGAGGACCAACAAGTGGAGGAAAAGTGTAAAATACTTCAGGAAAAACTTGATTTGTTGTTACAAACTTTATGTAGAGAAGAATGTTACTTACCTGAACATGTAGAAAATGCAGATATTACATTAAATGCTGAAGTTTCTATCTCACCTGGAAGTTGCGAGAAAGGGGTATTAGAGAAGCCAGAAAAGGATATAACAAATTTAAAAAGGGTTCAAAGAAAAAGACATCTTATGGAAAAGGAAATTGTAATGTCAAGGTATATTGTATAATTTTTCATATAAGGATAAATTAAACATTGATAAAACATGAATATTAAATATTTCTTTTACATTTTTTCTGAATTCTAGAGCAAACAGCTTAAAAAAAATTATAAGACAACTTGTGGAATATTCACAATTGGTTATGGATGATCAGATTAATGCAGATACAAAACATATTTCTAAAACATCAAATACGACTATTTCACTGGATGATGATATTACAGTATTAAATTCTGTATCGAGTAAGTTAAATTCTATTATTTTTCAAGGTTTTATTTTTTCTCAAATACATCTTTATTGACAAAATATATATTTTAGGCAAAAAGCAACAAATGGATATTCCTGGTTTAAAAGTGGACCACGTTGAAAATTTATCTGTAGGACCATTTATAGAATCCCTGAAAAGTACAGAAGATTCTATATGTACTGCTAGTCCTACTCCTAATCTGGCATCTTTAAGTCCAATGCCTGATCTTAGAAGAGATTCTCAACCTGAGGAATTATTAACATTACCTGCTCCTGATGGTTTTGCTGACACAAGACGAAATAGTGAAAATTCGCCACAAGGGTAAGAATATTAATTTTTATATTGTGTATAAATTACATCATTTGGCATCCATTAATATTTGCAGGCTTTAGAGCCAGAATTGCTTTATCATTCTTGGTTTTTGAAAAATTAGGTTTTTATAATAATGCATGACTATTGGTAAAAATGAAGTACTTATTATGTATTAGTTTGGTTTTACTTTAAAAATAGATGAGAGTTTTTTGAATATATCAGTGTATATTTTACGCATTATTTTTACATAATGTTTTATTCTGAGTAGTAACGTTTGCACGATGGTTATACAGATATATGATTATATGTATGTGTATATACAGACAATATTGTAATATGTGTATTGTAGAAAATATAAAAAGTATAAATGTACTGATTTTGTTTCAGCTCGTTTAATTTTCAAGTAATTACAACTCAGTCCATGACTATATTTAATCAACAAGAAACAGAAATTCATGCATGTAATGATCAACATATATCTGAATATAATAACATAGAAGCTTCTTCAGAGTTTCAAATAAGCGTTACGAGAACTAACTTTGATACAAGTTCGCCTTCGGACGATGCTACTATGCAAGATACTATTATTTCTCCTGATTCAGATTCAATTCAATCTAGACATTTATCCCCAGAACATGAACAAAAATATGAAAATAAAAATAAAGCGGATACATCTAGAGGTAGCTGTAGTAATAGTATTGTTAGTACAGATAGTATGATTTCTGATACTTTGGATTTTAAGAGTTACGTTATACGAAATAGTGAAAGTGAAATTGGTGAGTGTATAAAGAAATATTTTATATAATTGCGGTCGATAATGTCATCATACATTATTTAACACATTCTGATCAGATAATTATTACCCACGAAATATACAAATAATTTACATTTTATGTATTTTGTAGATAATTTGTTCTATTTATTTCAGCTCGTATAGGTAGTGATATATTTGATTCTACAAAAAGATCCGACAGTTCTGAAATTGGACATATTGATTCCCCTGATAATTCAGACATGTTTACTAGCGAAGTACAAAATTCGGAAAGTTTAATCGACGATTTAAGCTCTCTTGGGCAAGATTTAATTAGTACGATGATCGGAGAAAAATATGACTCTGTAAGAGAGTGTTTAGAATCTGAGCAGATTGAGAAACCACAAAAATATTGCAGTTTAGCTCAATTTGTAGAAGGTAATGATATTGCTAGGCGATCATTTAAGAAAGAAGCAAAAAATTCCATAGTTATGGAGAAAGAGGTACATTCGATATAACTAATCTAATTAGTCTAATATAAACTGCACTTACCGAATGCAATTGAAATGTTTTATTAATTTTATACAGAATAATAAAATCAAGTATAAATTAGGATTATTTGGGCAAAATAATACCGAGGTTGTCAAATCTAAAGAATCTCCAGATGGCAAAACATCTGATTTATTGAGTCCTGTATGTTGTTTCACTGTTTCTTCAGATAATACACCAACAAACGAAAAACCTAATAATTTTCCACCTACAATAAGTGTTATAATTAATCCTCCTAGTCCATCAATGTCTATTGAAAGTCAACACGATTCAGACATGGGATATAAAATGAGCCCTTACTTAAAACGATATAATGGTGAAAGTATGGAAAAACGTAAGTCAACTTTCATACGTTAAAATACATAAAACTACAGCAATATTTTGCACACTATGATTTTGAACAATTGTTTTTTTCTTATCGAATATTTATGTCATTAATCAATTTTATAAATGAATAGTAAGTGTAGAGCTGCCAGAGTCTGGTTTTTCTCCTCAAGCAACTCGTCGAATTAGCAGTGGAAGTTTATTAAAAGCATCAGAAGTAGTCTCTTTAGCTGCTACAGCTGCAAGATTTGGCGGTTCTAATGTAAGTTTACGCCATGAAAGAGTAAAATCCGTTGACAAAACCGAAGATGCTAAAAAACTTCCAATTATCAATCCATTGGTTCAATTGTCTATGTGGCCAAGTAAGTAAATATTTTACTTTTTATATAATATAATTTTTTAATGTAGTATAATCAAACGTCTTCAATTTATTATTATTTTATGTTTTTAGATGTCAGTGGAGGAACAGGTCTCATTAGTCAAGCATTACTTGCAAATGCAGATGCACTTTGTGCAGCAGTATCACCATTAATGGATCCTGATGAAACTTTAATGTGAGTTTAACTTAATAAATACACCGTTTGTAAAATATAAATAAATAATGAAATTTAAAGTGCATTGATAATTGAAAATATTTTGTTCAATCTTTCAGGGAAGGTTATTTTGAACGTTGCGTTATGAACAATTATTTTGGAATTGGTATTGATGCAAAAATCAGTCTTGATTTTCATCATAAGAGAGAAGAACATCCTGAGAAATGCCGATCACGGGCAAAAAATTATATGTGGTATGGTGTATTGGGGTCCAAACAGTGGTTACAAAAAACATACAAAAATCTTGAACAAAGGGTACAATTAGAATGTGACGGTCAGCGGATACCATTACCTTCTTTACAAGGGATTGTTGTATTGAACATTCCAAGGTATATATGCAGAAATAAAGTAGGTATTTTTATAAATTTTACAACTGAATGGAATTATGTTTTTTGTAGTTTTATGGGCGGCACGAACTTTTGGGGAGGTACCAAAGAAGGAGACTTATTTTTAGCGCCGTCGTTCGACGACCGTATATTGGAAGTTGTAGCTGTATTTGGTTCTGTTCAAATGGCTGCATCGCGACTTATTAATTTGCAGCATCATAGAATTGCACAGTGTCAAACAGTTCAAATTAATATTTTGGGCGATGAAGGAGTACCTATACAAGTCGATGGTGAAGCTTGGATCCAACCGCCTGGTATTATACGTATTATACACAAAAATCGTATGCAAATGCTGTACAGAAATAGGGTAAGTAAAAGAATGTCAAAAAAAGGAGATTATTTGATTCAAAGGGATAAATATTACGATTAGCAAACAATTTTTGGCTGGAATGACCATTTCAAAGATTTTCAGGTTATCAACGTGTTGTAGAAACATGGTTACACATTTTTGTCGCAGTAGTGTTATAACTGATACCAAGCAACTTGTTCCATTCAGTCAGCTCGGGTTTTTATGTTCTTTTGTTTTCTCGAGAGGAAGTCCTCGAGTTTTCTGCATTCGGCAAATTTCGTAAATAAGAAATAGTGCTTTGTTGAATCGAAAGCAGGGTACCCTCGTCACAGGTTGACGTGGGACTTTCCTCCCAGTAGTTTCATGAGTCTATCATTCTATCATCATTCTATCAATCGATAGAGTTCTAACGATAGAGTGTCTAACTCTCAAGTAATAACTGCGTTATGATTTGTACTTTTTAGGCTCTTGAGACATCTTTAAAAACGTGGGAAGAAAAACAGCGCAATACCCTCAATGCAATATCGCAATCAACATCCACTTTAAGCAATGCACCATTACAATCGCAACCAAAGCCTCACTTATACGCACAGAGTAAACCATCGCACTTAAACGACGAAGAAATGTATATTTTGCTGGGATTTATTGAAGTAGTTACAACTCTGGTTAAATGGGTGAAACTACTCATTATATCACATCCAAGTTTAGAGCCAGATTTATATCAGGTTGCTGCTAGGACAGCCCAGGCACTTGAACAAGTACATCCAAATGGAAAAATATTACAAGGCGTTAGTAGTTGTTGTTTTTATTTATTGTGAAGACATTTTTAATGTTTATTAAGTATCGATAATATATTTTTCTCTCACAGTAACAATAATCTTTGTTTCTAATTAAACAGAACAATTTGAGACCAGTTGTAACTGAATTAGTTTCAAGCGCAAGACAATTGTACGAAGACTCGTGTGAATTACTTAGAGATAAAGCACATAATTTAGTGAGTACTTCGTATTTTATTAATTCATTTTTGACATTTAATTACCAATTAATAATCAGAATTATGTGATGCAGAGATTGCGAGAAGATTTAGAAAGTAAGTTATCATTCTCTTTAGCCAATATGGAACAAGAATTGAAAAAGTGTACATTCGATGAAGGTGGCACGGGATTAGTATATTTACAAAGCTTGCCATCGGATGACCAGGTAATATACTTTGAATGTTTTTCTTAAGTAAAATTTATTGAAAATTTCTATTGAAATAGGGGGACAAGAAGAATCGCCACAAAGGTTTATTCTGGTTAAAATTCCGGCGTTCGGGAGGTAATTCTGGTGGACATCCAGCTAGGGATCAAGTTACTACATGGGGTGTTCAAGAAGTATGTTCCTGGTTAGAGAATCTACAATTGGGTGAATACACAGACAAATTTGTTTCTCACGACATACGAGGTAGGGAATTGTTAACACTAGCCCGTAGAGATCTTAAGGAACTTGGTATTACTAAAGTAGGACACGTTAAACGAATCCTACAAGCTATCAATGATCTGAATAATTAGGTATACGACCCTTACTTAAGCATTTCAAATTTTAAAAATAAGTAGTGTGCTATAACAGTTAATAGCTATCTACAAATTTATGTTAATACTGTTGAATCTACAAATTGCTGGTATCAAAAGTAGTAATTAACTATATACAAATCACTTATGAAATAGACAAAGAGTTAAATCCTTACATTGCAATTAAAACTTTTTTGCAATGATAAAAAGTCGCAACATAGATATTCCGATAAAAAAGGGTACTCAGCGTGACACAGCAGCGTTATAGGAAAATAATTTTCTCCACTGTTGTACATCACAAACTGATGATACTTGTGCCAAACTATTGAATTACTCTATGTCGGAAATCAAATAATTATAAGTAAATTAGTATAAAACATTTGTTTTTTTTTAAATTACAAGCATGATAAACTCGTGCTTAGTAAAGTATATTTGAACGAAATTCACATCTCAAAATATTATTAGACATAGCGAACATAATTATCGATGATGCATTTATCAAACAAATAAGATTTGGACATCATAAAAGTCTTATTAAATTATAATTTAAGTTGCTTTTGTGCTTTATGCACTGTACAAAAAATTGAAGACTTCAGAAACTATATGTTAATGTAAATCATCTATCGATTTTAAAGGTATTATACCATTGTTTGCCATTTTTTTATATTTGATAAATATTCCACCAAAAATTTCAAAATATTATATTAAGTTGAATCATAGCAGTATTACAAACTAATCTAGATATTAAATAATTAATGTTGATTATATTATTTATACAAGTGTACTCTATTTGCAATTTACATTATTTTACTTTGACTTTAATTTCTTTTGCAAAACATAGATATGTATATGTATGTGTATACAAGCATGATACAGTTTTAGAAAATGGATATCATATCCATGGTACAGAAAACAACTATATTTATTACAGGGTGTTCGTAAGTGTAAACTTCATATATTAAAAATTTAACAAGAAGTTTTTACAAGTAAATTAATATTTTACGTCTTCTTGTAAAAAAGAATTTTTTGTGTTACTCAACCTTGAAATTACTGAATCATATACAGGGTGTCCCAATAGAAACAGATCTTCACTATCTTAAGTAATAGTAAGAAGCGTTACTTAGAACAGTTGCATGAATTTCAAAGACGTAATATGATGTCAATAATTTCTTTACGAGTGAAAACGTAAATGAGATTTAAAAGACAATTCCGTTTCTTTTATGTTATGTCCAACTTATTGTGGTAAAATTTAAGTTCATGTAGAAAGATAGGGTACTATTTCATGAACTTAAAAACATCTAAAACTGTTTAACTTTGCATTATGCTATGTTTCTTATTCTATCTCAAAATCTTTACAACTCAACCTTGTTCGAGTGGGACACACTGTATGTTAATAATCCATATATCGTATTCTATAGATTAATTATTCTTGTCTTTATATTAACTATATTATATAAAATATATGTACACATACACATACATAAGCACATATGCACTTTCAAGAAAAATCTTATACGTACTTATAAATGGCACACTGTGTATATGTAAATGTCCTACAACTTTTTTATGCTCGTTAATTAAAATGTTTAATCATATTTATCTTCCAAGAAAAATTGAAAAGTACTCAAAGACATGTTTTCAACATTAAGTAATTAAAAAAATAGTGAGACTTAATTAATACGATCTTATGTAACAATTGTATAAAACGTACCGACAGAGTCGATAATAATAATAACAATAATAATAATAATAATAATAATAATAATAATAATAATAATAAACACGTGTATAAATAAATCGCCAATGGCAATAAAAGTATCACGTACAAATTTAATGAGAAAAAAAAAGAGGAAGCAAATTTCTAAAAATGTATCGTAATTTCCATGTTGTACTTGCTGAAAAGTACCCCCTCGCGAAACAGAGGTTCTTCGATATAACTCGCGGTTAAATTGAACATCACAGATACAAGATTATCTTAAATAGCATGTTTATTGAGTAAGATTTAAATTAACTCGGTTTACTATAATCTTTTCTAGCAAAGTTTCTGAAACTAATAGAAGCAAGATTACTACTATTATTGTTACTACTACAGATTGTTTAGCATTAGATTAATTCTGGTATAGGGACCCCAGGAGCTCTATAAGAAAGCTTTTTCCGATACTGAGGACAAACTGCAAATTCTCTCAAGGAGTAGTGATATACAAATCAGTGTTCCTCCTCCTTGAAAATCCTGGATGGCAATATATCTCTGTGAAGGGGTAACTGCTTCTCCCTCTCCCAGGGACAAGCAGTCTCTGGTGCCTATTATGAACTTTGGGATCCTCTGTCCTCTACCTCAATAGAGGATCAGGAAATTCGACCAAGGTGCCATCTAAATAATACTTGAGTGTGATCTTCTTGATCCAAATAACACTGGAAGTTCTATTCAATGTTTTCAACCCAGAGCAATAAAAAAAGAGAGCTCCTCAGAGTGAAAAGGCTCAATGTCGCCTAGATCCATCCCCTTCATTAAATGACGAAATTTGAAATAGCCAACAGATGTAGTCAATCTTCAAGTAGTTAACATTGTAGCTTTTTTCTGAGCTTCCATAAAGTTAACGTAGCAGCTAGTCCTGATCTTTTCGTTCTATTATATTAACTCTTCGTTTTCTAATTCCTCAGTGTCTATCTTCCAGATCATGAACTTTTCAGTGACTATAGTCCCATTCTGGAAATGCAGCCTACATGACAGGGGAGAAGGTATCAGAGACAAATCGAGAGAAAGTAAGTTAAATATCTGGGGTTCTGGGAGTCATGGCATCAGACAGAGAGAGTAGTAACGATAAAATCACCTGTAGGTAAATTTACCTGGATCAGTGAGGTACACTTCACCGGTAAGGTGTGTCAAGAGGTATTGTAATTGTTCGATTTTAGACAATACTTTATCTCGAAGTACAAGAGTATCGAATAGCTCTTTAAATCAACCCCAATCGATACACGTGCCAGAAAAGATAGGAAGATCGATTTGCGGCAAAATTTTGTGCAACATGGTCTCAACGTCTGTTGCCGGTAGTTAGTTTGACATAGTGACCTCTTGCTGTTTAAATTTCTCAAACTCTTTGCCGAACAAAGCTCTTTGTTCAAGATATTCTTCTTCTTCTATTGCAAAAATAGTTTGACAGCCTGCCGGTTTAAAGAACGGCCTTTGTCATTTTAGTGATTCCCAATTTCTTCAAATTGATATAAGCCCTTGAGATTTTCTGCTTCAGACTCTGCTGCCTCTTGAGGAGAGATTCAGAAGAAAGAGTATAAGCGCGACTTGGATAAGGAAAGAAAGCAATAGCACAAAATGAGCTGTTCGGGTTGTTCGCACTGAGAGCACATGGAAAGGACAGATGACATGGATAGGAATAAGACAAATACAATTAGGTAACACATTTAGGCAATGTGAAGTAGGCCAAGGCTGCTCTGAATAGGCGTAGTTATCAGGAACAATTAGAATCGATTGGCTGCTCAATGGTCTGAAGAGTTGTATTTATTATTCTATTTGGCTACTCGCTGTTTGATCTCTTGTCTCTTCATACAAACCGACAGATACACTCTTCTTGTCTTCCATCAGCGGGACAAGCTGATTTAACGAAAAAGTAGGAATAATATCTGACGCGATTCACAGTTGAGAAAGTGATTTTGAATGGCCAATACAGTTTAATACTAGTTAATGCCAATAATTCACGAGATAATCGGTTACTTGAAAGTCTAGAACTACCTTGTAATATCGAACATGACCTGAAAAGACAGGTTGAAGTCGAATATGGGTACTGATAACATTAGATTATATTACTTGATACTTTTATACACAAACTAATGAAATAAATCCATTTGTTGCATAAGAAGTGTATGGGTATAATTAAAAATTAAAAACAAATGCAAAATACTTTGTTATATAAGTGTAAAGACATCTGAACAAAAACAGTTGATAATTTAAATTTATAGCATCTTATAATTATACAATATATCTTGGACAGTTCTGGTATTCGACTTACCCTGATTAACTTAGGACATATTCTATATTACAGCTTAGCACGATGTTTTCAAATACTTTGGTAGTTTAGTACCTGGTTTAAATTAATAATTCCTGTAAACTTTAAACCTTCGCATTATACCTTCCATGCAAGAAAAACAATCGTTATCTTTCAAAGATTTTCTATCAGTACTGCCTATGAGGTTCAGCGCCTCGCTATAAAAGTACCTGCTTTTGGCTGTATGCCCCCTCCTCTCAATCACACTTTAAAGTACAGTAGTAGAAGTCAAGGTTATATTAAGTAGGAGATTTTTTTTATTCAGGATTTGATTGCTTTGCAGTCCGAGGCAGGTACAATACACCGATACCCAGGTCTCTTTCGCATGCGTGTATGTAGTGTTGTTGCGTATCTGCTACTGTTGTGTACTAGCATATTATGCTGAGTAGTTGTATATATATACGTGTATCTGTTGTATGTATACATATACAATTGTATATGGGTGTATGTACAACATACTCGAGCGTTCTAGCACATGTATGGATGCCTGTTGTATGTATGTATATGTCTCTTTACAAATTTAATGTATATTATGATATTACAGTATCTTGCTATGTTATTTTATATTATATTATCCATTTTGAAAAAAGTGTCCTGCTGTCGGCTATACTTTAATCAATTAACATCTCATAGTTACTAAGAAACTATCCTCACCGTACCATTTTGTTATTCCAGGTTTGCTTCACTTGTTACGTTTGAGAGATAGAAAGTTCAAAATCAACATACATATATCTGTTTCTCAAACAAAGGGGCAAGTTGGCATAGCAAAAGTGGAGGTTGTACTTAACATGATTAAAAAGTGATTGAAGTTAATGTAATGGGCCAATTTTGCTATCTTGACCATGGTATTTATTCACTGTGTACGTCTTGTCATTGATCTCATTTTTGATCGTTTAATCGTACTCTATAAATTTATTTGTTTTTTACAATTTTGTTTCCTACTATACTTAGATATCAAGTGATATGTATAAATAAATATTAGGGTGGTCGTGGTCGAAATTTGTTTGGTACCTCGCTCCATGGGATACCAATGTATACAAATATAATTTGTATAAAATATTAGCTAAAATCCGATTGTACTATTATATTAGAAAAATTACATTAGAATATCATGAAAAATAGAAGCCACCCTAATAAACATTTATATATTTTTTTTACATTATGATTATTACTAGTACAGTAATAATTATAATCATAAAATATTGATTTATTGAATTAATAGTAGATATAATTCAAATTTAAAAACAAAAAATTCACAGATGTTAGAATGTTCTTGTGGAAGTTTATGAACATCTAATATACGTAAAACGTAAATCAGGTGTTTTTATGTAATTTATATTTTTTATTGTTATTTTATACAATCACATAGCATTGAAATACTTTTAACTATTATTGTATATTTAATGTTAAGAACATTGCAGAGGCTAATCGGTTTTTATATTTGTTTATACTTGAAGAATAACGTAAAAATGTTGAATTTTAGTTATTGCCAAATAACTAAGGTATTATTGTATTCCGGGGTGAGAAACGTGAAAGTCCCATTATAATTTAATAAATACGATGCATTTCGGTACGTTCTATGTACAACCCTCAGTTACAAGCGACAACTCGACGAAAAGACGTTACGTCTAGACGTTAGCGAGGAACAGAAATCCTGTAAACTGATTTCTAAGGGTTTTATATCTTACACATGTTTGGTGGGGAGAGAATGGTTGTAGCCTTTAGTAACTAGAAGAGGTAGTTTGTGTGAAATCGAATTTTGACCTAGAAAGCGCACCGTGTTGAGTAAATACGTTTTAAAGATTTCGTAGAGGCATAGTGACTTAAAATGGATGACTTAAAATGGATATCTATGTACAGTAGTAGTAAATAGGATGCTAAGCATTTAACAATATTATTAAGAAAGAGATCAATAACTTAAAATAGTTGCGCACATTATACAATAACTTATAATTTTGTGTAGCCTTAGATCATAGCATGTATCTTTAAGTTCTAAATTAAAACATAAAATTGTACATATTAATTGTTCCACGTTACAGATTTCTTTTATAAGTAGCAAATTTTTAATGAGCAATACATAAAATGAATCAATATGTTAATATACTATTGGTCTAAATGAAAGACAAAATTCTTTAAGTAACTCTGGTGCACTTTCTAGCAAAAGGAAAGAAAAAAAAATATTGTATGTTTCAATGTGGTAATCTAAAGAGTAAAAAGAGAACAGTTAAACTGTCTCGATGTCATAAATTTTTCTTTGTTTGTAATATAAACTTTAGGATAAAATGTCGATAATGTAATCTTGAAACTGTTCATAACTATACAATTTGATGTAGTGCTTCATTTGTTATACCTTGTCTTTTTAAATGTTACTGGATGCTCAATCATACCACAAAAAAGTTAATCGATTCTTTGATATATACAGATTTGCATTCCAATATAAACCCACAAGGACAAAAGTGCCTATCTTAGATTTTCTAATCTTGAATATGTGGATAGTACTTACTTAACAGGCATTATATTATAATATACTATCTTCAAAATTGTATTCTGCATTCCACATTGTACATTTAATATTGTAAGCAACAGTGAATCATAAAAATAATTTGCATGTGATATTTATTTAAGACTATACCAAAAATTATATGTTGTATTCAAGTAATAATATTGTAACAGTATTACATAATGTTAAATATTCAGTTGTAATTTCATATTTGTACATCTCATATCTTTGAGAATGTTCAGGAAGAATAAACCATATGACCATTATGATGCATGTTTTAAGCGATAACAAATATTTTTAAAGTACATAAAAGTAAAAAAAAATATTTTTTAAAAGACATCAATTGTCAAGTTTATTATACTGAAGAAAAATTCAAAATAGTATGAGATCCTTCCATTGTTTTGCGGTATAAAACATTTTTTTATAAACAATATATATGTGTGTGTATATATATATTATGTTTTAAACTTATACGCATTTGAATTACAAAATGTTCTTATTTAAAGATATAAATTTTTGTTCCTATTTATCAAATCTTCTTATCAGTATTACTTAACTTCTATTCTTTTATATTATTATTCAATACTAAACACTGTATCACCTATTTATAGAAAGTATTAAATATAATTTATTTTTAATTAATATTCGAAGATAACAAATATAGAAATACAAAAAGTTTCATAATAGATTGATACTATTCTTATGTAGATTGAGGTAGTTGTCATATTTCTTCTCTGTTCATATTTCTTATATTATCATGATAAATATGAATATTATAATAAAATAAAAACAAAATGATTATATTAAATACAGTCTACAGTGTTAGTTATTTAATATTAACATATGAAGTATTTGGTAAATTATTAATAACTCGGAACATATTGTAACAACATTTATTAAGTTCATGGAAAAGTACATAATGCATGATACACATTTTATTAAAATGTATAACAATCATCAAAGTATTCAATAATATATTAAACATTTTAATAAATGTCTCTAATAGAATCATAGTTTGATGCATGAAGAATTTAGTAATTAGTCATATCCATACACATTATAATTGAGTTCTTAATGAGTGTCTTGAAAATAATACTGTTGCATGCTATGCACATTATATTCAACTATATGTAAATTATGATTTTTAAAGAGACATTCATTACATATATATATATAATATATATTTTTGAACTTGATTCAATGTATTTTTAACAAATAAATTTTTAATTGATCAAGTTTCAAGGGTGATTAATTTTTACTCGCGGTGTATTATAAATCGTATTCCGTTATAAATATAATAGACGAAAATATTACAGTATATACTTTGCTGATTAGTAATTTAAATCTGTGTCTTTTGAGTGGAATATAAAGGACCAAGAATTTAAATTCTCCATTAATTATTTTAATAATTTTGTTACATTGATCAAATTTTTCGTTCATTCCTGTAGTTAGTTCTATAGAAAGTTTCCTAATTTTTAACTTTTCTCTTAAAGTAAGCTCTCTCTTATATTTGTAATTCGTAGTAAAACTTCAAATGTATATGTACATATAGGTATTCCTTTAAGACTGGTAGTTAAACTAGATAAACAGTGAATGAGTAAGAAGTTCAGCAACATTTTGAGACTCATTAGATACTTGAGAATTTCAAGTTTTTATAATTGCATTTAAGGAAAATGAGACAATGACACAAAATCTTTAAACAAGTAACATCCAATATCACAGAATACTTTAGGAATTTGAAATTGGTAGAAAAAAGAAATTATTGATAATAGTCTCTTTCAAATTAATTTACTTTTCACATAATCAATAATATTTTATAAGTGTTCTACTTGTAGAGAGATACATATCAGTGTTATACCTTTTAGAAGGTGTTAGAACTTCTTGTAATCTCAAACAGTAACTTTTGAGAAGTAGAGTCTCTTACTCCATTGTTTTGTAAGGTATATTACTAATGTAATTTCTCTAAATTTAATTTTTTGTTAATTAATGTTAAATATAAAATCAAATCAAATAAGTTACTAATATATCCATGAATGATAAACTAAAAATGAATTTTACAAAGCATACAGGGTGTTTATACACAACATACAAGTTTTGTATATCAAATTTCTGATACAGTATCCATCATATTTTGTTTTTATAAACAAAAACAAGGTATTAAAGATGTATGCAGGGTGTGCATATGGAAATAATGGCGTTAATATTAAATAATAACTACATTACATAACATTACTCTTATTATTATTAAACTTTAAATATTCAAAAATGTATGAATGAAGAAAATATTTAAATCAAGCGAGTCGTAATATAATCCTATTCTAAAAAAATAAATAATTTTAATTCTAAAATCACAACTGTTTAAATTATGGAAAAAAATACTATCACACTAAATAAACTCCATTTTCGTTCCTTTTTTTAAGGAGCTTTGCTGTTCCTTACTTACTTAATATGTAATAATTAAATAATTTAGTGTAGTATTATGAAAAACATTCTTTACTAAATGAAATATTTAAAAAATGAAAAATATTAATACAACAAATTAAATATTGTAATCTCTATGTTCAACACTCGACTATTGTGGAATATTTTAATAAACTATATTAATACATATTATATATACATAATAAATATTTGTAAGTTATAATAGAATTGATATGAAAATATGAAATAATGGTAAACTATAAATGCAGAAATAAATACTATCTGGCCGCCAGAAGAAGGCTGACGAGTGTTTACATCCACACTTTAGTTTACAATTTTCCAATAGCATAAACATGTATGTAAACCATAGTGGAGATGTAAATACTCGTTGACCAGCTTCGTGCAGACAAACAGTATATTTTTTGCTAACTATTTCGCTATACTTAATCTGATTCTATTTCTGATATCATTGTCCGAACTAAAAGATAACACATTATGTTTTTCCATAATATGAAATGTTAAAGTATATTTGAGTTAAAGTTAAAAAATTAAAGAATAGACAGAAAATAGATGAAGAATGTTATGAAAACTGTATAAGAAATAATAGCAGAAAAATGGGTTCAAATTAATTATTATATTTGAATATCACTCTTATTTTAAGTTTATAAAGTACTTAAGCTGTGATAAATGACGACACTCTGTATAATGATATACTATATTATATTGTTACTATTTACAACAATTTAACGTGGTGTTAACAATGTAGTAATAGTTATTATATTTATATAACTTACATACAAATTTACTTCACAAACGTAGTGAAACTTGTGTACTCTATATTCATATTTTGAGTGAATACTGCATTTAAATGTCAACATACTCGTTATATGTAGTTTTAAATTATGATTTTAAGCATGTGATTAAAGGTTTTAATTGAAAAGTCTCAAAATTTTATTCGAACAAGCAGCAAATTGTTTTCGGAACGATTTATTCAATTTCTACTTGGACCTTTTTATTTTTATTCTTATCCAATGATATATTTTTAAGTTCATTTATAAATCATACGTATTCAAACGGAGTGTTCTACTTGATTTGCTCGTTTATAGGTTTCTGAAAAAAACACGAGACGGGTAGTAGAAACATTTTCTTTAATAATCCATAAGTTGAAAATGAAAATATGTAAGACATATTTACATATTACATGTTTTTATTTATTTTAGTGTGTAGATTCACCCCTGAAATACAATAGTGCACTTTTGAGATATCCTAAACAATTTATACATATAAAAGTATATACATTGTATTCAATATACACACACGCAATATTAAGAATAAAAAACATTCTTAAATTTAATAGTTTTGAAAATACAATTTGTTACCCTGTATATGATTATTATATATAAAAGTAATCGGCTCAATAATTTATTATCAATTTATACAAGATAAATACTTTATATATAATTAAAAAAGTGACTAGATGTCTAAACTTTATACGTTATTGTGTAGTTAAAATTACATATATCGAATTTATTTTATTTATTAAATATATTAAATATATGCTTAATATACTTAATTTAAAAATTTAATATAAATTATAAACTTACAAATGTATTTGATCACAGGATTAGCCTTAAGAAATAAAACGGTTTATTCTTAATAATGTAGTATCTTTCCCTAAAATCTCCATCATCTCACCTACAGGTGGACCTTCCTAAAATATAACAATATATATTATATAAAATGATGTTAAATCTCTAAAGTGCAACTCTGAAATTTCATATTTACCTTTAAACCGCTAAGAATACCACGTAATAGAGTCATTAGCGTCGCAATTGGAATCTTATGTTCGTTAGCTAATTCTTTAAGGTAACTATTAATTGACGTCTTATTATAATTTTGACTGTCAGTTTCGCTTAATTTCATATTTATTATTTTAAGCACATCTATAGTGGAAAACAATGATTTTAATTATGTATACGAAAGCATTTTATAAATGTCAATCATACCTAAACATCCCGATTCTGTAACGTTTACTGGTGAAGACGGTATAACCCATAAAAATGCAAAATTTGGAGTCACTAGATCGCTTAATTTATATATTCTATCTTGTCCCCATTTTAGTACTGTCATTATATGATGTTCATCCAATTGTAAACCTGCATTATTTTTCCTAAAGCAATAGTTAGAATATCATGAAAACTTTAAGTAACAAACGTTTCTATAAATATATTAAAAAAAAAAATACATACCTGTCTGGAAATGCCTCTATGACTAGTCTTCTAATTCTTTCAACTAAAAATTTCTTATTTTTGTCATTTGCTATCAGTTTGGATATTTCCAATTTATTAAATTGTAATAATTTTTCAGGTAAAAGTTTATTAGAATTCACTTTTATTTTCGAAACATCAAACTAAAACAATATAAGTACAATATGTTAAAACAATGTAATATAATTAATTTAAATCGTTGGTTTATTACAATAAAACCTTAAAATTGAAGAACATTTACTTGTTTGATCAATTCTTCGTAACTTTGAATATATTCAGCCCCTCCTTTGTTATCAAATCCACCACCAGCATGTATAATATAATTTAAAACTGCTAATGGAAAAATGCCGTCTTTTCTGAGTGACTCAATTTGTACATCATTTTGCCTCTTTGATAATTTTGTACCATTGGAATTTAATATTAAAGGTAAATGCCCATATACAGGTGGTGTCCAATTAAATGCTCTGTAATAATGTAAATTACTTCTGTTTATATACTTACATTCGAAAGCGTCCGAAAGTTCATTCTTATTTGATTGTTAATTCAACAGTTATAATTTATCGAAATATATTATAAATATATATAATATATTCGAGCAAAATTTAAAACATTATTCCACATTGAATGACCCCCATATTATTATTGTTCTATGTTTAATACTATTAATAGCAACTTTAAATGCCCGTACTTATACATCATTATGTGCTTAGGTGTAGATATCTGCCATTCAATTCCTCGTAAAACGTGGGATATTTCCATTAAATGATCGTCAACAACATTTGCAAAATGATAGGTTGGATAACCATCTGCTTTAATGATAACTGGATCTCCTTCAGTTTGCGCAATATCGTGAACTATTTTGCCATATATGATATCATCTACATGTTCTGGTACAGAAGATAACTATAAGATAAAAAAATCTCTCTAGAATTTAATTAATCAAGATAATACCGTTTGATACTACTTTCATGTTACCTTAAATCTAATGCAATACGGATGATTTTTATCCAGCTTCTCTTTCACTTCATCTTTACTTAAATGCCGACATCTGTTATCATATTTAGGGACATGTCTACACTTCAAAGCTTCTCTTCGCAATAACTGCATTCTGCTTTCTGTGCAGAAACAGTAATACGCAGATTGATTACTTAAAAGTTTAAGTACTTGTTCTCTGTAATTTAATATAAATTTAAATTCAGACTCTCTTTAATGCATTATGATATTAATTTTAAATCTAGAAATTTATTGTCTTAATAAGAAAAGATCTTTGTACTTAAAAATTCCAGGATTATGTAAATTTAAATAAGGAGAGTTTATCATACTTATATATCTCAAGTCTTTTTGATTGTATATACGGCCCACTGGGCCCACCTCTTATTGGATCTTCGTCGGATATAATTCCAGACCATAATAAATCATTCTGTATTTTTTCTATTGCTTCAGGTACACATCTGGTCTGATCGGTATCTTCAATTCGTAAGATAAATGTACCGTTATTCGCACGAGCAAATAAATAATTATATAATGCAGTTCGTAAACCTCCTAAGTGCATTAAACCTGTAATATTTTATATTATGTATGAATAATGCTGTTCGCTTTAAAAGAAATTAATATTTAATATATATATGTTACAGCAATAAAATAAAAAAAATAAAACACTATACATATTTTTGTGTTTATATTATTTTATATGAAATTATACAGATTAATAATAATGTTACATACCAGTTGGACTAGGTGCAAATCTAACTCTTACTTGATCCCTCTTGAAAAATCGTTTTTGTACAAATTGGATATTTAGTGTGCGAAGTATGTTACGGTGCATCTTATCGCAAACTAAATTAGACAAAGGTTATAATTTAAATTGCATTGAATGTTAAGATTGTTTTATTTCATACTATAATAAAAAATCATAAGATGCAGTTCATTTGCATTAATGTATGTAATAATTTAATTTTTTTCAATTTACTGTTTCTTTTCAATATTTCTACATAAACGTAAATATGTTATCGAAAACGTGTAGCTCATTAACGCGTCGTTTCTGCACACGGGCCAGGTTTGTGTTGTCGTTGCAAACAGGCCGGTTTTTTCGCGCATGCACGTCAAAAACGGTGTCAGTGAAGTGCTTTGTTTGAACGAAAACGGGTGTTGTATGGACCTCTGTTTTGTTTCTTTAAAAATTAATAAAAAGCATAACGAAGAAGATAAAGCAAGAAGAAATGTTGAAATAATTACGTAGGACATCAGTTTTACGTAATAAATGATAATATTGATGTAGTTACTTTAAATACCCTGATCTATTTCACCTGTTGCTGTTGTGTACTGTTGCCACAGATCTCTATATGCGTAAGTATAGAGATCAGTGGTAAAAACATAATTATCAGATGATTGTATCTTGAATAGAAACAACAAAACTTTTACAAGTATTGTTTATACGCATATATAAATAGTCATTATTTTTAGTTCCTTTTAAGGACTTTAACTTTTAAACAATCTTTTAACGATAGTTTTATCATCAATTTTACAATTATTTGACGCGTCTTTCCATTTCTCGATCTACCATATGTTCGACCTACATATGTACATCCCTGGCGTGTCGAAATGATGGACCAATGAGAGTCTGACCAGATGACGGTCTATTTGTTTATATAAAAAATGTATTTCTTGTTTAGTTTGTGAGTATTTTGTTGTTTTGTAACAAAGTACAACTATCGAAAATGCTGAAAGAATGCAGAAACATATATGCACTTCTCTTAAATTAATCTAAAATGTATGCAACATTTCTAAATTTAATAATTATTTATTTTAAATATATGCATTTTTTTTATAATGCATGCGACAATTCTTTTTCTTTTAGAGAAGTTAATAATGCGTTGCATTTATAAAAATATACTATCATTCAATAAAAATTCTTTACGGCAATTACTTAATATATTTTCGATTACATGTAGTATTAACTAGTCTGAATGAAATTTAAGCAGTGACTAAATAATATATTTATGTGTATATGCAACGGCAAATATATTATTTACATTTGCCGCCGATATATCCCGATAATGAAAAATTAGTCCGTTTTAGTTACCAATAACGATATAAGAGTGCGCTTTAGTTACAGGCTAAGCGCCGCAGATTTCGCGCGGGGCGGGTGTTGTCATTGTATTTTCACGTGACGAAAGTGAGTTTCCGTGGAATATTCGACAACGAATCGCGCGAAAATGCCGCCGAAAAAGCGGGAGAAAGAATTAGATGGCCAGAAGGGTCCTCGGATGGATCAAATACAAGCAGATCATGAGCTATTCCTACAGGCCTTCGAAAGTAAGAACCTACAATTATCGTTTCTCTTTTATATATACTGCCGTGACCTGAAAATTATTAACATTTAGGATCTCAAAGTCTGAGTAGTCAACGATCTCCTTCTTTCGTGGTTGTTTGCTGTAAATGTTGAAAGTGATCGTACATAACCCCATTTGTTGAAAACGTACCGAGCGCCGAAGCGCGCGTCGGTTCCTTTTCGTTCCCTCCTTTGCTTTAATCCGCATGGGACACCTGTCATTCTTTTGCCAGGACCAAATGTACTATCTGTTTGAAAAATTCATATTAATTTTAGTTGTTTTTAATTAAAAAGTAGTTTAAATTTATTTGCAACTATGCTTACAAATTTTTGTTGAGATATAAAACATTTTTAAACTAATAGTCTCATACTACAAAAAGTGATATAAAAGTATGACATACTTTGTAATGTTTAAAATGTTATCTTGATACACACACCTATGTTGATATTGCTAAATTTTCGTTTCATTAATGATATTTTTATGATAAAATTTTGCATGGTTTCTAGTGTCAAGTTTTTATGCTATTCATAAATTTGTTATTAAAATTTGAATCACAAGTTATATTCAATTTTTTGTTATCCAACTGTAGCCTAAAAATATTTTGTTCATATTGTGTTAAATAAAAAAGAGATCAGAGAGGTTTATCCTGCTTTTATGCGTAACAAAAGCTTGCAGGTGTCTCATAAAAAAAACGAGAATAACCAAATCATCATTTCTCTTTTAAACCGTGGAAAAGATCGTTTTTGGCTATCTCAAACTCTCCCTTTTAAGCTTCTTCATGCATTCTTTCACTTTTGAGAATGACATCAACCTTTGTGCCATCTAGGGAAATTTTATTAAACTATATTTCCACTCTTATATAATGTAATTTTGGTACCTATATTTTCAAAGTTAGTATTCAAAAATTTTATTTTTTTTAATTTTTGTCTCATAATGTGTTTCTATCATTTTTCAGAACCAACCCAAATTTATCGATTTCTACGTACAAGAAACCAAATTTCAGTGAGTAAAAAACAAACTAATTTCTGACCTGAGTTTTATTTAAATTATTAATTATTTATAGTTCAGTTTTGTCCTCAAAGTGTTAACTGAATATTTTAATATTCAATAATAATAGAAAATAAAAAATGCATAATAGATAAAAGTAAAACAATAAGTACATATAAATATGGTGAATGGATATGTATTTGATATACATCTTTCTGTCAACAATCAAGTGAACTTTTCTTGTGTTGTCATAGAAAACATGTTATGAGCTACAGTAGTGTGTTTGTGTACGTTTGTGTAATATAATGAATCATAACAAAGATCGTAAAAGTATGTTTTAAAACTTTTTATATTTGTCTTTGATACATAAAAACGGTAGGTATAAAAATTTATTTTATATTTTAGTTACAAAAACCATATTTGTTTTATTATGTTTCGCGCCCGTTATATTTTTGCACGTGTATATTAATGAATACATACTCAATTATGTAAAAATATACCATATTCTTTTTAGCCAATATTTCTATATAGAAATTTAACTTACATGAAGCAACGTATGTCTAGAAGCCATAAATCTCGACGGGGATTTAAAATTGACATGATATTGGAAAAGTTAATGTCAAAAAATAATCAAGCGGAGAATCCAGGTGTCCGTGGATATATGACTCTTACTTTTCTAGGTTTTTATGATAAAAAAGGTAAATTTACATAAAAGAAATAAGTTTTATATTAATTTATATAGTTAAGAATTAATTTAATCAATGTAATTTTTTTAAATAATCATGGTAATGATATTACAGCTGAAGCACCACAGGATCCTGTAAAAGTAGAAACATTATTATTGAAAATTTGTCATAAGAAACGAAAGGATGTGAGTTCGCCAATTATGCAGGTAAGTATAATTTTCTGAATTCCTTTTTTGATTAATCAGAAATAAAATAGATCAAATTAATTCCTGAGTGTATATAAATATTTAATTGTTTCTGTTACAGGTTTCTGTTGGTACGAGCGAAGTTCCAATTAATCCCTGTGAAAATCAACCTCCGCCAAAAGCACCTACTATATCCATACCTAACGAGTCCTTCAGCTTAAACAATGGCCACGTAGCAAAGACTTACATGCTTTTACTTAGAGTTTATTGTACATCCAATACTGGCTGCCTTATACATAACTGTGATTTAGATGGTTGGTAAATGACTTTTGTTAAAAAATAATTTTTAAATTGTACGATAATAACATTAATTTGTTTTGTTTTCAGAACCAGCTCAGAAGCGTCGTAAATCCTCCACTGGTTCAATTAAAACTGGAGGGGAAGAAGTAAAATTGTATGGTTCTGAACTCATAGTGTACGATAAACATAATCGATGTTTATTAACAGACGGAGATTATGAATTAGGTTTACAGGAAGTACAAACCAATGTTCGATCTAGCCCAAAGAAACACAGCTCTTGGGAGTCTGTACCTGACATCAAAGAATGCGGTCCTTTTGAAGTATTCAGCAAAGGACCGACATTAAAATTTAGACTTAATTGGACAACTGAACCGAGTAATGGTTTGGTAGATAGACCAGCTCCGATACATCCAGTACCAAGCGGCGATAACAAAGAAAATCGATCTGGAAACAGTAAGCTTTCTACGTTTCGTATAAATTTAATAACATAAAGAGCATAAAATTAATATTTCGTTTGATAATTTCAGCTGGTCTAGAACGTTCTTCCACAAATAACAATAATAGTAGTACCAATAATAATAATCATCATAATAACAACAACAACAATAACAATAATAATAATAATCATAATAGTAATCATAATAGTACACTGCCAACAGCTAGTCCACTTAATTCTTCAAGAATGACAACAGCTAACGAAAAGACAGACACCTCAATGGGTACACAGCAAATAGTTTATCAATTTCTATATAATAATAATAGTCGTCAACAAACGGAAGCCTGCGAGGATTTACATTGTCCTTGGTGCTCTTTAGACTGCGGCAAACTTTATTCTCTTTTAAAGCACTTGAAATTATGTCATTCGCGATTTACATTCACGTATGTGGTAAGTACTTGTTTCAAATATCATATTTTTGTAACATTCGAATATCATAATATAAATAACATTTATTTCAATAGCCGATTCCACAAGGTGCTCGTATAGATGTAGCAATAAACGAATGCTATGATGGTTCATACGCAGGTAGTCCCCATGAATTGATTTCACAACCTTCTAGCGTAGCTTTCTCAAGGACAGGCCCAACAAGGCGCACAAGTGTGACAAATATTTTGGTATGCCGGCCAAAAAGGACTAAACCAAGCCTCTCCGAGTTTCTGGAACTTGATGAAAATGAGTTCGAAAGCCAAAGACCTTACATTACAGGACACAATAGGTACAATGTTCAGTTATGAAATGCAAATGCCATCCGTTGTTATACAATGCAGTATATTTAATGAAAATTCTTGTAGGTTGTATCACCATACTGTCACGTGTTTACCCATATATCCAAAAGAAATGGATATAGATTCCGAGGGCGAGAACGATCCAAAGTGGTTGCAAACAAAAACGATGATGATGATTGACGATTTCACAGATGTGAACGAAGGAGAAAAGGAATTAATGAAAATGTGGAATCTACATGTCATGAAATATGGCTATGTAGGAGACTGTCAAATACCGCTGGCTTGTCAGATGTTTCTAGAGACTAAAGGAAAGGAATTGCTCATGAAAAATTTATATCGTAATTTTGTTTTGCATATGTGCAGTTTGTTCGACTTTGGTCTGATCAGTCCAGTAATTTTATATCAAACAATTCAAAAATTACAAGAGATTATGAAAGAAGGAGGGGAGGACAGTGATATTCGAAAAGTTTTACAAAAATCTCACGAAGCTCAAGTCGAGAAATGGATTAATTCAGGTTGTCACGCGTCTTCGGATACTAATAAGCAAATTAGTACAGGTACTAAAGTAAACTTTAATATCGATGGGACAAGTTCCAACGCAAGACGAAAAACTTCTTTGCCGCTTGGTTCGCCGAATTCACAAAGTGTAAAAACAACGGTGTCTATCCACAATAATGTTAGTAAACATGCCAGCATGATAACAACATCATCGAACAAGACTGTAAATCATAGTAATGCGATTCAAAGCTCTATTAATAAAAATTCTGGGACATTTACATCTATACAAAGCAGTACAAATAAAACTGCTTCTACAGTTTGTGTAACAAATACTATTAGCAGTAAAACCTCAACAATGGTCTCGATGTCTAATGGAGTGTCTAATCAAAATGAAATAGGACAAAGACAAATCAGTGATATACCTACGCGGCGTAAAAGTACAAACTCGATAGTTCATGTTTCTGAAAGTACAACGCCTTTGCGTCGAAAATCAATGGCAAGTGAAAGTGCAAGTACTGAATACCATAGAAGAAAGTTGGTTTTGGATACAATACCGAACAACGGTAACACACACTAAAAAAACCACTCCAAAATGAAAATAGTTATTAGTAACCGTCATATATGCGTTACTATGCTAATTGTACGTTTTTGTACAGTATTTGTTGCAAAGAATATAATTGCGATTAGAATGATTGACATTATAGCTAATACTTTAATCATTGCTCTAGCCACTAAATCAATTTTTTATGAATTCAAAAGTTTTAATGTAAAAATGAATTTGAATGACTCATGATTTTAATTAAAATTAACAAATGATCGAATATTGAAAAGGAAGTAATTCTGAATATACATAGTCGAAAGTCATTTCGTAAATGTATAACATACCCATTCTCTTTTGGTCTAGTCAATGACATTTTGTTTTTCATTTTCTGAAGGTTTTTATTTGCTTAGTAATGTACAGAAATCGTATTGCCTCATATACTATAATTATAATTTTCACTATTTGTAAAATATAATATTTTAATAACAAAACCGAAACAAAACAAGAAACATTAAATGAAAAATAATATATTAAATTTATATGTAATTACTGTTTGCGGAGTGATCCAAGGGCACTGGATGAATCTAGTACGTTCATAATTAGCGGTGATAGATTATTCTTTTACATGTTAAAACCTTCTTTGTAATGTTTATTTACATTATCAATTAAATAAATCGGATAAATTTATTAATATCTGAGGTTGATACAAAATTAAAAAAAAAAACTATCACACAATCTCTTGAATGATGGGACCTTGGTACGATTACTTCAAATATTTCTTGTAAATTCAATTTAATAAATTGAGGCTGTAAGTTTTACTCCAAAGTAAGGAATAAGTAGAAAGAAGTGCCTTTACAAACCAGGGAATCTGAATATGAGAGTGACTATCGTTAAGTTGTATAGACACATTGATTTCTATGTATTAAACGTCTATATGGTTTTTATTTAGTAAAATAATTTCGCACTGATTGTCGTTCTCTCAGATAAACTTGGGGATAAAATTTACTGTATCACAATGAATTTTTCTGCGTGTAATATACACATCTCTACTGCCGATGGTCGTTCGAAGAAACTTGTACATTCCCATATGAAAGTACGCGATGTTTTTTCCCCCCCTGTTATAGTTCAATTAGATGAAATTATTTAATCTCATGTAGCCCTTAACAAGTACCCATTTATGAGGAATCTTTGTTCTCTTCGAACGACTTTAATTACTGTCCATTAATATTACTATACTTATGCTAGGTTGTAAATAAAAAAGAAAATAAAAAAAATACAATAAACACATGGACATAAATCATAAATATTTTTATTTGAAATTGTTCAAATTGTCTTTTTTTTATAAATTTCTAGGCGCAATTACATATAACAACGGAATTTTACTACATAAAAATTAATACTGTAGATGAAAATACTTTTATTAGTAAAATATTCAGTATCTAGTTTCATTGATTGCATTATTTACATATGTACATATATACACACAAGTAGTTAATTTAAATAATAATAAACAGATACAGAATCATTCCCATTGTTAAATAGATAACTTTTTAACAAAGTTTAGATTTATTACACATATATTTCCATGCTTGTAAGGAAATAAGTTCTCGCATATTACTTTCCCCTGTTATATCATCAATCATTTTCAAATTCTTGTGAATATCTTCCAATCTCATGATAAATATTAATTTGTTTATTTAACAATCCTTCAAAATATTTCTTGATTCCAATGTATGTTCTGTTTCTTAGTAATTATTATACACTATAATTGTTCTTCATTTAATTTATTTTCTATTTTCAAGAGTATCATGTGTTTCACTCTATCGTATTTGAAATATTGTGGAAAGTCTATTTTAACATATTCAATATGCCAGTTGAAATTTCGTGTTTCAATGCATTTTAAAAAATCTTCGTACATTGGTGCAGTAGTATCCATATTGGCTGTGGTAAATACATATCTCTTTTCTAAAGCAATATAGACAACTTTTTGAATTTTTGAATTTAACAGTTTTTCTAATGTTTGAACAAACCCTCCTGTTATGTTTTCATCGTAAATTACTGTGAACATACAACATTATTAATAACTTGTACATCAGTTTTATACTTTTTATGTAAGATTACAATTTACCATCAGCTGCTAAAATAACAGTTGCTTCATCAATTCTTTTCGTATAAAACGTAGGCCAATTTAAATTTAAAAAATTCAATTCTTTAATATAAATTTTGGATTTAATGTAAACAGTATTTCTGATAAAATTTCTACGTATTATTTTTAATATTTCTCCTATATCAACATCTAAAGAACAGAAAATCTGTTAATATTTAATATAGACAAATGGTACATAATTTTCATAATGTTAAAAGTGACTTATTACCTGTACATATTACTTCCTTGGCCAAGAAACTTACTACTATGCTAGTTAAACCAACTCCTGCACCTAATTCTAAAACTACTTTATTTTGAAATAAATCAGGATTAGACAAAATGTAATCGGCTAGTAACAAGGCACCTCGCCATACTTGCAGTCCAACGTGCTGCAGCTGTGTAGATACACGATGTTCTAAAAATATACATTAATACATGGTTTTATATATTCAAAAATGATTTCAGACATTATATAATTAATTAGAAATTCAATTATACCTATTAATAATCTTCCTTCTTCTTGTCTGTCTATATCTAAATCATCGTCGTTGTCTTGTATAATATTACTGTTGGTAGATTTTGGTTTAATCATGTAGGACGGACACTTGAAAACAAAACTGGATATTGCATCTGAAAAGTGCAACAAAATCAAATAAACAAATATATTGATTAATAGATATATTACAGTATTATACAAAAAAATACTTAAATTAAGAAGTAAACTTACTGCCATTTTTAAATACTACAGAAGAATTCTGATTTTCTGTGAATATTTCTGATGTTACTGTATATAATGACATTCTGGTAATGAAACTTCACTATTCTATACAAATTTTTTATATTTCCAATATTCTTTTTATTATTACATTACGCGAAATGTACTTTCTATCGCTCACTTCTAAGTAAAACAAAAATAGTATTCAATAATAATGATTTTGTTGAAGTAAAAAATTAAATTAAACGACTACTACTTTGACACCTAATTCGAAGTATATGACAATGACATTATTCTCATTAATAATTGGTGGTCGAGCTTTATTGATTATAAAAAATATATATAATTTATCGATCACACAAATGACACATGTTTGCGTGCGTAAAACATAAAAGTATCACTAAATAAAATTACTGTTTATAAAACATACTTAATTGAGATCGAAAAATTACTGAAATATAAACCAGTGTACTATCTACTTACTAGTATCTACGCGTGACGAAACTTCGAGTTATTCATTCATTTGAAGAGTCTATATTTTAACTGAACTTATGTAATATACTATTGCACATTACAATATTCGCATCATCGACAAATTTCAAAATTACATTTTATTTCAAGTTTTAAAATTCAATTTTAAGAGATAACAAACTATTACTACGTTACACAATACATATCAAAAATATTATTACAAACTTTATTTGAAATGTTCGTTTGCGTTTCGATGTTTCATCGAAAACATATATATAAATCCATCAGATACTTATAACAAAAAATATTAATTTCAATTTTAAGTCATTGTGTTTCCCATTGAAATATTTAAACTATCTAATACTATTTCAATTATTTGAAATTGATTATATACATACAAACAAACAAATCTGAGATATTATACAAAATGTTTATGTTACATGTGTTAAAATATATTTAAACATTTAAGTATTAGAGAATTAGGAATTTAATTAAATTTGAGATAAATGATCTACGTAGTTTAATTAAAAGTAAATTAGATATTATATACTTAATATCCAATTCTTTACATGTGTATATATATATTATTAGATAACGAACATTTTTATATTTCTATATATTATTCTTTGATAAAAAAAAAATCATTTTATAATAAAAAGAACCGCCAATATTTAACCATTAGATTATTGATTGGTACTCGTAATAATAAATGGTATTTGAAATAATGTAAAGTACAGGAAATAAGAAAATTGTATAATCATTAAAAAACATGATATCTAGAACCTTATTACAGTAACATCATATTAACATCCTACCAGAATCTTGAACAATCTTGAATATGCATTGACCAATTAGCAGCTCCCACGATGAATGTGATGCCACGCATTAACCACGATCTACCAACTGTATAGTTCTCTACATCATTGTCCTTCATCACTTTGTTCGTGTTCCTCAACGAGTCGCGTTGAGTGCCTTTGATCTCGATACTAAAACGGCAGGTTTACTGTTTTCCGATTCAATCAGACTTTCTTAGGTATCGTGGCATAAATCAGCAGGCAATAAACTCATCTTCGTTCGAAAAATGAAGCTCTTAGCGTTAGCCTTTTTAGTGATTTTTTCCTTCGCTGCTGCTCTTGCAAAAATCGAGACCGAAGATGCGGTTTTAGTGCTTACGAAAGATAATTTTAAGGAGGCTATTGAACAAAATGAATATCTGCTTGTCGAATTCTGTAAGTAACAGATCATATTTGTCGTAACAGATTCTTTAAATTGTACTTGTATATTCATAATTTCATTTGTTATTTCTGTACAATACACCCAAAAGTCTGACTGAAGTTGATCCAGATGCTCAGGTTTTACACGTCACCATTTGGATGCCGGTTTCTAAGATTAACACCACTTGTTGACATTATTTCTATTTCATGATTAATAATTTCAAATTAAAATGTTGCAAATAGGATTTATCTTAATAATAAATTATTTAAATTTAAAAATTTACAAATTAATTTTGTAAAAAGAAGTAATACCTGTATCAGTTTCCTATTTTTACAGTTTGATTGAAATATAATAATTTCAAGATTTCATTTAATATTTTGAGAAACCTTGATATCATCGTAAATGTCTAATAACTTGTATTTTACATAGTCCGTATCTATTAAATTAATATTAAATTTTCCAGCGATAGACTGATTATGATTGAAATCTTTTTATTTCCATCAATATTTAGATGCCCCATGGTGCGGGCATTGTAAGGCTCTGGCTCCTGAATATGCCAAAGCAGCAAAGAAGTTACAAGAAGCTGGTTCCTCTGTAAAATTAGCTAAAGTTGATGCTACCGTGGAAACAGAATTAGCTGAAGAACATCAACTCGAAGGATATCCGACTCTTAAATTCTATCGTAAAGGTTCTGTTATCGATTACACTGGTAATCGTCAAGCAGATAATATTGTAATGTGGGTAACGAAAAAGTCAGGTTCAGCTGTTAAAACTTTAACAACGGTTAAGGAAACTGTAGCATTCATCGAATCGTACGATGTTGTAATTATAGGATTCTTTAAGGTGCATTATATTTTATATATTTTGCTTAAAACCATAGTTCACGAATTGTTTTAATACGAGTAAGGTATATGTTTATTTTACCATCATATTAGGATGTAAACTCAGAACCAGCAAAAGTATTTTTGGAAGTTGGAAATGCTAACGACGATCATGTATTTGGTATAAGTAGTAGCGAAGAAATATTCAATGAAAATAAAGCAGAAGATAGAAAAGTTATTCTATTCAAAAAGGTATATGATTAATAGTTAATTCTATGTTTTTTATATATATATATATATTACTAATATATTATACTTTACTGAATTAATATTTGTCTTAGTTCGATGAGGGCGAAAATGAATTTAACGATGAATTTGATTTTATGAAATTACAAAACTTCATCTTTGTGCATTCACTGCCTTTAGTCGTTGATTTCAATCAAGATAGTGCACAGAAGATCTTCAGTGGCAATATTAAAAGCCATTTTCTCTTGTTCCTTAGTAAAGAAGCTGGTCATTATGATGAGTATGTAGAAAAATTGAAGGAACCAGCAAAGAAATTCCGTGGAGAGGTATGTATACGCATGATGAATCATGCATATAAATAATATATTAAATATTAGTATACTAATCTTCATGAAAGATATTAATACAATATTACAATGTATATATGTATATATTTACAGGTCATATTTGTTACAATTAATGTTGATGAGTTTGATCATGAACGTATCTTAGAATTCTTTGGTATAAAGAAAGAGGAAGTACCTGTTATGCGTATCATAAAGTTTGAACAGAAAATGCCAAAGTATAAACCGGAAAAGCCAGAAATAACCAGTGAAAATATTTTGGAATTCATAACAGCATACGTTGAAGGCAAATTGAAAACCCATTTGTTTTTACAAGATTTGCCTGAGGATTGGGATAAATACCCTGTGAAAGTTCTTGTTAGTTCTAACTTCCATGAAGTTGCACATGACAAAGAGAAGAACGTTGTAATCGATTTTTATGCTCCGTGGTGTGAACACTGCCAAAATCTGGTTCCTATTTATGAAGCAGTATGTTTTATAATTATTTTATGTTATTAAAAGTTGCAAAAGCTTTTAGTCCAAATTTTTAAATATAATTTCATATACTTCCAGCTTGGAGAGAAATACAAAGACAAAGAAGATATAGTCATAGCAAAAATGGATGCTGTTGCAAATGAATTAGAAGATTTGACAATTCAGAATTTTCCTACAATTATGCTTTATAAAAAAGAAACTAACGAAGTAAGTGTCTCAGATTTAATATCAACCGAGTTTCTAATCACTGTTCGAACGTTAATAATATTTATAAAATAAATATTTAGGCTGTTCAATACAATGGTGAAAGAACACTTGAAGGACTTTCCAAATTTATTGATACTAATGGTGCTTATGGTGAAGCTGCAAAAGAAGTTTGTATACATTCATATTTTAACCTATTGATATTTTATTCTTTTTCGATCGTTAATGCCAATGGATTTTAATCTATAACAATTATCTTGTTTCAATTGACAAATCTAAATTTATATTATTACAGACTCAAGAGGAAGATGAAGACGATGATGTGCCAAGAAAAGATGAATTATAAACTATGATCATTAAGGAGTAAATCAAATAATTTCCCACTTCTATTTGCAGTTGATAAACTTCGTAAATCTACTTAACAGATACTAATTTATAGAAGACTTTTAAATCATTCATCTTCATTTTGTTACTTTCAGACTTACGTTTATAAATCAGTTTTTAAAAGTGTACAATTAACAATTAAGGGTTTACTTGCAGTTTTATACAGGGGTTGTTCATATATTTATACAAGGCGAGTTACTTAAGATTGGAGTTATAAATATCATATTGGTGATAGTGAAAAAGATTCGTGGATGGAAATGTATCACCAAATACAATTTGTAATTCAAGTCTCAGATAACTTGTCCTATACTGTGCAGAGATTATTTGTTGGCTAGGCACATACGAACTGTAAGTATTTGTTCTTGACAATTATTATTGCGTAGAATTTATCGAAATCCTATTATGAAATGTCAGAGAATTTTTTTGTTTTATTCATAATTAATACTTTGAGTCTACGTGTACGCCAATGTCGCTCACTATGGCTCTATCTAACTCTATCTTGATACGTAGTTGTGATTGTCTGATAATAACAATGCTTGTGAATTGAAGTAGCGCTATTATATTACAATCAGACTGCTTAACCAACAAGTTATCTCTGTAAAGTACATATAAAACGATTTACATAATTTGTTTATGATATATGCTTTGTATAACTATCCAAAGTGATATATTGCATATAATTGGAAGAAAAGTTTATTTTATATATGTTAGATTTAAAATACATTTAATATGAATACGAGATGTGAAAATTATTTATATATAAAAAACATAATTTAGGAGCGGAGCAATCACGCTAATCGTAAAGCTCGTACGTCTTTTTACTGAAACTTTGCACCCTTTAAAAACTGCAGTGTATACATACAATACTTTTACTCGTGATATTGATGTATAAAGATATAATTTGTGAAGAATTATTAAGCTAAGACTCCCGCATAATTATGAATCGCATTTTATTTTTATAAGAAAATTTTGTTTTTTTTATTTCATATATACACACTTGCGCGCGTGTAACACACAACACACATATACTAGAAGTTGTTGTCCTTTTAATGGTAAAAGTAGACATTCTGAAATGTCATTTTACTAAAATTTATGATTCATAAATACATTTCCATTACAGCATTTAAAATGATCTATATGATCGTTTTGTGAACATTTAAGTTAGACACAATTTTAGTGTTTCCTTAAGTTAGACTGAATAAAAATTTTATAAATGAAAATTTTAGGTATGGAATTATCAGTGATAGAGATGGAAAATAAAATATTCTTAAGCCTGTATTATGTATCATTCTAATATATATTTTCATATATATTATTCTATAGATTCATATTTATTTAATTTCCATGAAACAATAACCCTAAATAACATTAGCTTTGTTTGGTAATGATTATATTGACAAAAGTTGACACATGTATCAAAGAAAATTATCGAAGATATTGTAATTGTATGATACATATAATAAGGAGCACAGTTAACACTTTGAGTGACACATGATTAATTCTTTGTATTCGTTCTCTGTATGTTATGTATTAGATTATTAATTACTGTTTTTTTTTTTATACATCTTCTTTTTTTTTACCAGAAACAGCAAGATTTAATCATAAGAACGGAACGAATAATCAATTTCTCAGCGCTAAATAAATTTTTACACCAGACATTGATATTTACAGAAGAAGTAAAGAATGTGTTACAGTCAAATTGTAATGAAGCAATATTCTGTTTAAAACCGTGGCATAAGGAAATTATTACTAAACAGGATATCAGTAACAATGCTTGTATTTGTTCTAAAGTAAGACAACTAATAATCTTTTTATATATTTTTTTATAATAAACTGTTTAATTTATGTTTTCTTGCTTGAAAGTCTGAAAATGGCGTTGAAGAAATTGCTGCAGGAATTAGTAGAGCATTACTACAGACACAGCAGTTACGAGAAAAGATATCTCTGAAAGTAACAAAAGAAGAGAAACTTTTCAAGCAGCCTACTGTATCTGAAATTTATGATCCTCGTGCAATTGGTAAATATTTATTAAAAATAATATATGTATTATTCAATCGAATTCATGATTATAATCAAATTAGACGATGAAGAAATAAAAAGACTACAAAATTTACGCGTGAGCAACAATAAATTGCGTTCCATCGAAAAAAAGAATACAATTAAAAATAACGAAAAAACAAAGAATGATAATAAACAATCTATAACGAATACAAAAGAATCAACGCGAAATACAAATTTTCTTGTAAGAAATAAACGTAACATTAAAAACATAAAGGAAATTAAGAAACTTAAAAATACCAATCATAAATTGGAAAATAATTCGAAACTTAGTAGTTCCATAAAAAAGGTAATATAATTTTATGGAGTATAAGTTTTTATCATAATTTAGTTATTTCACGTAATTGTTTTATGTATAGGTGAAGGGTATGGAAATTGACAATAAATCTACATCAACATCCACTAATGAATTAAAAAATCTAATACATAAAGTGTCATCCGAATCAAATAATTATACACTTTCTAATGCGGACAGTGCAATGTGTCCATTGCATGGAAATGTAGCATCACATGTTAAATATGAACAAAGTTTTATTACTATGGATGTTGTAGACAGTTTAAATGCATTTAATATTCCTGGAGAAATTATTAAATCATTGAAAACATATCATACATATTTAAACAATGAATTTTCAGAAAAATCGATTGATAATGGAAAACGACAAAAAATGGTCAATATATTTTTAATAGAATTTAATAAAATGGTAAGCGATTCATAGAATAGTAATGAAATAGAAAAAGATATATATATATATATGTACCTATGTATCTACGCGCTAAAATTTCTAATTCTGGTTATTTTAGCGTGTAGATTCAATTTCTACAATATTTACATCTATTTCTGAAACACCCTATATTTATATGTACACACAAACACATATGTATGTATTGTAGGATAAAATTGTACAAGACAAGTTAATAGAAAAGACTCATGAAGAAGCATCATTATTAACTAAATTTATATCTTTATTTAAAAATCTATTCGTCGAAGAAATAACAATATCTAATTTGGTTAATATTAAAAAAGTGTACACCGAATTGAATTGTATGTGGAAAATGTATGATGCAAAAAAAAGTATTAATCTACATATTTGGAAATCAAATATACAAGAAATATTATTTCATAATAACTTTGATATGTCGGAATGGATGTCAAATGGAATTTGGAATTTTGTCTATACCAACAACTTCGAAGGTACCATTAATTCACCGACTTCATTATACATATAAGTAGTATGCTATTCTACTTTGTTTTATTTTTAGGAATGTCAAGGGTACAGTGTATATGTTACAGAAACAAGAAACAATTATTATTGTTCTTTGAAATGATTCAACAATTACAACAAATACAGTATTTTAAAGATTTAATCAAAATCCTTTCAGAAGATTTACTTCCCAGTATGGTAATGGGTTTTGATTTTACAAAACCAGAGTATGTAAAAATATATAAAATGATTTGTATTCTTCACCAGGGTCTAAATCCAAAAGTTCCAATTTTAGTACGAACAGATGTATAAAAATGTTGAAAATCCTTATTAAATAAAGAATTTTACATTAATGCAAACAATTTATACATTTATGTTACTAGTTACTATAGAAACCGGGAAGCACAGATATCTAAGCAATCACACACAACTGAATGCTAATATTACTAAGAATTGCTTTGATATCAGTAGCTAAATAACGTATTAATTTGTGAGTAACAATAGTGATTATTATCCTATATTTGAAAACAGTATTTTAATCTATGTATATAAAAAGTATGAATTTACAATACGCTTACACAAAAAAACGGATACAATTTGGAAAACAATGCAGTCTTTCAGATTTCCAAAAAATAGAAGTTGATATCAAACCGCACATAGGGTATACGAATAATTATATTCATGTAGATCCTGCCACACATGGAACTCAATGTGGCAAAACATATTCTGCTCATGAGGTATAAAGCCATGCTAGTATTTTGTATAATTACATTAATTATTACATATTGTTATATCATTAGGTAAACACAAATACTGCAACGTTCAAAGATAGTAGTATGTGTCATTCTGAAGGTGGCTGGCCAAAGGACTTGAACGTGAAAGACACAGAACAAATAGTTAGATATAAACGTAAAATAGAAAAGGACGAACTGTATATTCATACAATGCTTCAATTATTGCCTGTACATATATTTTCTTTTATATTATTTGTCTACAAGAGAAATATTTTGTTATAAATCAATGTATTAATACATTTACTAATATTTACAATTATTTTTAGCCAATAGAACATTGTATATTACAAAACAATACTTGTAATATTTATGAACAGTACTTCAGTTACATGGAACCAATTTCATTAACACAAAAAGCTTATTCACGTACAGTGAATGTCTATCGTGATGTTTCGTCAATAAAGAGACAAATAACACACCTTTCCTGGTCGCCAGACCAAGGAAATTACTTTGCAGCTAGTTATTGCAATACAGACTTCAAAAAAGGAGTAAATGATAATCCTGTTTCATATATTTGGAACATAGGTACGTTAAATTAGAGTCACTCATAATATATAAGAAAGAAAGTTGAATAAACATATATCCTGCATTTATAGAAAGTCCAAATACTCCATGTTTGACATTAAAACCATTCTGTCCGATTTTGACATTGGAGTATAATTCTAAGGACAGTAATATATTAGTCAGTGGATTAATGACTGGTCAAGTATCTTGTTGGGACATTAGGAAAGGGTCAGAACCAGTTGAAACAAGTTCAGTAGAATTTAGTCACAGAGATTTATGCAATAAAGTCTTGTGGATAAATTCTAAAACTGGTACAGAATTTTTCAGTGCTTCAAAAGATGGACAGGTATAGCAAAATATGCCAAAAATATGTTATAGAAATAATGAAAAAAAGATATAAACTGCAGATAATGTGGTGGGATATTAGGAAATTACATACACCTACGGAAACATTAGTGATAGATTTATGTAATCCTGATGATCAAAATGTTGAGAAAGCAACTGGAATTTCAGCATTGCAGTTTGAACCATCTATGGGTACACGTTTCATGTGTGGTCTTGAAAATGGTAAACAAACATTTGATATTCATATATTTCTATTTCTATTTTTATAAATCTATTTTTGTGACTAGGCATGGTAATATCGGGAAATCGTAAAGGTAAAACTCCAGGTGAAAAAATTGCGACTAGATTTAAGGCACAATATGGACCTGTGATAAGTCTAGAAAGGAATCCAACATTTGTTAAGAATTTTTTAACCATTGGCGATTGGACAACGAGAATATGGTCTGAAGATTGTAAAGAATCTTGCATTGCTTGGACACCGTAGATACACTTTACATTTCGAGATATATAAATATTATAATTGACCAAAATTTCATTTGAATTATATTTCAGCGGTCATAGGGACTTCTTAATTGGTGGAGCATGGAGCATGACACGCTTCTCTGTATTTTTCTTAATTAAAATGGATGGAACTTTAGATGTATGGGACTTGTTGATTCAACAAGATTCTCCAATCTTTAGTATAAAAGTATGTTCATTTAGATATTACAATTTACATATAATATTTATATTTTTAAAATAACAAATACTAGGTTTGCGATGAAATTTTAACGTGTATACGACCCCATGAACAGGGCCAATTGGCTGCTGTTGCAAATAAAAATGGAACAACATTTTTACTTGAATTTTCAGAAGCATTGACAACTAATCAAAAAAATGATAAGCTTCTACTTACAGCGGTAAATTATTGCTAATTTTATTGTAATTATTAAGCATTAACATAACTTTATTATAATTAAATTATTGTAATTAACAGCTTCTTGATAGAGAAACACGCAGAGAAAAAGTAATAGAGGCTAAAAATAGAGAGATGAGATTAAAAATGAAATCTCTTCGAAATATTAACTTTGAGATTGAAAGCTCAACAGGAAATACGAAGATTGATGAGAAACCAGATTCAAAGTGTCTCAATCTTGGTACTGATGATGCAATGTTGATGAATTGTGAACAAGATTATGAAAATGCTATTACAACAGTGTGTATAATTTTATACAACATTAGAATTGGTGTTTGTTATTTTAATTATAAGATTTACTGTATTTTACTGCATTTTATTAGGAAATAGCAAAACAAGCAGCAATAGATAACGAGGAAATGAACAACAAACACCTAGTAAATGGAATGACCAATTCACAAAATGGTTTTTAAATATATGCATTTACTAAAATCATTAATAAAACCTTATTCAGCTGGTTATTCAATTTATCTTTTTCCTACAATATTATTTTAGAAATATCTAATTTTATTTTATTAATCATATTTTTAATAAAATGATTTTGGGATGGATTGTTGTACTTTTTGAAATCTTTTGTATAGCAATATTACGTACGAATTTCTATAATTAAATATGTAAGACTAACGAGTGTAATCAAGCATAGTATAATATTGAGCTTCGAGTTAAAAATTATGCTTTATTTATCGATTTGTGTCTACCTGCATCATAGCAGCATAGGCTGAAGTTTCGTACGTATTGATATACATGTATACATGCTTTTAATAAATCTTAACACCCGCCATTGGTGTCAACAAAGTATCTACTCGTCCCAAATTTGAGTTATATCTGTTTTCAAAAATGTATCGATTGTAAAAAACGTTCGTGTTTTGACAGAATCATTCTTATAAAACAGTGAAAAGTTGAAAATTACAAAAAGTGTGAAAGATATGAAGGAGAATTCTACGAGAGTATTTTGAAAAAAATAGGAGTAAAAAGTAAAAATTTTAAATGATACAGTTTGGTATAATGAACCAATCGTATCAATTCACATATCAACCAAAGAAATGTTGAGAATGCTAGGTGAACAGTGACATAACCTTAAAGAAACTCTACACAATAATCAGGGAACCGTGGGAATCGGAATGATATTGAATGTATTTGTATAAGAGATAAAAAAAAGAAAAATGCAAGAATAGTTCATGCCGTTGCATTATTATTTGCTTCAGTATTATATGAAACTTTACGAGTAACGAAAATAAAGTAATAAATTAAGAATTTTCTTATAAAGTAAGAAAATTTGAAATTTCGTTTTCAAGCTGTACATAAGCTGCACGCATTACATAAAATATAATAGCATGTAAACTATTTACAGTAACCTATTTTAAATACTTTTTTCGTTAATGAAAATAAGTACTAGCATAGCGTACTTGTTAAAAAGGAATTAATTTATAATTATGTGGCGATGAAATTTTGTACAAATATCATTACAAAGTTCTAATTGAGTTTCTATATCGGATAACGATAAAATGGAATTAGAATTGCGAAATGCACTAACAAAGAAGAAAAAGAAGAAACGATATAACGATGAAACGAACTCGCAGTCGTTCATGATTAATACTAACAAATCTCAATTAAAAAATAGCGATAGCGATAATTCGTCCGAAAATTCTATTTCTGTTAATAAAACGACCGCCAAAGAAGGCATGCAAAAGTCTTTCGAGGTATTTGATAGAAATAAAATGAAGAAATTTGGTAATAAAAATTCAACGAATTTGGAGGAATTTGAAACGAAATCAGTGAATGTTTTCGTTGATATTCATCGAGAATATAAAGCGGAAAAATGTCATGCTGAAAGCATCGAGAAAAATGAAACGGCAGATGAAAAGGCAAAGGCTATAGGTTTAAAGGAGCCTGAAAGCTTTAAAATATTTTCGAGAACAAATACTTTTCATGAGAAAAAAGACGAACGATCGTATATTAATCCGGTCAAGTATCGAGGTCTTAAAGAAGAAGACGATGATATAGAGGTCGTGGAGTCGATAGATTTAATAGAGGAATTTCAGGAATCCTCAATGGACAAACTAGATGAGAAAAGATTCGGAACAAGAAAAAGTAAATCGACTAAGAAACATGCTGATCAATTTTTTGTCGAAGAAAAATTCCATAGCAGAAGACAATGGGGCGCGCGGGAAAGTGAACCGGAAGTACCAAAAAAGTCGTCCCGGAAACGTTGGTCGAAAGATACTTCCGTGTTTCGATTACCAGATGGAAAAGGCAACTCTTGGACGACATCGTCGACGGAGAATGTATTTCCATCGGTTCAAGATTTGGATGAATCAAAACAAAAGTCACTCTCCGGCTTCGACAATGCAGCGTTCGTTTCGGACAACGAAGAGATTCTCCGAATTGAGACTGATCACGAGAACGCGAGAATCGTAATGAAAGAAGTCGTTAACGCATCGAGAAAATCGGATCTCTCGCTAGTCGAAAGGAACATTCCTAAAGAGACGGCTATCACGATAGAAAATTTGGACGTATCGAAAGATTTAACTGTCAAACACTTCGAAAGTCGAAACAGAAATACGGTGCTGGATGTTGAAAGTATCGACGACACGCCTCCTAAAAACAAGAATAGGCATTCTAACGGAAACGACAAAAGGTATTCGGACGATTCGAATACTTTGCATAGTTTAGAAAATGTTACCGTGCAGTCGGATCATCGTTCCTCCGAGGAAGTGTTGATAAAAGATGATCGTCGTCAGTCGATTAAGAAAATAAAACGAACTCGTAAAAAGCATTCCGTCGATGATGAAATTCCTTCCAGTCGACATACCACGTCTACGACCGAGGATGATGACCTGAACGAGAATCGTTCGAGAGAATCGATCGACGAGGACAAATCGAAAAGTTCTGTAGTAAAAAGAAGGAAATCAACGCATACGGAATATCGGTATCGGTCGCAAAGCGGAAGGGACAAAAAGAAAAGCCATCGTAAGAATGTTTCCGATTCTTCCGTGCGTAGCTCGTGCCTTAACACCGAGGCGGACTCGAAGAAGAAGAAAAAGAAAAAAAAGGACACGAAGTATATTCTCGTGATTGTTCACAGAGTGAACACGTTAGAGATCGACTATATAACGAGACACCCGATGGTAAAAGTTCATATCGTGAAAACGGAAACTGGAGAGTATTTGAAAAGCGAATCTAGCAAGAGAGCCTATTTGCAACCAGTAATAACAGGGAAATTTGACTTTAAAGAAAACAGATCCATAGTGCCTGTATGGGAAGAAGAATTAGTGTTCGAACACAATTTCGAGACGCTGTTGAACACCGATGGCGAGCAAATCGTAATCCTTTTCGAGATCGTCGATCTGTTGAGTTTCGCCGAGGCCAGTTTCAACTATGACAAATTCGGCAAGTATCAGCATGTAATGCAGAGTAGGGGGAATACTGCTTATGGGATTTTAATATATTTAACTATTACACAGGTCTTTTTTAAATGCCTTCAAAATAATTACATTGGTGTTACACAGGTGCCGAAGGTTGTTGGCATAAGATTGCATGGGCTTTTCTGCGACCCGTGGGAAGGAATAATGTCTTTCACGTCAACAAAATGGTCAGATTACAATTGTACAAACCACGGAAAAACGTGAGAAAACTTGAAGGATTTTGTACGTGCGAAGTAAGCGATTACAGTTTTATTTTCATTCATTATTTCAAAAACTCTCTAGTCCTTTCAAACGACCTTTCAGATTAAGGAAACAAGCATATTATACAAGTTGAATCGCATAATGTATACGCCTCTACTATTTTTGTTATCAGCAGACATTTTTATACTTTACATGCTTTTATCTGCATTTAAAAATCAAAAATATATTTTGTTTTTTCGCCTGTGACAACAAATAAGATACAGCTCGTTCCATTTACTAGATTTACTTTGTATTTGGAATTTTTAGCCCTTTATTAATTTATTAGGCGTACACGTGGTGGAAGTCAGGCTTCAGAGAAAAGTATCCTAGCAGTTTATTTGTTACCATGACGTCCATCGAACCGCCTAAGTTAGAACCTGTTTTCTATCAGCAATTATCATTACACGATCTATCCGATGTACGTAGCGAATCACAAAAGGCTTCGACCCATACTTCAGATTCCATAGACTTGCCGAAGTGGACGCGATTGGCTGCGCAGTCATGCAAAGTACCGAACGAAAGTATTTTCGAGACGGACGTTAGTGAAAACGGATGCTTCTTCGTTGCTTTCAGTAATGATGGCAAATATTTGGCTTGCAGTCATTCCGAGGAACACGACTACCCTATCGTTGTTTACGAGGTAAATTATAAATAAAAAAATTGAATAGTATATCTCTATTGAAGTATTAAAGACTATGCTTAGAAAATATGATTATTACTTCCTTGGTTTTAGGTTATCGCGAAGAAGGTTTACGTCCGATTTTCGGGACACAAGACATTTGTTTATTCGCTTCATTGGTCCAACAACGATAAGTATTTGCTTTCTGTTTCATCCGATCAGACTGCACGTATTTGGGACGTCCGGAATCAGATCATACAGCATGTGGAAGTAAGGCTGTGCATCCGCGTATTTGCCATTTCGATTCTGTAATTGTTACTTTAGTTTCTGTTAACAGTAATTGAAATTAAATTCCATTATATTTGTAACAGATGATGCCGCATCCATCGTACGTGTATTGTAGCAAATTTGGCCCTGAGAACTCTTCGATCGTAGCGACTGGATGTTACGATCGGATAGCGCGCATTTGGACGCGAAACAAGAAGTCGAAGAACCGTGATCTCAGTCAAGAATTAGAAGGCCACGAAGGCTTCATAAATTCAATGTGCTTTCAAACGAATAGTAATTTATTAACTGCGGATAGCATTGGCACGATAATTCTATGGACGGTCAAGAGAAATCGTAGTGTGCCGTCCAAAAGGGAATGGCATATATCACGAAAGATAAGGGTCAGAGAAATTGATGGCGTAATAATCAACACGATCGTTTTGCACCCTTTAGAGTCTAGGCTCCTTGTGCACTCGAGGAATAATGGATTGAGAATGCTGGACCTTGCAACTGGCGTAGTATTGCAAAAATACAACGAGCTAAACAATCAACGGTATTTTGTGCTCATAATTTGAAACTCGACTTGATCACTACTTTACTATTATAGAACTTGTTAGGCCTAACCAATCATACGAATGCTCGTTTTAGGATACAATGTACAGCCTGCATCTCCCCGTGTGGCGGCCTAATACTTTGCGGAGGCGAGGACTCCACTTTGAACGTGTGGAATTTGGAGAGTGGCAATCTTCTCGCGAGATACACACTCGACCGGAGTTTTCGTGCTGTGACCTGCGTGGATTATCATCCGTACGATCATGTGCTGGCCTTCTCGACTTTCGGCAGATCGGCGCCAGTAAGAGTTCTGAAATTCAACAAAGACGCAACCGGCGAAGACGTCGGATTAAAAATGACGGAAGATATTAGAAATAAATTGAACAACGACGTTTCAGCGAGATTTTTTAACGCTTCGGTAACACCTAGGGAGAGATCGCGATCGAACAGTAGTATACGAACACCGGAAGAAATTTTAAAAGAGAGAAGCTCGCAACGTAGTCGAAATCGCAAGTTTCATTTTGTCGAATCTCCTAGCGGCGTCCTGACAGAGAACAATGATAAGCACACCGATGCGAAACTAAGGCTACTGCGATTAAACGAAACCGAACGAGCGTTGAAGAGCCAAAGTGCAAACCGATTGTACAACATCATCGAGAAGATCGATCGAATACTATCGAACACGTCGAGATCCTCGGGCGATGTAGAGTCTGGCAGGAACTATCCTCATGAAACAAGCAAGAGTAGAGTTTTAACGAATCGGAACGAGAATACGGAGAAGGGTAAAACAAAGATAGGAAGAAAGAAATCGTTAGAGTATTGTAGCACCGATGATCGTTCAAATTCGTATTTCGATTCGAGTACAGGGAACAGCGTCGAACGCGAAGTCGAGGAATTGAAAATGCTACGAAATACGAAAGCAAGTGACTTCCATACGAAAATGAGATCGAAGAGCGCAAAGGAGAAAAGGAGCAACGATATGCACGATGACGTGGCGAAGACTTTTTCCGACAGTGCAGCTAATTATCGAAAGTCCAAAATTTACGATGAAATCGTAGGAATTAGAAAGCCGGAAAATATCGAAACCAATTTTATTCGTCCGGCGAAAGAAAATAATTCGAAGCAAACAAATTACCGCGGGAAAAGTTCTTTCAACAATAATGGTACCTCGAATTCATCTGGAAGTGCTGAAACTTATATTGTGGAGAAGAGCAACAGCGATGAAGATTCGATGAAATTACTGAGAAACGAAAATTTGATTCAGAGCGATACAGAAAACGATACAAACTTTATAAAAGATTACGAAAGTGGAAGTTCAGTACATAGCAATGCGACATTTACCATCGAAAATGAAATTCCTGTTCCGATGCCTAGACGAAAAAAATCCAGTCTGACGTAATTTTGTTAAATAGGTAGAAATAATAATTGTAGTATATAAATATATTATTTATACACAATATCGTACTTTATACTTGAAAAGAACTGTTATAAAACATATTTTACTTTACTGTTTCTTAAATATTTTTAATAATATCGAGCTACGCTATGTTTTGTAACATTCTAACAGGCAGATCTATAAAAATTCTAATAAATGCTTTGTTCCACAGAAGTTATATCTTTCTACCAATATATTATATTGGATGATCAATTATAAATACCTACGAGACATTTGTGTCTTACAATGGAAGAAAAATATTTTTCATTATGTCTATAGAAAAGTTATAAAACAAACAAAAATTTTATACCATTGACTTCCGTTTCAGAGATGGGGCATTTTTTTGGAGGAATAGCTAAAATTCTTATTAATATAATTATACTCCCATTTTTATATTTAACATATTTTTACATCATCTACATAATGAGTTTAGTAAATGCAGCGTTAACGCTTTATTTCGTGCTCATATTTAAAATAACTGGTATCCATCCAATAACTGTCACATTTAGTCAAACAGACGAAGAAGAGGTATGGACATTTTTGATAAAATAATGTTAACGTTAAAAAAATTAATGTACGTAAACGCATGCGTAAAACTCAATCGTTAAAAAAAAAGATCAGATTTCTTTTCTACAAAAGTTTGTGCTAAATTCGACACCATTTTTTAAATGTCCTGGTTCGAATTCGCGATCACTTTCATTACGAACAATAAAACTATCACACGTGGACGTAATATAACAAGAATAATAATTTCTATGGTATCGAAATGTGAATTTGCAATATTTTGAAGTTTCGACTTTTACAAAAACTCGATGTTTCATCAAGAGTAGAAGAAATATCAGAAGTTAGGAGAATCGATGGTTCATAACTAATTTCGTTACATAATAAATTAAAAAGTGAATCTCGCAAACGAGAGCGAAGAATGGGCGGCATATTGTCAAGATTAGCTGCCATTGCTGTCACCATAATTTTCTGTCCCTTTCTAATTCTATGCAATCTGTATATTCTTTTTATTATGCTCGTTTTTAACATCATATATTCGTTTTATATGTTCCTTTTAATGTTGCTTAACGGGTTCCCCGATAGTACAATTGTCGATTGAGCTTGCGTGAGTGATTTCAAATTTATAATATAAAATGCAACGTACGATTGCGTTACGAAACGAGTACTTTGCGATATTAATTTCAGAATTTCGACGATGTTGAGTCCAATACGGAAACTGATGATATGTTGGAATTAGCAAACCCATAAAATTTTAATTGTATGAAAAAAAATAGAAGAAAAACCTTTAACACCATGCAAATATTTTTTGTATAATGTATAAATAAAGTTAAGATATTTATAAAAAAAGAAACAATTCATATTGATGTTCTACTTACCAATTGTGTTGTAGCGATGATGTTTAATACTCCCATTGCAGTTTACACGTTTAATGGAACTGAATTTCGCTACAATTATTTAATTGTAATATAAGATAAGAAACGAGTAAGCTGGTTAGTAAAAAAATATATCTGAAGGTATTCTCGGACCCGTTGCTTCACTAATTCGAGTGGAAATTATGCACGAACTACGAATTGCTTTAAATTTGCTGTTAATGCATTTTTTAAATCCCCTCTCTACGTACTGCCATACATTGGTGCATTGCATTCGTGTCTCCAAGTAACAGTGGAACACCTGTGAGAGCGAAAAAGACCGACGGTTTGGGACTTTCTAAATCCGAATAAAAAACATACGATCTAATCTAGACTGTCACCACAGTTTTATGCGTATACATACTGAATTAACATTCGCTTTAATTATTGTAAATATATCATTTTTAGCCTTTCTATCTTGATATGATAAAATACACTTTTATGAGGTTTTCCTCATTTTACGGGGTTCAGGGACAACTTTTCGAATATTCTTAGAATTTTTACATATTCTTCGTCAAAATACGCGTTGTTTGCATTTTTAAACATTAAAATCCTCCAATCCGTTCGAAAGCTATGATGTTATAAACATACGCATGAAATTTATACATTATATTTTCGGTAAGGAATTTGTTTAAATTTCCGAAATAAATCGTTTGAAAATAGTTTATCAAATAAGACTATGAAAACTACTTTCAGACGATTTATTTGCTAAGTATTCCATTATTTCAAATAATAATTCTTTAATTTTATTTTGAATTATTGGTCATATCTATCAACAGCAGCCTCCGAGCCAATCAGCAGTCGTCTCGAAGTTGCATAAAAACCGAGCCCCCTGGCGCGTCCGCGGGAGACATCCCTCAACCGTCAAGCAAGACGGAACGAGAAGAGGGACGAAGAATTTCATTCAAGATTTACATTCAATCAAGATCGAAGATGGTCAAGCGAGAAGAGTCAAATTCCAGTTTGAAGAGATCTTTCAAGGACCACTCTTTCAACACGAATAAAATCATATTCTTTTTAGTATAAATTTAACGAGCTGTTTATACTCAATTGTATTAATAATATACATATGTAAACATACATATGTTCATTCATAGGAATAATAGTAATAATTTCTTTTTTTTCAATAGTTAAAACATGATTAGGGGGTTTTAAAACGTGTATTTCTAATACCTGGCAGTCGAGATACGAAATTGTATGTCATTGACCCGAGGACGGACTTCAGCTGTTCGAGCCCATGAAGGAAAGGCTCCCATTCACCTTCTTTATCGATTTTCCAAAGTGCGTGAAGTGCTGACCAAGCATAACATGTGGTTCGTGCGGTAGAATATATGTCGGCTTTCCCCACCACTCCGTTAAACGCTAAGGAAATTCGTCGTTACTAGTGTCGCCGTCGATGGACATAATTATGACAAATCTGGTCATACTGTTTTAGAGGAAGCCGGCATGAAGACTATGTGGCGTTGTAAAACGAAAACATGTTAGAGATATATTGGAAATTATCGTGTGCGTTGTAATTTAACTGCTAAAAGTGTAAACTATTATAAATATGTGGAAGTAAATTATTTGTGCATAATATTTTGCATTAAACGGAAGAGGGTTTTCCTACTTGTTTGCTGCGATGGTAACATTAACAAAATTGGTGCTCATCGCAATCATTTATGGTAAATATGTTTATTTTGATTGTAAGATACAACATTATGTTAACGTTAACTTTAGAAATATACGCTTGTTACTCGGTATAATAATTCATAACCTCGAATGGTATCGATCGATAATTGACCAGTGTCTAGCATGCTTTTAATTTGATTTTAGTTATTAAACTTGTCCTCACCAGTCCGCTTTTATTATTGAAAAATATTTTTGAAGGCATACTTATTATAAATACATTTTAATACGAACAATATGTAGTTATATGTAGTTATACAATATGCAAGTTATTAATTTTTATCTTATGTTATTGTAATATAGTTTAGTGTTTTCAGGAATTTTCACACATGTAACAGCATCGCGTGTACTCGAATTAAGCGACAGGTAAAAATTGATTGAAATTATGTTACAGCACTCACATAAATCTCAATGTTTTAATACATACTTTGTTATAGGTTCTTGGACATTCGTAAAAATGGACAATGGCTAATAATGGTATAAATATAAATTATTAACATATATGCAACAATATTGTACACTAACGTATAATATCGTTCTGTTTTAGATGTATGCACCATGGTGTGCACATTGTAAACGATTGGAACCAATCTGGGCTCATGTAGCACAACATTTACACGCAACATCAATACGAGTGGGACGTGTTGATTGTACTCAATTTACAAGTATAGCACATGCTTTTAAAGTTAAAGGATTTCCAACCATTTTATTGTAAGGATAAAAATGAAATTTATTATTATTATTATTTATTTTATTATTAGTATTATTTATTTATAGTTTAAAAGGTGAGCAAGAATTTACGTACCATGGGGACAGGACACGAGATGAAATAGTGAAATTTGCATTAAGAGTGAGCGGTCCACCTGTCCAAGAAATAACAAAAACACAAAGTTTTGAGACAATTAAAGAAGAACGTGGTTTATATTTTTTGTATGTTGGAGAGAAATCTGGTCCATTATGGGTACTATTGATATTTAATTTGACATATAATATATTAACAAAAGCTACGACTCACAAAATTATTATATTCAGGAATTCTATCACAAGACTGCAGATGCGTTCCAACCGCATGCATTTTTCTATCAATCGCATCCAAACATTGTTAATAAACATGCTCCTGAGGGAAATGTTCCGGCATTGTTTGTTTATAAAGAAAACTCGCATTATAATTTTACTGGTAAAATTAATGAAACAGCAAAACATTATTGTATCTGTACGTATATAACAATTAATGTTAACATATACTTTGTGATATAGGTCATACTACAAATGACATAGAAAAGTTAAACGAAACATTGTATAAGTGGATAAATGCAGAACGTTTCCCTACATTTCCAAAAGTAACAAGAGGGAATATAAATCAACTTTTTTTAACAAATAAAAATCTGGTTTTGGCAGTAGTAGAAGAAAATCAGTTAGAGGAAGTACCACCACATATGGCACAGTTCAAAGATATGATAGAATCTATAATTAAAAGCAAACGAGAAAAGTATCACGAGTAAGTTATGTTGTAATAATTTTTATATTACTTGCTTCAATTAGGATTTAATTATAATCATTATTTTTTTAATCAGCCATTTTCAGTTTGGTTGGATAGCTAGTCCTGATCTAGTCAATAGTATAGCAATGATGGTCCTACCATTGCCAAGTTTAATTGTTATTAATACTACTACAAATCATCATCACATTCCCGAGGATGAAGCAGAAAAACTAACTCCTCATGTTGTAGAGTTTTTTCTAGAACAAATTCGCAACGAAAGCGCTCCGGTAGATAAAAAAGCTATTCTTGTTTTATGAATATAAATTATTCCGTGAAATAGAATGGAACTTAATAAAAAAGTGTAAATTTACAGCGATATGGTGGAAACAGTTGGCTTGTGCATGTTTACAGATCATGGTTTGAATTGAAAACAACTCTTACTGCAATGTGGATAGGTAATCCTATCTTGACAATGGTCTTATTTGGTTTACCAGCTGGATTTTTGTCATTGATATGTTATGGCATTTGTTGCCCAGATATTTTAGATGCAGATGACGAAGAAGAAGGTAAATTTATGTGCTTTCTTTAAAACTTATATATGTATTTATATTTTACATTTTTGTAATGTCTAATTTTGCAGAACAATCAGGAGTGAATCATATGAAGAAAGATTAAATAAAAAACAATTTAGATCATTATTATTTCTACGATCTTTGTGAGACTTTTAATGATACGAAGGTATATATACTATTACTTTACATTGTACAATTTTTAATTATATTTAAATAAAATTTACTGATGTAACCTTTTACGGACGTAACAGACGAAGCTTTCGCTGCGAAGGCACGCTGTTATCTAGTTAGAAACCTGATCAAATGATGGTGGGAGAATAGCTGGTATTGGGTCTCTTGTAGTTATTGCCAGAGAAGTTCGTCACCTCTGATTTAAACGCTGTCCGCAAAGGGTTAAGAAACATTTCAGTTGTCAACATTTTGTTCACACAAGTATAGAAAACTTGTGTGAAACATTCCAACAGCCACTTTCATAGCGAATATAATTCAAAAGTTGTATGAATTAGATAGAATAATGAATAACCCTTAAAAGGTGATTAATACTGGCTACTGCACAGGCTATGGGACTTGAATTTTTTACCTATAATGTATTGTTTCATGTATATTTCAAAATAAGCTTACTGCGTTAGGTACTGAATTTCTTGATTCCTGGATTTTTTTAATTAACACTAATATGCATACAAATGTGAGAAACTATTAAAAAAATAATATATCAAATAATATTAATACAAAGGAAAAAGAAAATAGATTTACAAAGTACGAATAAATAATAGTTATTCTGTTCCTTTACAAAACACAAAAAATATTAAATATCCATTATATGTATATATGTGTGCGTACTATATTTCTAATAGGTGATGTATTATTCCAGGTTTATTATCGTATTTTACGTTTTATTTTCTTCTTTGTATTTCGATGATTGTGAATTGATTTTTTTGTGTTTTATACTAAATACTGGTAGAATAAATCTTAGTAGTCAAAGAATATTAGGATGGAAAATTTTTAAGCGGGTACAAAGCATAAGTATCACGCGTAGAGCAGTGAAGCCAGACTTTCATAAATTTGGATTAAAAAAGATCCAGGTACCACTGGATAAGGGTTAAAATAAATCTTAGCTAAATGAAACGTTTACCAGACAATACAAATCATACGATTAAACGAGCTTTTTTAAATCATACGGAAGAATTTGTTTTGCATTATAACTTTATGTAATTCAAGTATGACATATACATGAGATTTGCGAAAGAATGTGAATATTGAATATGATTTTGTAACTGTACTTAGACAGTGATGTACGTTTTATTGTATAGATGTAGTGAAAAAATATATCAAAGGTTTACATGAATCAGTATGTAAACTTTGGGTGTTCGCTTTAAAGCATGAAAATTCTTTTTTTTCGGAGATGGCAAACTATTATGCATTTTAAATGTGTATTTACTTATATTTAATAAAGAAAATAATAATACTTTAAGTATCTTTCAATAATTTTAGATTTAATTAAATGAGATTTCTTTTTCCGTTTATTTCTTTATTTTATTTCAATATACCATAAAAAATAAGAACATACAACTAATTAAGTGTATATTTATATATTGTAACTTCATTTCTTGTTTGAACATAAAACAATGTGATGTTACCGCTTAACAAGCCATGTAACATTTATAATTGCAATAAATCATTATCATCATCATCGGAATCTAATGCTGCTCTTCGCCTGTTAAACTAAAGTTGTTACTTATTAATTTTTCTGTGACTAGCAAGGTATTGATAAATATAACATATATTTTATCTAACCTTGACAACAGTTTTGTGTTGTGTCTGTTGATTTACACTTTCAATTAAACTAATTAGTCCCCTTTCTCCAAGTTTATTAGATAATTGACCCCGTTGTGCCATACTTAATATCATACCTTCTATCATTTTTCCTTTCTCAGGCTTTGCAAAGCATAATGTATTGACTAAAGAAAAAATATATTTTAGACAATTACATTAATATAAACTTCAAATACAACAATATTCTTACGTCTTGCTCTGGCTGATTGGTCTAATACTTGAGTAAGGATTGAATTTCTCATGTCTTCCATTTCTTGCATTTTTTCTTCCATTGCTTGTTTATTCTCGGCATTGTTAGGCTAAGAGTTTCCATATTAAATGCAATAACAGCAGAAATAAGTAAATTAATAATTATTTAAAAAGCAGTGCTTGCGTATTATATTTAAAAATAGTTTGACTTCAACACAACTTAAAAATGATGAAATTAGTAACAAGTTTTCAATTTTTATATTGTAATTAATTTTATATATTATTTTACATATTCTTATTAAGCAATCTATTTATCATTTTTAGAAATAATGTGATATACATATAGTAGTGCTGAAGAGAAAAAGAATGCTTATTAATATACCTTGTATTGCGCCTGCAACTGAGCTAATCGTTGCTGTCGTATTGCTTCTAATTCCGGGTCTGACATTTTTATATTATTAATTTTCTACTATAAATTTCAAAGATCTCCAAAAAAAACTTGTTTTAAAAGTTAATATACTTTTCCAGTGCACGCACGTCACTTCAGTCACCGACTGTAAATTGTAATTTCTATCAGTGTGGCCAGATTTGGCATAATTGAGTGCATCGACGCCAACAGTAGCGACGACGAACTTCTTTAGCCTCCAACGGAGCGGTGGGGAATACCGACATATACTACCACACGAGCCATGTTACGCGAGCTCGTCACTTCGTGCAACTTCGGGAAATAGAAAGAGAAGGCGAGTGTGTGCTTTTCCTTCTCTTGCTCCCGAACTACGTGAGCTCGTACAGTTTCGGTGAATTGAGAAAGACAAACTGACGCATGCTCTCTTTTTCGGTACACCGAAAATTTAAATACTTCAGTACTTTTTCAGTTAAATGAGATTACGGAAATTTCAAGGTATGAATTTGAATATGAACCAATTTGCTATTCTTTATTGTTCAATAGAATATTATATACTAAAAAGTGATATGTATTAGATACATGTGTTTGTCTGGAAGAGATAATGATTAATACATACTTTATACATTTCAGTTTACACAAAAACTTTATTGCTTTGGGACAATATTACAAACCAAGAAGCCTTTTATATAAGGCAAACACTTTAAATAGTGTTTGTACTATCGTACCACGGTGGCATCCAATTGGTTGTAGTTCTAGTTCTTCCTTTGGAAAGAGCAAGGGTGCCATCAACATTGTAATTTCTATCTGCTCGCCTTCTACGTCTCTCGTTTTTGTTCGAGTCAAAAATTTCGTTATCCAAAACAACAAACGATTGACCGTTGGCGTGTTGATTAGTGCCTTTGCCAAAACTAGGAGAGTATGGTCTAGCATCGCTTTGAAGTTCACGATCGGGCGAAGGATTGCGTATCCTTCCGGAAGACTGAAGTGATGGCGATCGTCTGCGCCGGAAACCTTGAGGTTCATCATCAACGTTCAAGACGTGAAGTCGATAAGTAGGATTAGTCGATTCATCTTTTAATCTGTTATATTCTGGCACATCTGACTGCATTGGTCTTTGAACTTGAATTAGCGAAGCCCTCGAACCTCTGTATTATTATTATTAATTATTGTTATTACATTTATGTCGATTTCTTTGTACACAAATAATGTGGGCACTCAGTTATCAACGAATGACATTTTTAAAATTTAAGACATAAGAAAATTGAAAAAAAACAGCTTACAATTAGTCGGTTATAATCTAATTCATATTAGACGATACAGGATGGCACACGCGTTGCGTTGTTTGTACCATATGTATGTATTTCTTTGTATTTATGTATCGAATAAACTAATGTTACAAAAGTCAATTACTGCTGTCAAGAATTCGTAACAATTAAAATTCTCTTACACGCACCTTCGACTACCAGATGGTGGTTTTCCACGTATATGTGTATTGTCCTCTTGAACTTCCGTATGCAACACTTGAAACGCGTCTTGATCCTGAGTAACGTTCGTGCAGTCAAATTGCTCTACATTATTATTTATCCAATAATTATCTTTTCGTCTGGAAGCACTTAAACTACGATCTCGTCTACGATGCATTTTCGGTACGGTGTATAATTGATTTTCCCGTTTCGTGCAATAAGCTGTTCTATATTCCGGTTGAAGGTCCAGGTTCCCCTCTAAACGCAAGTTCGATGGTATTCTTAAGGGTTCGACGTTCGGCACGCGGCCATAAGGAACGTACTGAGATCTCATTTCGCTGGTAAGCTCGTAATTATATCGTTTGGATTCTTGTTTACCGAAACTCGCGCCATGTTCCGTAGGAATTAACGTCGATCTCATAGTCAACGACGGTTTTCGGTACACGGGATGATCTCTTTGATAATCCAAATATTTCGATTTGTATTCCGGGTCTTGATCGATTTTCGTTGAGAATTTCGTTGCAGGCGACGAGGGTACCTTAGAGCCGTCGGCTCGTCCGATTTCGTCCTCCGGTTTCACAATTTTCGGACGCTCCCTTGGAAAATCCTACAAACAGAGAAATCTTTATTAAATTATTGCAAAAATTCCACGGTATTTAGAAGATCCGAGGGAACGTAAACCTGCCTTGTACGCGTCTTTGTATTCAGGGATTTCAAGCGGCGGACCCTTCAAATCCTCCAACTTCGAGACCAACATTTTCATTTCTTCCTCTTTCGTTTTCGTCTCCTTTCGCTTTCTCCGTTCTTCTTCGACGTTATTGTTCAACACAGACATTAATTGCGCCTCTTTGGAACGAGGATTACCGAAGCTAACAGTGCTCTCTGTATTCTGGAAGATGTCTCGTCCAGTCTTCAGATGAGACTCGGGTTTTACTGGTTGCGAGCGTACTGTAACACAGAATAATAAAACAATATACTGTTTTTCAAAGTTTTATTCAAAAAAAGAAAAAAGAACGTATTCAATTTTATTTATTTCGTTAGTTTTACTTAGAAATACTTGGGCAACTTACTCGATGCGATGTTTTCTCGTAACTACGAGCGAAACGTGCTATTTCTCATTGCTAAAATCAAGTATCGCATGCTATTCTTCTTATTCTAGCGAAATTATGGCTGAAAGATTCGTTTCAAATGTTACCTCTGCAATTGTGCTTTCTGAACACGTCGGTATACTCCGGCACAAAGTTCGATTCTCCTTCCAGCTTCAAATTCGTGTTCTGCCTTAGCAATCCCGGTCTTCGCACGCCCACGAACGGCACGTACTTTTCATGGTTCTCCGTCAGCGTCTCGAATTCACCTTCCATCTTTAAATGCGTCGGGACGCGCATCAGCTCGGGACGACTGACGTTCAGCCATTGAATGAATTTCTCGCATTTCTCGGTCGTCGTGCTCAGATCGCCTTCCATTTTCAAAGATGTGGGCCTGCGAGCTAGCTCGGGTCTGTGCTGACCCTCGTAAGCCACGTACGACGAGTACGTTTCCGTGTTCGTATAAAGGTCTCCGTCCCGTTTTGAAGTCACCCTTTTACCAAATCGTTCGGATGAAAACAATGTTGCAGAACGTAGTTAAATTAAAATTTTAAGTCGTGAATCGATCGACGTTTACAAATAGAATTGCTTGCAAAGTGATTACTCTTATTTAAACTGTATCTTCCAATAAGAGACGGTCTTTACCAAATCGTTCAGATGAAAACAATGTTGCAGAACGTAGTTAAATTAAAATTTTAAGTCGTGAATCGATCGACGTTTACAAATAGAATTGCTTGCAAAGTGATTACTCTTATTTAAACTGTATCTTCCAATAAGAGACGGTCTTTACCAAATCGTTCAGATGAAAACAATGTTGCAGAACGTAGTTAAATTAAAATTTTAAGTCGTGAATCGATCGACGTTTACAAATAGAATTGCTTGCAAAGTGATTACTCTTATTTAAACTGTATCTTCCAATAAGAGACGGTCTTTACCAAATCGTTCAGATGAAAACAATGTTGCAGAACGTAGTTAAATTAAAATTTTAAGTCGTGAATCGATCGACGTTTACAAATAGAATTGCTTGCAAAGTGATTACTCTTATCGAAACTGTACCTTCCAATAAGAGACGGTCGTTTAGAAGGATTTACATTTGCAGCGACCTTGGAGCTTGCAGTTTCAGTCTCCATCGTTTTCTCATCGTCGACGTGTACCAGAGGAGTCGTAGGATCGTTATTTTCAGCTTGAGAATCGACAAGTTTCGCTTCCTGTTCCTTGAGCTCCTCCCGATCCGAATACTGTGCATTTTCTATCGAATACTTCGGTTGAATATCTTCGACTGGTTTCTCTCCTTCCAGCCAGATATTTTCCTACCACCCAAAATGGTGGACAAGAGAAAAAATATATATTTTTATTTAATTTGAAAAACGTATGTATTCTATTTCGTTTACGAATCATCAAAGTATGTAGACATTAAACCTTGTAGATATTAAAAAAGAACCGCCAACCTTGAGCGAATCTTCGCTGTTTGCGCCAAAAGTTTCGCAGTACTCGGTGACGTGAACCTGGTCCTCCAGATCAGTAAGAAGTCCAAGATTGTCCTTCGGTTGGCCCTGAACACGCCTTCTTCGATAACGAGCCAGCTCGTCGACGGTCAGTCCATCCAGGAGGGGCCATTTTTCCTTGGATTTTAGTCTCCGCCCTTTGCCCTTACCCTGCGCTAGCTCAGTGTCCGAGGACGATTTGTTGGCACCTTTGGAGGAGGACCTTTGCCTGCGTATAAATTAAAATGGTTTTTAATATTCTACACAATTTCGTTAACGTTGTTCCATGGAACCGTACATCCCAATCATAAAAAAAGAACAAAGTTTAAACTGTTAGTCTGCGGATCTTTATGCAAATTCATATTTTCATTAATAGAATTAATGAAACGAGAGCTTCGTAGAGGGTTATCTCAACCCCTAAATATAATAATTCGTATCGTACTTTAAATATTTTTTATGTTTTTGGATATTAAGTGGATTCTGTAGTCTTTTGGGAAAATTTCCCTTAAATGACACGTCTCATCCGACAAACGCAGCGATCAATCGGAGAAAAGTAGCTTTCATCAGGGTTCACTCTGTAAGAAGTATCGATCGTACTTTATCTTTTAGGCTAATGAAATACTGGCCAATGTTATCGCATTGCTAAATTACGTTCTAGAGCGTGTTTACCCTGCCCGAGCGATGCTATCGGGTTTTTGACCAATTGGTCGTTCAACCTCCACCTACTTTAAAGAACTCGCTTCTATGTATTAAAGAGTCTCATTCATGAAATCGGGGTTACTAGCCCGACCACTGCACAATAAAATCGAGGAGACGTATTTCTGCCAAAATTTAAGAATTTTCTCTCCTCGTTTGAACTCTTTGTTGACACACAGCGAGTTCTGTGTACGGTACCACAAACGTTAACCGAAATCTAATTCGTACAAATTCAGAATTTAGAACACCCAACAATGTAGAGATGTGAAATACGTATCAGAGATCACGTTCTCATTTTTTTATTTTTTTTTTAGTAACGATGCAATTTCACAAAAAAAAAAAAACAAAAATGGAGCACCGACTCGGGTGGATGGCCAGAACGAACTGAGGATCTCACGGCGGGGAAACTGAATCTGCCGGAGGAGGATGGAGGTTGGCGGAGGTGGTGGCGAAGCGTCGCGACGCGCCTCTGCCCTCCGGCAGAACGAGGAACAGGAAGAGGGTGGTACGAAGCTACATGCCTTTGCAACGAGACTCGCAGACGCGACGCATCGATCTACAAAGAGGAGTCTGGAAAAGAAATTTCGTTAGGGACTAATGGCTCGGGGACACGGAAACGTTTAGGCATCGCATCGCAACGTTCTCGACGCGGAAATGCAAAAAGAATAGAAACTATGCTCGTCTGAAATAGAATAAAACGTATTATAATACTCCACGAATATCCTTGATCGATTAAGATTGTTGTAGGCACCCTGCTCGAGGAACAATTCTGTCTAAATTAATTAATAGTTTAGACATCGCATCGCAACGTTCTCGACGCGGAAATGCAAAAAGAATAGAAACTATGCTCGTCTGAAATAGAATAAAACGTATTATAATACTCCACGAATATCCTTGATCGATTAAGATTGTTGTAGGCACCCTGCTCGAGGAACAATTCTGTCTAAATTAATTAATAGTTTAGACATCGCATCGCAACGGTCTCGACGCGGAAATGCAAAAAGAATAGAAACTATGCTCGTCTGAAATAGAATAAAACGTATTATAATACTCCACGAATATCCTTGATCGATTAAGATTGTTGTAGGCACCCTGCTCGAGGAACAATTCTGTCTATATTAATTAATGATTTGTGTCACGGCGATGTTGCATTAAAGACGTTCATTATAATGTGACATTTGGATCACCTCTTGTACATAGTTCTCTCGAGACAATGATGTTATATCAACCTTGATCCTACAAGAATAGAATGTTGAGTCATATGTCAAGTTTGATAGATATTCTATACATATAATGTTAAATTATAAAATACATATTTCAACTAATTGAGCGTACAAAGTAAATGTAGACAATTCTTTAAATAGATCAATGATAAAAACGATGGGTTTAATTAATTTCGAGGAGACAGATTTTATTTTCCCTTAACCCTGTAATTTCTGTGACGATTATCTTTTTCTGTTTCGTAACTGTCTGCCAATTAATCAGAAACTTAGGTTCTTTTCTTCTTCAGTTACACGTTACTATAATTTATAGCCTGCAGATATTAAGAATTCATCGTCCTGTGCTTTCTTTAAGTATGCTACTACCGACGCGCATCCGTCACTTGTTTCCGTAATATTCAATCACGGATGTCTAACTTTGTTCACTCTTTCCTCATTTATCTTAGTATGTATACAGTAAAAATTTTAATGGGAGATTCTGGAGGCCAAAATGAGACGAAAATCAAGGATACTAATTTGTTGATCGAGGCTTCCTTGAAAAGTTATAGAAACATTTCCGGTCATAGAGTATATTTTCGATAAGGAATTTTTTTCTCGAAAACGCGTAGGAATTCGGTGGTATGTCTATTAACAAAAAATGATTGCAATTGACCCCCCTAATCGAAAATAATTTTTCCAGAACGATTTGAAATTTTTTATTTTTGTCGAAAAATTGCAATCCTTCTCGAATTTATTTCTCGAAACTGGGTAGGATTTCAAGTGTATGTCTAATGATTAAAAATGATTGTAATGGACCCCCACAAAGGAAAATAATTTTTTTAGAACGATTTGAAATTTTTTATTTTTGTCGAAAAATTGCATACCTTCTCGAATTTTTTTCTCGAAACTGGGTAGGATTTCAAGTGTATGTCTAATGATTAAAAATGATTGTAATGGACCCCCGCAAAGGAAAATAATTTTTTTAGAATGATTTGAAATTCTTTAATTTTGTCGAAAAATTTCACATCTTTTCGAATTTGTTTCTAGAAAGTGGGTAGGATTTCGGGGTTATGACTGTCCACCAAAAATGATTGTAATTGACCCTCGCAATCGAAAATAATTTTTCCAGAACGATTTGAAGTTTTCTTTTTCGTTGAAAAATTTAGGCATCTAATTAGATTTTCGGTAAGGATCTCCGTCTTATTTTGGCCTCTGGAATCTCGCATTAAAATTTTTCCTAGGCGTGGTCGAACACCCTGTATAGCCTACTATTGAACCAATGATAAGAGAAATGGATTTGTCCGTTTTACAATCGATATCTCAGCCTGACCTACAAAACAGGTAATTGAGTGTAATTGACCGACGTTTCTTCGTGATTGGCACGCAATTACCACAGTTCTTACAAATTGGTCCTCGATTCGGAGCATTGTGTCCATTATTGATGCGATTTTCGATCGTGTTCGTAGTTCAATCGACCCGATTCTTTAAACGAACACGTTTAAGCTATATGTTCTTATAATTCTAATAATAATAATGTAATGAAGGGAGTTGGTCGTAAATACCCCTAGGTCGGAAGTATTCTATCTTTCCCTATGTATACATATAAACGGGAGCGGGTTGAAAAGATAAGAACGATGAAATTTCACCTATCTTGTTATCAGGTTGACGCAACTCTTAAGGGTAGGACACTGCTGCCTAGTCATCGATTTTGATGGGCTTCCACACAGTAGATTAACAATAGAAAAACAAGCTTAGACGTACGTGTTACAAGCTTACAGTATTTTGTCCAATGAACATTAATATTTGAGAATTTAGCGTTTTTTAAACGACCAGTTTGAAGACCAACTCCTCAAATCCTGGCGTCTAAGAGTCTATTAAGAGGCCTTTCTACCTCGTGAGATTGAAAAAATCGATTTTTTTTTGCTTTGTCTTCTAGTATGTAGTCTCGAAAATATATCTACCAAATATTAAATTGAAATTCTGAAAACTAACGGAGTTATAGCCTGCTGAAATGTACCTTTATGAAACTTTAAAGCTGTTTTTCTCGAAACTACATTCTTTGACACTGCGTATGCGATAAACTATTCAAGATATGAACATGAAATTTATACAGTATCTTTAGAACTGGTCTCCCTATAGCACGAACAAGGATAATTGCGATACATGCAATACCTTTTCTTTTATTAACAAAAAAGCAACCGAATATATGAAAATATTCAGTATTTTTTCGTAAAATAGCTACCAATGTGGCCATTTTTAGTTTTTTTGAAAGGATCCTAGTTCATGCTATAATCACACTCGTCTACATTAAGAATATCGTTGGTTTTTGGATTTCGAATAACTCGTTTGCAAAATACTATCGACGCAGTCGGGCGCCGTTTGTAAAAACTGTTGCTCGTTGATTAACAAAAACAGCGTAATCAATAGATATTATGCGTTGCAAAAATTCGTAAATATAGCTAAATACATAATAAATGTCTCTACAAAACCTGGAATTAATCGCTCTTTAATAGCCCCCCCCAAAAAAATCACAAAGAACCATGTATTTTTCGAGCCTACAAGGTAGAATGGGCCCTCAAGATAATAAATTCGAATCTAACGCTATCGTCCACGGTTTTGCCGCGACTAATCATCGAACGAGAGTGACAATTTGTCGTTTTCCATCCGCGTGGTATCGCGATCGAGGGACGCGTTTCCCTTTTCAAACTCGTTTAGACGCCCCCCTCCCAACGAGGAACACGAGTCACGAGAACCCCGTTCTTGTTCGAGTTCCTTTCGTGCGCCGAATTGTCGTCCCGCGAAGGGGGCAGCAGGATGTCGGGATTCGACTCGACCCGGTGACCCTAATTTTCGTCCATCGTGTCTACGTACGGATCTCCGAACGCGCCCGACAAATAAATGTCCGCGGGGCGTCGCTCCGCGTTACACGCGGCTTTCGGTCAGTAATTTCGCCGGTTCGCACGATTCGATCTGTATGCATTTCACCGGCGACGTGTGCACGCGAATACACCTCGTAGAAATAAGGAGGCCACGTGCTCTAAAACCCACCCCTAGCTCGCCTATGGACGATTAAAATTTGCTTCTTACGACCGTCGCGACAATGTTTCACCCTCGATAAGATAAACGGATTTACACTGGAACTACCAAACCGGTCGAAATGATCCAAACTTGTACAAAATTTAATCGACTGAATTTTTAAAAATTTATTGTAGTTTTCTATAAGAGAATATACTATAAATACTTATTTCCATTGTATTATATATTTCTTTGTGTATCTATCGTTTCAATTTCTTTGGTACAAATGAACACACTATAATAAGGAGGGCACGTGCTCTAAAACTCACCCCTAGTTCGCTTCAGAACGATTAAAAATTGTTTCTTATGACCATTGCGACAATGTTTCACCATCGATAAGATAAACGGATTAACAGTGGAACTACCAAACCACTCAAAACGACCCAAACTTATAAAAAATTACGATAAATTTTCAAAAATTCAGTCGTCTAAATTTTGTACAAGAGAATATACTATAAACACTTATTTCCAATTGCATTATATATCTCTTAGCGTATCTATCGTTTCAATTTCTTTGGTACAAACAAAAACACACTATAATTGTCGGTAGTTCTGGTAATACTGATTAAACCATGATAGAAGCTTACACACCAGTTAAAATGACCCATTCGTAATTTCTAATAAAACTAGTAAAAAATTTAGTCGACTGAATTTTTAACAACATAGAAATGTTTAAAACCATACAATATAGTTATCTATTAAAGAGAATACAAAAATTCAAAGTATAAGATGCTTTTTCACGCGTAAAACGTCGAAAAAATCGGTTCTTGATTTTTGCTACTACGGCGCGCCCTACCAAAAAATCTGAAAAAATTCAGGGAGATAACCAATGACAATACGCATTTACGGTAATTATAGAAATCTAGTGTCTCGAAAGCTTCGATACGAAATCCGTATTTTTCTGTGTTTTTTTTGCGTTTTCAATTTTTCACACCTAGGATTTGGAATCGAAAAATCGGAAAAAATTCTCAAACACGTATCTCGATAACCGCAATGCACCAGATTTTTTTCATAATTTTTGTACTCGATTAAATAGGGGAAATAGGCAGAAATTCGTTGATCCGAATTTTCTCAATAACTACCCTTCCAAACAAGATAGAGGGTTAAAATTTGGCACGGAACGTTTTTTCTTGATGCTCTATCGATGGATCCATCGTATGTCACATTTGGTTCAAGGGCACATTTCACCCCCTTATTGCATTATATATTATATATATTACACTCATTTCCAATTGCATTATACGTTTCTTTGCGTATTTATCGTTTCAATTTCTTTGGTACAAATAAACACACTATAATAAGGAGGTCACGTGCTCTAAAACTCGCCCCTAGTTCGCCTCTGGACGATTAAAAATTGTTTCTTTACAAATAAACACACTATAATTGGTAGTTCTAGCGTTAAACCACGATAGAAGCTTACGTTGTACACTGTATTCCCGGGTCAAGTATCTAAATTAATGATTAGTATTACGACAACGCCTTAAGAGGGTTCTTAATATCTTACAAAAGCATTTAACGCTCGAACGACGAACGATATAAATCGCGAAAGGGCGCTCTTAGCCGGGGCAGGAAATTAAACCTGGATTCGACTTTGTACACGAGGGTTGTCAATTTCCATTTACCCTGGACGCTCGTTACCCTTAAAAAGGCACAGGTTCGAAGCGATAAATTCGTTGCAGTCACGACGGTATTAGTCAGATTGCCTTCGTAATACTGTCCACGATATCTGTGCCGATCGCGTTCCATCTATGGATCTTCGATTTCAGAAAGCGTCGCAAAATGCTTCCGTGACGGGGGGGTACAATCTCCGCGAAAGTTGCAATCCACCGATCCTGTATTTACGTGTGGCCGTGCACGAATACCTTAAAAACGTTTCCATACTCAGAGTCTATGAATTCTTGCGTTTGATCTCCTAATCGTCTTCATTTCAATTTTCCGTGGATCTAGGACAACCAGGGACGAGTGAGATTCGACACAATTTAAAAATTACACAAATAGAAATAAAGGTATTAAAGTGTTGGACAATCGTTCAATGTTTGTCTATGAATAAAGAAAATCTTTCGAAACGATTACAATGCGGATAATAGATTTTTTTGTTAACACTAGATTTACGGGCATTGATTGCACGTATATTTATACGATTTTTCTTTTAATTAAAATGTGTATTCATGCCATTGCATCAATCAAATTCAACACGAGTTGTTAAAAAATAATATTTACGTAATTTTAAATACGGAATCAGACGTCCGTCAAATTGAAGGTTTTCATAAATCTAGTGTTAAATAAGACTTTGTAAGCGTCCACTTTTTGATAAGATTGTTTGATTTTGCGAATAAATTCGATGTCTGGTGGACAACCCCGAAGAGCGCAAGATTCTATAAATAGATTTGGACGAGTCTCCTTAGCCGTTCGTTAAACCTGAGGGGGTTCGATAGCCTGCAGCAGTCCGTTTCCCGCCGAACGGATTCGAGTGTGTCAAAGGCCGCGGCGTTTTACCTTTTGCCAGAACGGTCGCTTTTGCCCTCGCCCATTGCATCTTCTTGATCAACGATCAGCCCCCGTTGCCCGACACTACGATGCCACAGTGATCTCTGATTACGAACAACTCCGTCGATGCCTCCGACCGTGTTAGCGGAATGAAATCGATAGGATGACTCGACCGTACCAGATCCTAGTGCTGGCGTGACTGGCTTTTTGGGCAAGATGTTAATGAGAAGGTGCCGGGCGATACACCTGCGCAGCTGCGAAGAGCTGGAACGCTCGAACGGCCGGGCGCTGATGGTCCGAGGGAAACCACAGGTGAACACTTGCCTTCCACTGCTCGCGCCTGTTCCGTTACTCTGGATCGGTATCGAACCTGGCCAAAACCTTTAAATGTCAAATTAAATATGACTTTAAACCCCAATCTACGGTTTCTATTATACTATGGGGGTTGTTCAATAAGTTTTTAGAAAATCTAAGACCTGATACTCGTATCATCGAAAATGGTTTGTTTTTAGTAAGTATCTTGACTCACTAGACAGTTGTCAAAGTCTCGGTTATGTACACCACATGGTTTTATTTCTATTGTCGATCGAAGCGAGAAACTTCATCTTGCAACAAGAATTAATCACTGTATTCACTGGAGTTGGCTTCCAGTGATTCACGTCGAACGAGGTTATCGTCCAAACAGATACTTTAGATACTTTGAGAACCTTCAGAAATCTTACTATTTAGATGGCTTAGAAAAGATGGAGAAACGATTGGAAAGGTGTATAGAGTTAAAAGGAGATTGTGTTGAAAAATAAAAAAGAATCTAGCTAAAGTAATTTGTTTTTCTATCCTTTTCTAAGGACTTATTGAACGACTCTGGTATTTTGGAGTTGTACTGCTTCGATGAATTTCTTGATGCTCTTTACGATGTTCGAATGATGCTTAATAGTGTTAGAATAAGCGTGGATTTAATATAGATAAGTATAACCCTAAATGATCGTACGTCAAATTGTAAGGGGATCCTTGTAAGAAGGTGTTAATCTTCGGCATCGCGATGATTTCAATGGGTCATTCGATGGTCCAGGAATGGCTGATAGCAAGAGTCAACCGCAATACTTCTTCCATAGATCACACTACCAACTTTAACGTTGCGTCTCCTCACTCTTTCATCTTACGAAGTGTCGTATGCAGAGCTGCTGATGCCCAAATACTTTGATACCCCCTTTAGTAGTGTTTCCATAAAGATCGAGTTATCAAGAACTTGTGTTCAAATAAAAATAACTTACTAACATAATGCCTAACCAAACACCTGTCTAACTTTAAATCTGAATTCGTTTATTATATCAAGAAACAATTCTAAATGCCTAAGTTTGTCGTCAAATAGTTCGTTATTTTCAACGATAGATGGCGCTCATTTCCGACCTCTGGCCCTCTGGTGATAAAAAGCCCAAGCTTGTCGAGAAATCCATCTAGCGTGGACGATACGAACTATTCCACGACAAACTTGGGCGTTTTAACACCAGAGGGTTTGAGGTCGAAAATGAGCGCCATCTATTGTTGAAAATAACGAACTATTCCACGACAAACTTGGGCGTTTTGCCGTAGATGGCTGTGCAAATCATGTACCACCGATGGGTCACGCTTCCTTTAACTTGTAGGATAAACTAAACGGACAGTTAAGTGGGCAAGAATGCAGTCACTTTATATAGACACTACTGTAGTTATTATAATAATAATAAGCTTTAGACACTGTTTATTAATTAGACTGAAGTACATGTAGTCTCAAGATGTGTTGTGAAACCGTGTATTTACTCAAAGAAACGTAGAGACAGGAATACGACTGTTTCTAGATAATTTTGGACCTTCGGCGTTAATTGCGAAGCATTTATAAGTGATCTAAATTACCGAGTACCCTATTGTTGTATTAATAAATAAATTAGAATTAGTTTTAGTGAATTAGGTAGAGTAGTGCCCAATTAATTGTCCGCGGTCGGGATAACGAGTATTGATGGGACCAATTAAACCAAATTAAATAAATATGTTAATTAAATATTTTATTAACAATATAAGTATACATGTTTGTTCATTGAGAGCTTGTAACAGAATGTATGAATTCTTTGCTTTTAAAATAACAAATATCGAATAGAAACAGATGAAATATACATGAAATCTTCTTAACCAACAGTAGCTTGACAATCTTCAATTTAAGGCGTTATACTTAAGGCGTCATCTACGTCGAAGGTCATGAACTATTACATTTCACGACAAACTTGGACGTTCTATCCTAGAGGGCCATGACATAGAAAAAATGGCGGGAATTTTAAATTATATAAATTAATTTTAGACTAAGTTTATTAAATAGACCGATATAAATAATCTCAAGTTAATGTATATTACGTTTAACGTCATGTGGAATCGTCTCAAACGAGCTCAGCCATGCCGAACAGAAACTTTTACTAATAATTCAAATGATCCTTCTTTAATACGAATAAACCATATTAATAAATGAACAATGAACCGTAATAAATGAATTAATAAACACTCAAATTTATTAAATGGTTACTATTCTGATTCATTTGTATCAAGGAACAAAATAGGTTTTTTATCATCACGTCTCTGCTCGACAATGGCGAGGACTAAACAATTACAAATAAAACTTAGCATTGTTCAACGTTACAACGCAATAGTCTAAAGAATTCTTAGCAATATGTGTCATATGGATAATAAAAGGACTCATCAGTTTGCGTGAATATTAATTTTCCGCGAAATGATTTGTCGGTTGATTGACCAGACGACCGACGCTGCTGCCCCCACTCCTCCGTCACCATACATAAGGCATGCGTAGCTCCGACACTTCTCATTGTCCCGTCGGACTTCCAGGAAGGAACGCGTGTCGCATACTTTTACGATGCACATTCCTTTCCCTAATCAATTTGCAAAATTATTTTATAATTTCCTGACGTGGGTCTGCGCAGTGGCTACTATTAAAATGTTTTAATATTTAATATCAACCGATCTACACACGTGAATATTATTTTACGATGCAGTCAAAAGAATTCCTTTTTAGTCTATAAAAAAAATTTCTCAATGTTATGTACGATACAATTTATTAAGAAAATTTTCGAAATTAATGTATATTACATTCCAATTGGTCGTTCTTCGAAACATTATGTCGAACTTTACCCAACGGTACGCTCCTCAGGCGAAATTTCCTTGGAAAAGCGAGGCGATCGTTTCGCCCTTTGGAAGATGGCACGGGGTTGTTGGCCGTTGAGATGTTCCTGTTCTATTGATTGACCTGGATCCGCAGGAGACGCGTACACCACCCTAGAGAACTGCAACTCAGGTTTTCTGGTTTTGCACGCGATCTGTAATTATTGACCAACCGCCGACGATCACAATACTCGTCCTCGTGGATCATGAAACTAGACGAAAGAACTGTTCCCGTCATTCGGGTATCCTTTTTATTGTTCTTCGAGCCATTCTCGTACAGCGATCGTCACAATTATGGTATCCATGATCGTACACCATTCCAACAAAGACACCGGTTAATCGAAGTGTGGTTCAAATTATTTATTATCGTGCGTATTACTTTTCCCCCATAACAACGAAGCGTTTCGTCTACAAATCTTCCACGCATAACAGAACAGATGAAACCGTAAAAAAAAAACAAAAAGAAACGTACGAATAAAAGCGTCTTGCTCTGTAGCACACGTATGGCACGTTCTTGCTTCAGGGATCGCGTTTCGTTGGTTCCAATTACGGTTAAACATTTCTGTAATCAGTTCGAACGGATTGTTGTCCGCGTTGGAGTATGTTTTCGTTCACCAATGGCGTTCTACGGAGTTGCAGACCAATCGCTGGATAACGTTACGAAAGAAACACACGACGCCGAATTTCGGTAACGAAATTTGTTATTCCTACTATCCTTAACGCTTGCTAAATGTATTTACAAAAATCTTTGCTCTCGTCGTACCTAATTGTAATGCGAATACGCGATCGTTTCGCGATATTTCTAAACCCAAACCGCGCTCAAAATTCATTCGACTCTCTCTCTCTCTCTCTCTCTGCTTTCGTCACAAAGACACACACGAGTTGATAAGTGGTACCCATATTTCGCACGAAGTAAACGATTAATTTCATCAGACCAGACTGTCAGTCGCGATCGTTAACACGAGACCTAAGATTAATTATTAAAAATCGATTTCTTAAATATTCGGGAATCATCTTTTACTAAACGCTTTGAACGCGTGAACTGAACATCGTATGTATGTATATCTATCGAACAGCGTCAATTATCATTTATTCGTTCCCCTGTCGCGTTCGGAATCATTTTAATCGCCGACAGGACCGAGTCTACCATGCCCGTTTCGATGCTTGGGACATCAGAAATCGTAATGGGCGTAGATCGTTTAGAGAATCATCGGGCTTTTCGTACGCGCGCCGAGAAAATTGTTCAAACGACGACGCCGTGTTGAGCTAGCAGCTGTTTCCTCTGATGAAGACTAGGCGACTCCGCGTCCATCTCCACGGTTTTCGGCCCGTCGAAGGACTTGGAGGTCTTCAGGTTGTTCAACGCCTTCAGACAGTTGTTGGTGGTCATTTCCAAGGACTTGGAGCTCTTCAGCGACGCGTTCGCCAGCTTCTTGATCGTCTCTGAGATGGGACACTTGATGAAATCAGCCCTCTGCCTCTCCTTCTCCTTGATCCTCTGGTTGTCGTCGACGATCGAGGTGTCCTTCGTCTCTACTTCCTCCTCCCTCTTCTCGTCGTTCGACTCTTTGGAATCCTCGTGTTTCGCTGTCTGACTCTCCTCCGCGCTGGTTTCGTCCTCGTTCTTGCGATCGTCCTGTCCCAGCAGAGACTTGGGCGGCGCCTCCACATAACCGCTCTCGTCGCTGTCCACCTCCTCGTCGAGCGAGTCCAGGGTCAAGAACGGCGACTCGTCGTTCTGCAACAACTCGTGGCTCATCCTGCCGGGATACGTCTCCATCACTCGTCTCGCTCTGTCCTGCTGATCGTCGATCCTGCGCAATATCTCGCCCCGCGGCCTGTAGTCCACCACGTCGTCGAAGTCCTCCACGTCCTCGAAATCGAACACGTGGGAGGCAGGATCCTCGATCTCCTCGTCCTCCTCCTCCATCGACTCGTCCTCCTCGTTCCTGGACGTGAACCTCTTGCGGCCGATCTCCACCTCGCGACGGTGAAAACGAGGACTTCCCGCGCAGGTCATAAAATTTGGCGAACCCTCGGAGTTCCGTCGCGGTCCTGGACCTCTTCTCACCTCGTCGGAGAACATCACTCTTCTGCTGGTTCGTTGCTCCGTCTCACCTATCAAGCACATACGTCGTACCCTACCGTTAGTATACTCAAAATTAAACTCTATTTTATACAGGGTGCAGTCGAACAACATGTACAAGCGGACACGAGGTGGTTCCTTATGAAAAAATAAGAACAAAATATGGAATAAAATTTTTTATTATATATCATCGTTAGATAGATCAACGAAAACTGACTGCTTAGGCAAATAACTATTAGAAGAATATTATCTAATACTATTAGCCGTAACAGCACACGTACGAATAGGATTTTCAAACTCGATTTTCTCGAAAACTAAGCTTTGAATGAAAAAATTTTATTCCATATTTTGTTCTTATTTTTTCATAAGGAACCCACCTCGTGTCCGCTTGTACATGTTATTCGGCCGCACCCTGTATATTGTACACTGTCAGTAGCCAAGGAGGACCAATTTAATTAATTTTCTATAGTTTACAGGCGCTTGCGAGAGAGACAAGGGCGTAGCCCTCTGGTGGCGAGTGTTTCGCGACCGTCAGAAGAGTAAATAGGGAGTATTCACCTGCAGCGTGATTGTCTTCCGGTCCAGGAGCTCTCTCCTCGCTGGTCGCCGTGCTGGCGGTTTCACATCCGCTGGAGATGCTTCCGTTTTCGTCGGACGACTCGCGATTCAAGGCGTCGAGCAGTCTGGCGAGTCTCCAGCTGTCTTGATCGTGCCAGCTTCTGGCCACGTTCTCCAGAGATCTCAGTTCCTCGAGGATCCTCTGCTGCTCGATCTCCTCGGCGACGATGTCCTCCTCGATCGCCGAGAGCTTTGGAGCGCTCTTCGATCTCTCGAGTGGCGGTCGATAGTTGTGACCACCGGTGCTCAGCAGCAGCTTTCGTCTCGGTAACGAAGGGTTCTCGTACAGGGCGCTTGCTAGGGACAGTCTGCAAGCAACAAACGAAGAAACTAATTCATCAAAAGTCTAACTTTACAAAATGCTTTCTATTAACACATCTTGCGCGGACACTTTGCCGCCAAAATTTCTTCTGCGTAAAATAGCTGTAGTTTTTAAACATTAGGTTTTTAAAATAAAACTTTTAGCTTCTCTTTAAAAATCAATTTCTTTGTTCCCTTTGAAAAAATAAAAATAACTTGCCAGAAATGAAAAACTGAGAAAATCAAAAATTTTTAAATGTTTCAAAGTGTGATATCGTTCGAAGCACTTTTCTTTGTCCAAGGGTACGTTACAAAATTTACATTTATACCGCGTTACACTGCGTATTTTTTAAACGGAGGAATTTTCATAGGAATTCATTCTTGCAACGCATGTCTATCCGATTTTATTGTAAAAACATCAGAAAAACCCATCGATAACAATAATCCATCAAAAAAATGTGTTAAATTATACTTCTTATGGAACTCTTAGATTTGTACTTTAGCTTTCATTGCATCAACATTTACGATAACTCGAGAAACACACATTTTCTTACATTACTTTCGACGTGAACAAAGCCTCTGAATAAATCGTATCAATCTTGTATTAATTAATTTTTTTTATCAATGATAAACATTTCTAGCGATTTACAAAGTATATCTCGTTTGGCCTATCATGATTTCCCTAGGAACATTGTGTCAAACACGCGTCGTTCGAGGATCGATCCGACCTGAATCGTGACTGGATCGCGTAAGTCGTGATCCACGGGCGCGACCCAAATCCTTCTTTTTCCCCGAGGAGGCCGTGATCTTACGGACGTCTCCGTGTTTACCGAGACACAAAAAGGAGATTTCCATGTAGTCGAATCGATGGACGAGACGCTACTGTCCCCATTTTTCTTATGGTAATGCACGCGACGGAATGAACGTTTCCTTCGACACCAAGCAGAGTTCATAAGATTCTCCGGAGCTTGCTTCGCGAGCCGTTACGTGCAGATTTATTGCCAATAAATTTCAATCGACGTTAGCGTATTTATTGACGATCGCTCGTAGATAAGTGAATGTTTCGAGCAACGAATAAACGTGTACTTATGGTGTTATATCGTGCACAGGCCTCTTCCTGAAATATCTCACTCAACTTTATCCGCGTGCACTGTATCAGTGGATATTATAAAATAATAATGTCGAATTATAAAATTAAAATTATAAAATGCGTGGTAACCTTTTGATCGTAATATTTTATAAACCTACTTCTTCCAAATTGAAATTAATTTATCAATGCTCTCTGCAGTATTACTGTCGACTGTGGTCCAAGAGTTTGCACGATTTTTTTCAACTTTTGAAGCTGAAAATAGCAACTTCTGGATATCTGGTCGATCCAAGCAATAGTTGCTCGACGTAAGCTCACCTTGGACCCTTCGATCGAACGATTCGAGGTTGTAAATGTTGTAATGGAGATAAAAATTGGTTCGTTGACCGAATCGATCTGCTTACCTAGCATTTTGCCTGGAGACCTTGTCCCGTCGGAATTCCAGGAGCGCTTGTTGTAGCCTGGCGTTCAAGGTCGAGGCCAGCCTCCTGGCGGTGGACTCCTTGCTGCATAGGGCGGCGTGACACCTGAGCTCGGGCCTCAGTCTCCGTCCTTCGTGTCTGTAGACCCAGACGAAGAGGCGCGGGTGGGAAGCAGGTGCTGTACAATAGGTAACCCTGTGGGCCCAGTACTCCGTCAGGCCGTGATCCTTCGTCGTGGCGGTCAAACCACCGTTCGTGACCGTCAGCCTCATCGACACGTCCGGCCTGTTGCTGGTAACGTAATTGCGCCATAAGGTCGACACCGGTTTCTCCACGCAGCCCTCACCTGGCGATTTTAATCAGCGATTCTTGTAAAACATGGCGGAAACGGGGATCGTTTCTGTTTGCGTTCGATGGTTTCGTCGCAACAGTTGGGGAATTTTAACTGTTCAACGATGCACAATACGTTCCGTTACTTCGTTTTAAAGAAACAATTAATCAGGGGATTTTAACTATTAAGGAATACACAAGACGTTCCATTACTGGTACTACAACCACGATGGAACGATTCCTCGTGGTAAAGTGGGATAAAAATCTGGAATTTCTATAGGAATCGAACTCTGCCAAAATATCATTTCCTCCATGAATATACAGGGTGTTCGGCCACCCCTGGTTATTCTGGAGGCCAAAATAAGACGAAAGTCAAGAATACCAATTTGTTGATGGAGGCTTCGTTACAAAGTTATTAACGTCAAAATCTCCGCCTGTACTGAATTTTTTTCTCGAAAACGCGCGAGAATTTGGGGGTATGCCTGTTCACCAAAAATGATTGTAATTGACCCCTGCGACCGAAAATAATTTTTCCAAAACGATTTGAAATTTTTTTTTGCCGTCGAAAAATTTCACATCTTTTCGATTTTTTTTCTCGAAACTGCGTAGAATTCCGGGGGTATGTGTAATGACCAAAAATGATTGTAACTGACCCCTGCAACCGAAAATAATTTTTCCAAAACGATTTGAAACTTTTTTTTGCCGTCGAAAAATTTCACACCTTCTCGAATTTTTTTCTAGAAATTGGGTAGGATTTCGGGGGTATGACTATTCACCAAAAATGATTGTAATTGCCCCCCGCAACCGAAAATAATTTTTCCAGAACGATTTGAAGTACTTCAATTTAATTGTTAATAACTTTTTAACGAAGCTTCCATCAACAAATTGGTATTCTTCATTTTCGTCTTATTTTGACCTCCAGAATCCCCCATTAAAATTTTTCCCTCTGTATAATAGTAACGTGTTAAAATCTTTACTGTTTTATTCGACACCAATTTAAACAAGTTTTGGTGCGATGAACCTTCTCAAATAAAACCTTGAACGTGTCGTGACAGCCAATTGGTCGCTTGGCGTAGCCATTTAAGCGTGCAAATAAATGTTGATCGATCGAAAATGATGTTTCTTATTTTCTAATTAGAATCGCGAACAATTTTTGCCATTTATCGGTCATAGTCTGAACGACTATGATAGAAAGAGGAAACGACACTCATATGTACCGTGATCCGAGACTTGTGCAGGGTTTATTTAAACCGATGGAGAAAGAGTTACACCATCGTATCGTAATTCGCTTGTTATCCTTCTTATTCACGCTCTTATTAGTATAATTGGATTTTACCGAGGTTAATGTCTCTATGTCCCGTGGTTTACAATGTAGACACTCTGTTACGCGTTCAAACGTAATAATCACGTTACTGTTATAGCGCTGTATTACTATTCAATGGTGCAACAGTACTATTATTAAGAGTGCCATCAGCAGGCAACAGTAATCGGGACAAAAGCTACGGGTACGCGAGTTTCACCGGTCGTTTCCGCGTACAATTACACGCAGTACAATTGCATGGTACATAATACCTATTACTTGTATTACAGAGCTGGAAACAAAGTGGTTCCCTTCAGGGTTAAAGCCAAGACGTGATCTATACTCGCGTGTAATTCGCGGACAAACGTTATTTTTCAGGTTCGATGCAACCTGAACTCGGGGGAGGAGAAATCATCCCCAAGAAAAGAGGATCAGAAACGGGTACTTTTTAAAAAAATCGAATTTTCAAACACATGGTTCACGTTCACTGCACGCTCATCTTTACACGAGAATACAGTAGTCTCTCGATAAATGTGAAGATCGATCTTAAGATTGTTTAGAACAATAGCCGATGGGAATCGAACATACGCAAAAGAAACTGGCTATACCATAAATCCTATGTATGTAAAAAAGACTATATTCACGAAGAAAACCAGTACAAAATGATTAATGATGAGTGATCTTGGTTGTAAGAAAATTGTAGCTGAAACGTTAACTGGAGTTAATTAATCAATTAAAACGACGTTCTGCATTAAATAGTAACGCCTCGTTGATATTGTAGCACAGTTTTTTTTTTGCAATTTTAATGGTTTAAAAAACCTATTTACCTATGTGACATTACTGATGACACATCGAGTGGAAAAATTTATAGTTGATATACTAGTTTAAAAACTCAGTTTACATATAAACTTATTTCTATCATTATATTGCAATAATCATTAGTGATGATGTAAAGAAATGTTAAATTCTTTCAATCTGGGCCACGAGATTAAAACAGTTAAGAATCATTGCTACACACACATTTGGCCAAGTATTCCGCGTGGTTTCTGCACGCGAGTGGAACACACCGATAGAACTAAATCGAGGGACAGGCATATCTTGACCTTCGATACAGTTCGATTTGCTGTTCCCCGTTGTGCCTCGGATCGTGTTACCAATTAAGAGATACAGGAAACGCTGGTACAGTTATTTAAGTAGAGTTTGAAAGTAATGGAGGAGCAAGAAAGAGGAGCAGCGAATCGCGAGGGAGGGAAGTCGTTCAGGGTGCACGAGGAAGCAGGTGTACTTAGGAAGCCATTCTAAATTTGTACAACGAAACGCACGCGAGCACACTGTGTTCTGTGTCCAAGTCCACATCCGCAAAACCGATTAGCTCTCGTTGACAGTACATCCAAATTTCTACCCCTCGTTTAACAGGCTTAATTGAAATCCTGTTAGTCTTATTAAATACACACTAAGAGACTATCGAAGCAAACGAAATTTCATGAAATCATCATTGTCGGTAACGTCGAAAACTCTAATAATTCAATCACCGGTTGTACTATTTTAATAAACAGTTTAATAACAGGTATTAAAAACAATACAACTTTACACGCGTGCAGCTCCGAAACTACTCGTGCTTTGTCCATAATTGAACGATTGTTAGAAGCAGTGAAGCTTCCTCTTTGAGATGGTTTTTGGTTTTTAGCAATCCGACTTCCCGTTTCGGAGATATCGTAATTTATATGAAAGGGTAATTTTCTAAATTCCACTGTTTACGCTCTCTCCGCCGTAGAAATGTCGATTAACGCGTATTAAAAATACTAAAACTTTACACGCGTGCAGCTCCGAAACTACTCGTCCTTTATCAATAATTAAGCGATTGTTAGAATCGCTAAAGCTTCCTCTTTGAGATGGTTTTTGGTTTTTGACGATCCGACTTCCCGTTTCGGAGATATCACAATTTATGTGGAGAGGTAATTTTTTTAATTCGACTGTCTCTGTCTCCGTCTAACGCGTCTAACCTCTTTCTCGCGCGTGCATCGTGCTGACCTACCCGAATCACGTGACCTGCGCAGTGGTCAGCCGCGCACAGTGTTTACCCGAATTTACTATTACTACGAATGCGTACGCATTTACGAGAGGGCGTGCTTATTAATTGAGTGCAACGAAATATTTTCAAGTCTTATATCTCCTGAATTAACCACGCTATCGACTTGAAACAAAATACGTTTTAAAGGGCGCTTCGTCGTCCATCTGACGAATACAACAACCATTATAATTTATGCTCGAATAAATTTTTATTCGATATAAAGTATAGGTTACGCAACTCAAGAAATTGATGGTTTTTTTTCGTTAGCATTAATTCCTCTGTCACCGTCAATTAAAAATTTGTCGTTCTAATACATATACGTTGAATTTCTACTACCAACGACGATTAAAACGTAATAGCATCCACGCCTTCATTTCGTAAAAAACACAGCGACCACGGTTCGCCGGTTTGTTTGTTGTCGATAAAACTTGTCAATATCGACTTCCGACTGAAAAACACTATTGGCATTATTCATACATTTTTTCTATGTCAAACGTCAATTCTTTCTCGTATAGTTGACATTAGAAATGTGTTTCAAATCTGTATCGACGTTCTGGTACTCGAATAACAATAACAATAAACATCTTAGAATACTTGATAAAATATTCTTCCGCTACGAAAACTGCATCGCGAACGTTTCGTAATCTGAATTTTATGGATTCGATCACAGCCAAGCACGGCTGAGCCATGGCAACGATAGCAACAACATCGTGATTAATATTAATCAAGCTACGTTCGTGTCGAGGTTGATATTTCGACTATGGACAAAGTCATGCAACGATTTAAGGTAAGAGGGGCAGCTCTGAAAATAAACCACGCTGCTCGGAGTATTTAAAGGATCGTCGAATATATTCATCGATCAATAATATGCGCAGGATTTTCCAACGAGAGCGACAGACAGACAGAAATTCTTCCGCAACAAGGAAACATATTTAACACGATATAATACTAAACGAAAACCTTCATATTTGTTCTTTTTAATGACTTGGATGGATTTTGCCCATCCCTGTTCGCATGTAACGGATCTGGAAAACAATTCGCGGCGGGCACGCGATGCGAGTGATCCAGAAATCGCAGCGGATGGAAAGTATCTCGCAAGCTTTAAGCGAATGCATCGGATAAAAGTGAACCGTGCGAGGAATCGTAAGTCCCAAGACTAGATGTGCCATTAGTTGGCCTGTTCTCGCGATCGGATCAGCGGGACGAGGAAGATTCAACGTAAATTTCTTGCGTGTTTTCTTTGTCGCTGTTTTTCGCGCGCCTTCCATTGGCGGCTCATTCCTTTCGCACTACTGATAATATCCGCTTGTTTACGCGTAACCAGGTAGAAACGAACGTTGTTCTCTACTGGAAATTTTTCTCGTTAGATTGAATCAGCGCAAAGCTTCCCGATCATTCTCGATCTCGCGATCCACGTTCCATGAACCACGAGCAATCCGACATTTTTAAACGAGAGTTAAACTGATTAGAATTTCTAAATATATTTAATACGTTCAGGAGTTATGATTTGTTAAACATATGCATGAAATTTCAGGGAAACATTTCACGCCACAGATTATCAGTAAGATTTTCAGTAATGAATTTTTTTCTCGAAAGTGCGTAAGAATTCAGGGGTATATCTATTCACCAAAAATGACTGTAATTG